GTGACTTGCCGTGTCCCTCACAGTCTTTGTGAAGTGCTATTCTCCCATCATATCGATGCTAGGGAGTGAAACAAGAATTTTCTTCTTCATCACTCTACCTTTTGATAGATTAAAATCCAAGTGTCTGCCAGGTGCTGCGATATTGGTGAATGTGTAGGGGGCTGACATAATAAGAAGGCCCGTCCAAGCGTCCAGGGCACTCTCGAACAGCCTTGATCGCTCTCATTCTTGCACGACCGACCCACCAACACCGGGCTCGGCATTGGGGCGTGTAAAATTCCCGGATAGCACGCGAAGTGAGAACAAAGACCTGTTAATCAAATACAGCGCGCTGACCAAGTTCCAGTTTCGCCATGCCGGCCCTCCGCAAGTCTGCCCGGGAGCGCGACTTTCGATCGCAACCAAGGTCCAGCACCACGCCCTACGCCTCACCTACTGGCACAAACAACGATCACGTCTACGACAAGAAGCAGCGCTCAATCACCGAGTGGACTGAACCTCAACCCCAGACTCTTGCGCCCTCTTTTGAAGAGCACGGTTTTGCGCGGCACGGCGTCCTGGAGAATATGGCCCCCCTCGGCGTGCCTCCAAAGGCAAAGGACAAGCAGCGCGCGCGCGCTCTCGACGGACCGGCTCCTCGGAACTCATTGCTGGGAAAAGTGAATATTGCGTTTGGCGACGACGCTGGGTCGACTCCAGAAGTTACTCCGGCTCCCGAGCTTGAGCCTGATGATTCGGAGCGGCAAGAAGAGTACGAGATACAGGCCGGCTTTCCTGTTCTCGAGGATGAAGAGGATGATGACTACGAACCTACCAAGCCGAAGAAGAAGGTGAAGGTGTCGAAAACTCCAGTCAGGGGCAAGACGCCCGTGCAAAGCAAGACGCCCGTCAACGGAAAAACGCCTGTAAAGAGCTGTTACAGCAAGAGCACGCCTGTCTCAGGGAGCCCGGCCGTACAGGCGATTTCCATGTCCGAGCCAGTTGCAGCGAGCACACAGCGCATCCAGATCGCTGTCAACGATGCCATTTCAAAGGCCAACAGTAGCAAGGGCAGGCGTTATGTAGGCATCGCCTTGAAGCGCGCCTTTGAGCAAAGCAAAAGTGACCCAGAACTAGCCGAGGCCCTAGATGCAGTAATTCACGAGAGGAGCACGCCCAAGCAATATAACCGTTTTCGCAAGTTCATCAAGTCATTCAAGCTTGAAGAAAAAATGAAAATGGGCCTCACTAGAGACAGGCGCTTTGACCAGCCCAACACGGCCAACAACGGTGTTTCATTATCCAGCCAGCCGCCATCCCCTATGGCTAGTAGTGAAGTTGTTCCCGATGATTCTGTCTCGACCACTGAATCGATGCTGAACGACACGCACAAGGCATTGCAGTCAGCACTGGACCCACATTCTGAAGCTGCGCCCCACCCATTCAGCACAGCGCCTGCTCTACCAGCAGCAGATACCTCTGCAGAATCAACACCAAGGATGCCATCAAAATCACCTCGGAAACGAGCTGCTACCAATGGAAAATCTGCGCCAGATTCTGCTATGGACGTGGATGGTGGTCTCTCGACGACTGTGCCTACTCCAGCAGCGAGGACGCCCGACACTGGTGCGAGTGATTCTGAGCTCTCAGAGGTCAATGAAGAAATAGTGCTGAAGGGCCCGCCAGAGCCGGTGCAGGTCAACGGAAAGAGCGCTACTACAGCACCAGCCTCAGGACTGAAGAAAGGGAAGAACATTGCCCATGCACGCGCTGCTAAGAAGGCGAAAGCCAACGCAGGAAAACTCTTTGGCAAGCATGCATACAAGCAGCAGCCGCTTACCGCAGAGCAGCAGGCGGAAGATGACCGTCTCTATCAGATGCGCAAATCTATGGTGGAGGAACAACCTATCCGCCAGTTCGATCAAATACCCCCTCCAGTCTCTGATGTCCGCTTTGATGACGAAATCCTTGAGACGGAATCTTTAACAGAATCTCAGATTGCCGTAGGCCCACCGGTAGACTCTGATCAACCACGGCGCCCTGGACGAGCGCCAAACCATGGCACCAAGCGTCTGCGAGACGATCCGTTGCGGTTCTCCTCGCCTCAATCTGAGCCAGCTACAGTGACACGGCCTTCGACTCCAGCAGTCGGACCGGCGCCCAAGCGGGTCAAACTTACCAACGGTCAGGGTGCCAGGACTAAGCGATCGTAAGTGTTTCTTTTCTTTCTTGCAGCATCGCTCTCAAGCCCTTGGGGGTATAGGCAGATGTCTGTACCCGTGTCGACGCAGCTCTCTTAGCGTCGAGTAGGCAAGCCTTGCGTGTTTGCATCAAACAATACCGTTGGTCCCATCGAATCACCAGAAGACTAACTATTGTACACACAGACCAGTCAAGAACCGAGATGCAGGACCTATTGCTGGTGTAGCGTTTACTGGTGGTGGCGGTTCGAGACAGCTGGGGCCTGATGACAATGACCCCGTAAGTGCCACTCAAAATCCCGCAGCATCCAACCACACCATTCCTCTTCCACCGCACAACTCATCAACATCATTTTCTTTTTTCATCTCCCAACACCAATGTTTCTCACTACGAACATAACCCCTCCCAAATTTCCATACTCTCCTCCACTCTCAGTTTTGTCTTCACCTCTAACGGAATGCCAGAACTCGCCACAGTCGGAGAGCGACGACTTCTGCTCTGCGTGTAGAGGTGCTGGCGAGTTTGTCTGCTGCGAAAACTGCCCACGCGTTTTCCACTTGCTATGCTGCGATCCACCGAGGACACAGGTACCTGACGGTGCCTTCTACTGCTACGAATGTAATGCCAAGTTTGGTGCACCCGATGACTCCGAAGAGACACATCCCAGCTTGGGGCCGCTCTTCGAGAAGCTGGAGCGCACCAACCCTCGTGCATTTGCCTTGCCGCAAGACATCCAAAACAATTTCGAGGGTGTTTCTGCGCGTCCTGATGGATCTTACTTTGAGGAAGTCAAGAAGTTCCCTCTGTGAGTGTGACGCGTTCCATCGCGTGATCTGTCGCTAACAACGAAAACAGGGCGAAGAACAGTGGATATGGCTACCAGAAGCCAGAATACACAAAGGTCATTGACAACGATCAAAAAGTCATCTTGTGTGCCCAGTGTGGGTTATCGAGTGGCAACAAGCGCCAAATGCTGAAGTGTGACTTCTGTCACGCATACTGGCACTTGGACTGCTGTGACCCCCCACTCGCTAATCCGCCACACATCAGCTTTGATGCGTCGCAGCGCGATGCCTGGAAATGTCCCCGACATATTGATCACGATCTTCGTAGTGGTTTGTTGGTTCAGAACGATTTGAGCGCTGATGACCACGATGTTGAGATGGGCAACACTGCGCCGTTTGTCCGGATCACGCGCAGAGTTCGAGTGCGCAAACAGTCTGAGTACATTGAGCCAACGTTCTCACGCGGCATGCGCAACAACGGTTTGATCGAAATTACTAATGATCCGGATGATGACACTGATGGCGAAGGCAACTACGTGTTCGGCGATAATGACTCAAAAGATCTCAGCTCAAAGATCTTCCGTGTGCCAGAGAAGGGAGTCGTCCTCGACTTCATCAGCAAAGTCAAGAGGTATGTATATTCTCATCTTCACGATGTTATAGCAGACACTAACGCATCTTGCAGTGGTCGTGTGATGAAGAACTATGGAGCACCAACGGCTGTGGAGGCTGCAGCACAACGCAACGCGCCTATGCAAAACTACCTTGCACATTCTATCGAGCAACAGCAAGCAGCACTCACCCTGGCTCAGCTGGCAGGAAAAGCACCCGAGGTTGACTTGAGCGAGGGCAAAGTTCAGGCGCTCATCTACAGTCTCACCGTAAGACTTCTCCCTGCGCCCCACATGCCTTGTTTTGTGATCAATGGCGCTAACTCACGTGAAACAGTCCGAAGCTCCTCCGAGCGTCATCACAGCCATGGCCAACGCAGACCCGCCACCGCCTTCAGAGCAAGAGCGTGCTCAGCTGGAGATGCTTCAGCGTCTTATTCAGCGCCGACTTGGAGCTTGAGCGCTGCTTTAACAACAGTGGTTTGCAACCTTATCCGGTCTAGTTGTAGTGACACCGCCAAGCAACCCTGGATACGAAAGCACGCCATGTACACCACCCAGAACTCTTATCCATCTACAGTCATCTCAGATGTCCTTGTCAAGGTAGCGTCTCGTCAGCAGATTGGCTGTGGCGAGGCGTCGCTCAGCCTTAGCCTCATTTGCCCGACTTGGAAATTCGAACACGACACCCTGTTCGTCCAATGGACGCGCGGCACGGTCCTCGTTCGACACGTCAACACCTCTCGTCCCTTTTCGATCAGAAAAAAGCTCTTTGTTTACCTTGCGTATGTTTTCCTCAACCTGGGTCGGCCTCTTTTTTTCTTTCTTTCTTTCTCTCTCTGCCACAGTACCATGATATGCGCAACTTAGCGCTTTACCTTTTCCCATACGGATTTTTTTCCCGGTACAAATAGCTCACCCAACTGCCTTAGAGCCTAACATCTTTTTCGCAGAACTGGGTAAGCTTTTGAACGCTGTACCACAAATGCATAGCGTAGGAGTTTTGATTCGGGGGGAAGGGGGACCAATGTTTTTTTTGATATATCTTTAGTCTATTTGGGGGGAGTGGGGGAGTGAGTGAAGGGAGATAAGGTGTTTTAAGTGCTCTGTCACTTCCGTTTATCTCTCTCTCTCTCTTTCTATACATCTCTCTCGTTTTCTATCTGGCGTTTGGCTCTAACCGAGCAAAGCAAGTTGGGAGAGAGGGGACTGCCGGTGATAGGCAAACTACTGCTACTACTCTTACTTGCGAAGCTTGAATATCAAACTTCACTTTTTGTTTTTTTGGCGGCGGGAGGAGGACGAGGAGGAGGAGGAGGACGGGAAGGAGAGACATACTTGATGGATATCTTAGAAAAGGTTTATTTAGGCTTTTCTTATGAACTGGTGCTGCGAATGGCAGAATAGGTCGACCCTGGACCATTTACATACATACACAACATGTGTCTTGGTGTCGTCCCCAAACTTGATTGCATGCTATGTGGTGGTTATCGTCATTACCCGTGATGAGGAGGCTATTCGACTGTCGATCAGGGGTGGTCAAGAAGAAAAAGGTGGGCCGTCCGACGGGGTTCACTGGGTTCACTGCAAGCCTGACACGTTGCATGCATCTCGTGACACTACGGGGTGTGGAAAGGGGGGGGAAGAGGGAAGGACTCTAGGCATCCATGGATATGGAAGGAACAAGAACCAAGGAACATGTAGTATGCTGAACAAGTTGACTGAGTGCTATGATTCAACTATATGATTCGTCCCACCGCCGCTGCCTAGTGTGGACGTGAGACAAGGGCTTTTGCTGGCATTAAAGAAAAAAAAAAGGGCAAGGCAACAGAAAGCCCTGGGATTGCTGCAAATCGAATCACACCACTCGACCCTTTTTTTTGTGACTGGGACCCTAAAATTCTTGGCATAGGAATCAGGCAGGTAGGTAAGAAGGTCAAAGGAAACAGAAGAAAAAAACAATATTTGATAACAAACGATGGCTTAAGGCTTGCAGCGGCCGAAGTAGCGGGGGTACAGGCAGCAGTCGCGGACAGTGTGTTGCTTGCATAGCCAGGCGAGGAAGCGTTCGAGACCGAGACCGTAACCGCCGTGGGGAGAAGAGCCGTACCTGGTGGGAAAAAAGTTGTTAGTAAGATGCTTTGTGAGTTATATGGATGCAAAACTTACTTCCTCTGGTCAGTGTACCAGTAGTATGCCGCAGGATCAATCTGCTCCCTGGCAAACGCAGCCATCAACTCATCGTAGTTGTCCATCCTCATACTTCCTCCAACAATCTCACCGACACCGGGCATCAAGCAATCCACGCTCTCCGTTACCCTGGGGTCTTCCTTTTCCTTCAGCATGTAAAAGGCCTTGATCTCCGTAGGGAAATGTGTGAGGAAGATGGGCCTGTTGATGATATCTGTCATCCTACGCTCTGCAGCTTCAGCGATATCGTCGCCAAACTTGTGGGGCTCGCCATCCTCGTTGGGGATGTTGTGCTCAACGAGCCAATCAATGGCTTCTTGGTACTTCATGCGCTTGAATGGGCGCTCGGGGACCTTGAACTCGGGGTTGAGGTCCATGATGTATTGCTTGACGACGGGATCAGCCATTGTGACGTCTAGGACACGGCACATGACCTCTTCGAGATGGGTGAGCAGGTCGTCAAAGTTGATGTAGTCGAGCTCGGCCTCAATGTGCGTGTACTCAGCCAAATGACGACGGGTCAATGACTTTTCAGCACGGAAGGACTTTTCGATGCAGTACACGTCTCCCATTGATGGCAAGCATGTCTCAAGATATAGTTGAGAAGACTGGGTAAGGTAGGCCTCCTCATTGTAGTAACCGAACTTGAAGAGCGTGGCACCACCCTCTACCTGGGTTTGGACAAGCGCTGGCGGGCTGACCTTGCGTAGTCGAAGTTCTTTATAGACCTGGTTGAATGCAAACTCAACGGCGTCACGGACAATCATGACCTTGGATGCAGTCTCTCCACGTAGAGTGAGATGTCGCAGATCCAGCAAGGTCGCGTGCTCAGTGTCCTTTGATACCCTGTTGGTAATGGCATCGTCGCCACCAGCTGCCTTCCAGCCATCGTGGATCTTGTAGTAGTCGGCGTGCAGTTCGCGGCTGTTGGGAGCGTGGGCACCAGCGGGGATCTGCCTCAACTCTCCGAGAATCTCCATGCTGGTTTCGCGAGTCAACGTGAGGGCATCGTAGGTCTTTGCAAGGTTACCAGTGAAGATGACCTGCATGTAGCCGTAACCATCTCTTAAGGTGACAAACATGACATCCTTTTGTCTTCGCTCACGATGTACGCGACCAAATACTCGTACTCGTGTACCCTTTGTATCTTTGCCATCTCCTAGCGTGATCTTCTTTGGGTCGGTGTCGTCGAGCTTGATCTTGATCGCCTCAGGAAGACTCTTGTCCTCCTCTATGACGACCTTCTTGGCCTCATCGAGGACCTTGTTGCGGTCTGCCTCCTCCTTCGAGCGCTGCGCAAGCAGTCCCTGCTCCTTCTCGGCCTTCTTCTTCTGCGCCTTTGCATAGTTGACCGCCTTCTTCATGGCCGACTTGGCAACATCCTTCCACTCTAACCTCGAGGACGCATCTGCACCCTCTGCGACCTCTCCAGTAACACTCTTCCGGGTAAGGAACTTGGGAGTCTCGCCGCGAGTCAGGACAGCGTATCCGAGGGATTTGTAGGGCGATGACTCGTCGCCCGTCTGTTCTGCGATGTCCTGACCGACATCCTCGTCGATGTAGTAGGTGGGCTGAGCCATGGTGGCGACAATTGGTGTGCAGACGTCTTTTGGGGGTGTTGCGCAGATTGTCTGCTGTTGTCGGAATTATATTGAGTGGGCGCGGGGTGACTCAAATGGACCCCTCCACAGGCTCCGTGCACAGTCTAGGTACGTGAAGCACTATATGTGTCGATAAGGCCAATCACCCAATTTCCCTTATCAACCAAGGCTCGTGTTGACCGACTAAGATAATGCATTGTGTTTTATATGTGCAATGGATTGCTTTTTGTAAATAGATACCTGTTTTGAGTTAACCTGAAAAGTGCGTCTTGTTGACTTTAGCTGCATGCCAACACCGTTTAGATGACGACGGCCTTCCAAGGACTAGAATTTGGATGCTTCAAAAATAAAACTCACTCAATTCGCAACATGAATATGGCTGGTAACCTTTGTTAAGTAGACATTTGAACCCACTCTCGATGGTAGTAAAGGCGGCTCTAGTTCCGCGCTGACAAACAAGACAATTGGCTCGGTAACTGGACAACACTAGATGAAGGGACATATAAGCTACAATGTAACATACAGCTGCTATCATTCATTCCAGCTAAAAACAATCTCTTTCTGACGATATAACACAACAATGGCTGATCCTAGTATTTACGAATACGAATCCCCTCTTAAAGGCTTCGAAAACTGTGAACCATTGCCCAAGTAGGATACGTCTTCCATATTGCTAGTGCTTATGATTCCAAATATTGCGGTACAAATGTGATTGAAGAATACTGATACAATCACAGCGAAAAGGCCGAGGATGGGAAATCCTACGTAAACCCTCCAGCTGACAAGGCAAGCGATGCCTATAACTCATTCGTAGCACCTATTACGAATGGCATCCGTGGGGGTTTTGAGTGAGTACGAACAACTCAAATATTCTGTTAAACAATCACTGATGTTTTCAGTGTACACATCTACTATCTTCAGAGTGACGAGGAAGAAACGAAGTTTGCCAATGAGCTCTGGGAGCGCATACGTCGCGAGTGTATGGTGGTGTCCTCCCTTAATTCAGTTGTTTCTAATCAAAACAGTCCCTGAGTTGCGCATATACCGAGTCTGGGATCGACCAATTGGACCTCATCCTCTTGCCATGTTTGAGGTTAACATTTTCACTCCACGTAAGTAATGGCTTGTTGGACTAGAAGCTGGAGCCTTCACTAAGGATTATTAGAGCAATTTGGCGCATTTATTCCTTGGCTAGTAATTAACAGAGGTCCACTTTCGGCACTGATTCATCCGAATACTGATGAGGAAGAGAGGGACCATACACAACGCGCAACATGGATGGGACAGCCGCTACCTCTTAACTTGAAAATTTTCAAGAAGAGAGCAGCACCGAAGGTGTAATTTTCTGTGATTCAGCGAGGACGTGTTAGGCATGAAAGCGCGTGCTTAAATTGTAACGTAATTTTTTGAGATTACGTCTGCGACAGACGTGATAAATTGGCATATTAAGCAATTCGTGTTACGCCCCATACTTTGATGCACATTCTCTCTCAACCCGTAGCTTGGATGTCTGTCGAACAGCTCTTCGTCTGGCGTCTTTCGAATGATTGGTGATGTCCGTGTCCATGCCTGACCTCAATGATGACGCTGTCTATGAGCATGCTGAACCATATTCTTGTATGGTGCATGATCAAGCGAGACATTATCGCACTCACGCCTTTGTCTCCACCTTCTTCTTTTTCTTGGTCTTCTTCGCCTTCTTCTTGTCTCGCTTCTTCAATCCACTCATGCCTGCCTTGCATGCTTCGGCATATCGCGCGTAGAACCCGTCCAAGTCTTCCGGTTTTACCACTGTGCTCAACTCTATTTTGTCAACTTTTTTCCTGTCTGTCCCTGCTTTCTTGTCGCTCTTGTTATTGTGCGCGCGAATCAAAACAGGCAGCGAGTCTTCAGGATGGGTGTCCCATAATGGATCATCGGCGACCTTGTTGGCTGGAGGTGGGGTGGCAGTGGTACCCAATGTCATACGCTTCTGTACAAGGTAGACGCTGCCGTGGCCTTTTGTTTGTGTGTATTCGAAGAGGTTGGCGAGTTTTGCAAAGAACTGAGCAAGTGTTAGAATAGAGAAGACGATTACATTCGTGTGATATCACACACCTCATCGTTGCTCAAATGTTCTCGCCCCATTGTGAATGTTGTGTGCTATATTAGTCGCGCCATGGAGATGGTAGGTTGCATAGTGGGATGCCTGCTGTCAGTGCGAGGCGGAGACGCGGGGAAATCTCACCTAAACTCCGACCCTCGAACTTTTTTGCGACAACCAACCGCCCCAGACACCACAACATGCGCAAACCCTTCGGAGGGCCAAAATTGCCCGTAGAGTTACGGAACCAACTTGGAGGTAATATTGGACGATAGCTGGGTACATTTTCAGTACTAAACAACGGCAGATCCAGCAAACAACAAGCAGCGCAAAGGACCGCGTAATGGACCACTCAATCGCAAAGACAGGCGCAAAGCCGATCGCGTAGAGAAGAAGCGACAGAACAAGCAAGGCAGGAAGCCTGCGCCAACACATCCACATAATGGCCGAGGACCGCGTCGTGAAGCCGAATCGGAAGATGAGGACGAGGAAGAGGAGATAGATTGGGACAACATCGAATCAGACGCCACACCACCACCGGTAGAGAAGAAGGAGCCGCAAAAGCCTCTGAAAGGCATACTCAAGACAAAACCCTCAAATTCAGAGGAAGCATCGCCTCCGCCTGCGAAAGTATCACGCGCCACAAGAGACAGACTAGCCCAGGACGATGCCGAAATTGCTGCACTGGAAAAAAGATTAGGTGTGAAGGGCAAGAAGAAATCCAAGGGAGCAGATGGCGGTCTCGATGACCTGTTTGAGGGCCTTGGAGATCTCGGAGATTTTAGCGACGAAGAGGGTGCTCAGCCGTCAAAGCGTAAAAGGGATGAAGATGACGACTGGCTTGCAAGTAAGAGGCGGAAGGCCCTAGGCCAGAAGTCGGATGAAGAAGAAGACGACAATTCAGAAGCGTCTGAGTCTGACGAAGACTTGGACATAGAAGAGGCAGACTTTGATGACGAAGACGAGACAGACTACGATGAGGAAAGTGATTTAGGCTCTGAAGACGACAATGCCGAAGAGGCTGAGCCAGAACAACCAAAGAAACGAGAAAATCCATACGTTGCTCCTGTAGCACCGGATGCCCAGCCGACCAAATATATACCACCTGCGCTTAGAGCACCACCTTCATCGGATTCAGAGGCTTTACTACGTCTTCGAAGGCAGATACAAGGTCTTTTCAACCGTCTTTCGGAAGCCAACATACTCTCCATCTTGCGCGAAATTGAGACTATCTACCAGAACAACCCCCGTGGATATGTCAACAACACACTGGTCGATCTATTGATTGGAATGCTATCAGATCCCACCGCTCTCCTGGATACTTTCCTGAACCTGCACGCCGGTTTTATTGCTGCGATCTACAAAATTATTGGACCAGACTTCGGGGCACAGATGGTAGAGCGGATTGTTGCGGAAGTTGACAGACACTATCAAGCAAACAAAGACGGTTCTGGAAAGCAGACGTCGAATCTCATATCCGTGGTGGCAGAGCTATATACGTTCCAAGTCATTGGCAGCAATATTGTATTCGACTACATTCGATTCTTTCTCGACGAGCTTACCGAAATCAACACCGAACTTCTGTTGAGAATAGTCCGGGCAGCGGGTCCACAGCTACGCCAAGATGACCCGACCTCTCTGAAGGACATTGTTGTTCTTCTTCAGAAGTCTGTCGCCAAGGTTGGCCAGAACAACTTGCCGGTTCGCACCAAGTTCATGATTGAAACAATCAACGACCTCAAAAACAACAAAATGAAGACTGGTATCGCTTCTTCGGTAATCTCGAGGGAGCATACAACCCGGATGAAGAAGCAGCTTGGTACGCTGAACTCACGGAATCTCAAGGCGACCGAACCACTACGGGTTGGTCTGAAGGATATCAGAGATACTGAGAAGAGAGGCAAATGGTGGCTTGTCGGAGCAAGTTGGCGCAATCAACCAGGAAACGAGGAGCCGGCCAAGGATAACGGAAAATTTGAACAGACCACGACACATATCGATGACGAGGGCGATGACAGCGAAGTTGATCTTGTACAGCTTGCTCGCGAGCACCGTATGAACACAGACATTCGGCGGGCTATCTTCATCTCTATAATGTCTGCCAGCGACTTCAAGGATGCGCAGATAAGATTGAATAAGCTCAATCTCAAAAAGTCTCAAGAAGCAGAGATACCACGAGTCATTGTTCACTGTGCGGGCGCCGAGAAGACCTACAACCCTTACTACACTGTACTTGCGCGCAAGATTTGCTCCGATCACAAGACCCGCAAGAGCTTTCAATTCGCGCTGTGGGATATCTTCAAGAGTTTAGGGGAAAAGCAAGATGACGCGGACGATGATGACGATGATGACGAAATGGACACCGACATGTCCCTTCGAAAGCTTGTCAATCAGGGCAAGCTGTATGGCACATTGATTGGCCGTAAAGCCATGCCAATTATCAGTCTCAAGAACCTCAACTTCCCCTACTTGCAGCCGAAAACCAAGACTTTTGTTGAAGTCTTACTTGTTACTACCATTCTGGAGGCATTGAAGACATCCAAGACAAAAGACAAGCGTGACGAACGGGCTGTCCGGGAGGTATTTGTAGAGACAGATCAAGCACCAGAAATGATTGCCGGTTTGCAATTCTTCTTGAAGAAGACAGTTAGTAAGACGGAGATTGTTGAGGAAGCGGAGAAGGAAACGGTGCGGTGGGCGTGCAAGTCCGTCATGGGAATGCTGACTAGAGTGTTGGCTACTACTACGTTGGCGGAAGACTGAGTGTTTGACTAAAATACCCCTCTGTTGTATGTTTAATAATAGAGTGATAAAAGAACCAATGCAGTATGGTGCCAGGAGGCGATGTTGAACATGAGGCACTTTGTCATCTTGGCGCCACCCTTGACCCTACGGAAGCCGCATAGGCCTTCCCAGCCGAGCTCCGCAAAAAGCTCAACCACATCTGCCATCCCACGCCCCATCCATTGACGCCTGTCATCCCAGCCGTATACCTCACGGCTTCTTTTGGTTATGTTTCCTCCGGCCATCTTCACCATGTTCCGCTCACTGGCACCCCGCGCCGCTCAACGGGCGTCGCGACCCGTCACCCGAAGCACATTCTGCGCATCCAACATTTACTTCCAGAACCGGTTACGACGTGGATATGCGTCGGAAGCTGGTGAGTCGCATCACGGCGCACCATTGGTTTAGTGCATCTGCTGACCGCTGGACAGAGGAGAAGGACCTAGTCATCATCGGTGGTGGTGTTGCGGGATATGTCGCAGCTATCAAGGCTGGACAGGCGGGCATGAAGGTTAGCAAGACACATTCGGACAATGGCAAGATCACAAGGTTGACGCAAGCGGACAGGTCACTTGCATCGAAAAGCGTGGCTCCCTGGGTGGAACCTGCTTGAACGTCGGCTGCATTCCCTCCAAGTCCCTCCTCAACAACTCGCATCTCTACCACCAGATCCTCCACGATACTAAGAGCCGCGGAATCGAGGTCGGCGATGTCAAGCTCAACCTCCCCGCCATGATGAAGGCTAAGGAGAGCTCCGTTTCTGGTCTCACAAAGGGAATTGAGTTCCTTTTCAAGAAGAACAACGTTGAGTACATCAAGGGTACTGGTGCGTTCCAGGACGAGCACACCATTGCCGTCAACCTCACTGAAGGCGGCGAGACTACTGTCCGCGGAAAGAACATCCTCATTGCCACTGGTTCTGAGGCCACTCCTTTCCCTGGCTTGACCATCGACGAGCAGAAGGTTATCACAAGCACCGGCGCCATTGCACTTCAGGAAGTGCCTAAGAAGATGACCGTCATCGGTGGTGGTATCATTGGCCTTGAGATGGTAGGAAAATACTCAGTCGTTCTTTTGGTAGACTATGCTAACCACACATAGGCCTCCGTTTGGTCGCGTCTTGGCTCTGAGGTCACCGTTGTTGAGTTCTTGGGCCAGATTGGTGGCCCCGGCATGGACAACGAAATCGCGAAGCAGACCCAGAAGATCCTTCAAAAGCAGGGCTTGAAGTTCAAGCTCAACACAAAGGTTACCGCTGGTGAGGTTCACAGCGCTGGTGTCAACGTTAGCGTCGAGGCCGCAAAGGGTGGAAAGGAGGAGACTGTGAGTCGATTTTGAGCAACACTAGCTGATTGTAATGCTGACATGCCTAGCTCGATGCGGACTGCGTCCTTGTTGCTATCGGTCGTCGCCCATACACTTCCGGTCTTGGTCTTGACAACATCAGCCTCGAAACCGATGAGAGGGGCCGCCTGATCATTGACCAGGAGTACCGCACCAAGATCCCCCACATTCGCGCCATCGGAGACTGCACTTTCGGCCCTATGCTTGCCCACAAGGCTGAGGAAGAGGCTGTCGCTGCCATTGAGTACATCCACAAGGGCCATGGTCACGTCAACTACGGCGCCATTCCTTCTGTTATGTACACCCACCCTGAGGTTGCTTGGGTTGGCCAGAACGAGCAGGAACTCAAGGAGGCTGGTATCAAGTACAAGACTGGAACCTTCCCTTTCACTGCCAACTCAAGAGCCAAGACCAACCTCGACACTGAGGGTATGGTCAAGTTCCTGTCAGATGCTCAGACCGACCGGATATTGGGTATTCACATCATTGGTCCCAACGCTGGTGAGATGATTGCAGAGGGTACACTTGCACTGGAATACGGCGCCAGCTCTGAGGGTAAGTTGAATCAGATCAAGCATCTTCTCGAACTAGCACTAACGATTATGCAGATGTTGCGCGCACATGTCATGCTCATCCCACTCTTGCTGAGGCGTTCAAGGAGGCCGCCATGGCCACCTACGACAAGGCTGTTCACTACTAGATTCCCCAATTTCGGTCAGGCTTTTCTTTTGTGCATCAGCGACATGACCTTCGAGCTCTCAAGCATGCGAGTGCGAAGTTGTGAACGATATTTGTAGAATATATCTGATGCGTCATGCTCGCCAATGAAATGCTAGTGAATGATGCGCATGTGATGTGGAGCCGGTAGGGCTGAGATACCCCTGCTAGCGGCGTCTTGTCGCGTGCACGTAACGCGTACCGCGATTTGATGTCGCCATCAATTACACTTCTCACTTGCCCGCTTTTGCTTACTTTTTGCCCATACAATTCTACGCAAGTCATCATGAGTAACGACGACATTGAACACCGCTGTACTGTATTACGACAGGACCTCAAAGTCTGGGAGAAGAAATTTGCAGCCCAGAACCATGGCCGAAAGGCGGGACGCGACGACATTAAGGCCAATGCAGAGATCTGTATGCACGCGCTGGACAATGACATACTGGGGTCGTACTAACAAACTTACAGCACAAAAATACAAAGAATACAACAAACTGAGGGCACAGCTCTCACGAAAAGCAGGCCCGGACACACCCTCGAAACGAACTAGAAGCCGGAACACAGCCGTCGACACAGAGCGCACGACAAAAGCAGCGCCCAAGGCCGTTGTTACTACGCCCATGAAAAGGAAGAGGGAGGAGGACGAGCTTTCAGAGAACGTCACACAAGTGGTCGATCTCCTTTCACCACAAGGGCCTGCCGTAATCGGTCCAACCCCGCAACGTGATGGCATAGTCCTAGGTCTTTTCGATCAGCTGCCTTTTGCACTCACACCTACCAAATCGAGAACTGTGCTTGGAGAGGTGGGGTTGAACGTGCCCCAGACACCAAGTAAGGAGTTGGAAGATGGAGCAAGCGAAGCATTGCTGGAGTCTCGAGCGAGAGGAGAGAGAACACCACTATCGGCCGGGAAGCGCTTTCTGCTAAATCAGTTCGTTACACCAAAGAAGAGAAGACTAGACGAGGAAGGAACCCCGTCATCTACGATGCACGGGTTAGCGACGCCTGCTTTTCTTCGAAGAGACAATGCTCTGGGCGCAATTGACGAAGAAGATGAAACAACCCCTCGGCCAGCACCATGGAAGCGGCGGGGACTAGGACGCAGTTTGACTGCTATGATACAGGCTATGAAGAAAGATGAGGACGACAAGCTTGATGAAGAGGCGGATATTATGCGAGAACTGGAAATGGAAGAAGAAGGCATAGTGGCTCCAAAGAAACCCAGAGTACCGCAACTCTTGGTGCAAGACAGCCAGGCGCCGATGCCCTTGGGTCCAGATCGGGGTGTTGAATCCGAAGAAGACAGTGAGGAAGAGCCGGAATTGGGTCCCGATGGCAAGCCTCGAAGGGCATGGAAGAAGAAGGGAATGAAGAGGCAAACACGACGGGTGATAAGTATGGCTTGGTTTTCGTTTGAAACAAGCACCTTGACTAACCATCTCCAGTGCGTCCGAACATTGTTAAGCCTAAGCCAATACCAGCACCAGAAACACATAATGATGTGGAAGAGCAGACACGTGTGCCAGAGACGCAAGTATCAGCAGACATAGAGGACGAGTTCGGTTCAGATGTGGACGATGGATCAGACTATGCTAGCGATGTGTCGCATACTCCGAAAGTACGGAAAGTGACGAAAAAAACACAAGAAGCAAACGAGAAGCCGAAAAAGGAAAATATTATAAAGACAGCTGCCCGGAAAATCAAAGCTACAGCCAACGCAAATTATCGGAGACTAAACATCAAGGGGAAAACAGGGGCTAGCGGAAAGGGGAGGTTTGGCAAGAGAAGATAGATGGGCCACACCGATCTAGTTTGTCCCACACTCAGGTTCCAGTAGTAATGTAACACATATTTGAGCTTCAGGCCTGTCAAGAGAGGATGTACCTGTTTGCTTTGTCGAACAGATTTATAGAGGCAACGTCTATCTTTATACGACACATGGACCAACACGCAATAAGCCCAGTGGGATCACACAAATCACAGGTTGTAAAATCATCGGAAGTGATGTCAGCTGCAGTATCGGAAGAATAGGTAGGCTAGGACTAGGACTTTGGAATCGCCAATAGTATTCTGGGACTTCTGAGACAGTGTGACCATTCTGGTCATCTGCAGAAATCGGTGCCTGATATGTGATGAAATCCAAGGTTGCCGTTTTCATATAAAGTGGTTAAAATGTACTTGTTTCTTGCTGTATGTATGTATTCTTTCTCGCTACTGTAGACATATGCATAAAAGATGGCATACATTCGTTATCGCACGTTTGAAGGTTACGATACGGCGTGGCGGTTGGTCAGCCCCCAGACGCTAAGCCCAGCAGCACCTCCGACGCCGACGGCCCCCCGACGTATACGGTCGAAGCTTCCACCCGCGGCGACAAACAACACCACCACCACATCACCCATTCGACTACTGCAACCCACCCAAGCTCCCTCTTACTCACCATCTGTATCATCAAACGAGAAACCAGAATCGCCCCGCACCATGGCCGAGAAGGAACTCTCCAGCGTGCTTCAGCAGCTCCACCAGACGCTCAAGTCACACAACTACCAGCAATCAACATCATTACTAGGCAAAGCCAAGATCGCCCTACTCAACCTCAACGCCCTCATCCCGCAAGAAAAGACGCCACGGAAACACCTGCAGCTAGCACGCGAGACACTCGAGCTCGGCGCCATCATCTCGATCCGCCTCAAAGACACCGAGTCCTTTACCCGCTACTTCCAGCAGCTGCAGCCCTTTTACTCCCTCCCGGAGTCGACACTGCCCAAGGACGGCAGCAATTCCAGCAAAGTCACGGGATTATACCTGTTGCTGCTGCTGAGCGAGGGCGACTACGCGGGGTTCCACACGCTGCTCGAGACGCTCGAGGTGGCGGCTGCGCAGGCGGGCTCGAAGCTCGAGGCTGACCAATTTATCCAGTACCCTGTGAGGTTGGAGCAGGCGCTTATGGAGGGTAGCTATGATAAGGTGTGGGTTGAGACGAAGAGCGAGAGGGTGCCCGGCGAGGAGTTTGGGCTGTTCACAGAGGTACGTCATAAACAACAACCTTTGCCACATTTGTGTAGCACCGGGGAAAGAATGAATTGAAGACTTGATTTATTAACACTCTTTTCTGTAGATTCTCATCGGAACCATACGCAAGGAAATCGCCTCGTGCAGCGAACGCGCATACCCCTCCATCCCCATTTCCGACGCCAAATCCCTTCTCTTCCTCGACTCGGAAGGCAGCGTTGTCAACTTTGCAAAGGAATCGGGATGGGTTGTCAAGGACGGACGGATATACTTCCCCCAGCAGGAGGATGACTACATGAGCAAGGATATTCTGGTTACGAGCGATCAGGTTATTGAGAATACGCTGGGATATGCACGGGAGTTGGAGACGATTGTCTAAGGGAGTGTCGGAAGAGGGACTGCTTCTCTTATTTGTTTGTTTTTTGCTCTCGCGAGCCAGAGTAGAGTCGCACAAGTGCAGATTAGTGTACGATATATGCATCAAGACACAATTGGATGGTCTGCGCGTATGATGGATATGCGGCAATGAGGAGATGTGGTATTCCCGATGACAAGGAAAAAAGAGACAAGTAATGATTACGACTCTTTCCTTGTTCAGTCTTTTCTTTCTCCGATAAACAGGCTAAATCTGTACATGGCATATGGCATATGGCAAAATCACATGCTTGAACACTACTTGCAGAGACCATAGGCTCACTAAAGCACAGACAATGTGCATTTAATAGTCTGAGAGGAGATATTGGGGGAGCGGGCACGGAACAAGAAAAGTATGTACAGACGTATTCAACCTAGGTTCCAAAGAACCAAACTAATAAACTAGGTAAGTAGATCCAAGATATTCCAATTCCCTCTCCTCCTCCACTTTCCAATCCAATATATCCAAGCCCAGCCAGCCCGCAGTCCCAACCCAATCCAACCAAAAAAAAACACACACAGCCCGAGAATATAGGCAAAGAAAAAGAAGAAGAAAAAAAAGATGAATTAACTGAACCATGGAAAATAAAATGCGCAAAGACAATAAATCCTATTCACAAAAAAAACAAGAAACTCCCGCTGGTGTACGATTTGGTATAATCTCCAAACACCGATCCAAACAAACAAAACCGCTGTAAACTAGAAAAACGTGGGAAGATGAAAGAAAAAAAATAGAAGATAGACCAAAGAAAAGATGAGGACATGTATAGGATGAGGTAAGAAAAAAGAAAAGAAAAGAGAATGGAAAAAAAATGCCGGATCGGGGTATCCCAAGGAATATTTCTCTCGGCCAACACAAGTGGGGGGTTTTTTTGCAAGCGAACTCAAGAATCGTAAACTCCCCCCCCCCCCCAAAAAAAGGGTTAAGATAGTATAGATAGATGTAGATGTAGATGATTTCGAGTTCTCGAACAGTAAGCGGGGAGGAGGAGGAGGGTAACCCGTATTGGCTAAAATTTGGAAAGTAGGAAAAAAAACCCCCCGAATAGACCCAGAAGCCGGAAAAGAGAAAGAGAGAGAGATGAGAAGAGAGATACCCATTAGTTCTGCAAGAAGAAATGCTATGGTGGAAGCAAAGACCGTGAAGTTCCTCATGTCATGTAACATTTCAATCATGAAGATAGATAGAGAGATTCGTCATGTTATCTTTTTCTCCTTTTGCGTTTTGGTCGTTAAAACATCGTAAGCCGTCAATCTGGCCGGGAAAAAAAGATCATCATGGATTATGATGGCGACGTTTGTCTTGGGCCCTTGGAAAAAAAAAGGGTTATGGGTGGATGTAGTAGATGTCTGTGAGGTGACTGACAAATAGCAAACTAGAAGGGAAAAAGAACAAGGTGAATTTGCCCGAAATCAATCTACTGTAAAACTTTCAGTGTCGATGCTCCACGGCTTGCTGTTCCCCTGTAGCCACGGCAACGAGCGCTTCCAGTCGTCTCATGTCATTGTTGTTGGTATTGGCATTGTTGTTCTGTTGAGCAGGTGATGGACCGAACGTCACGGGTCCCCGCTCGGAAGGCTCACGCTGTGGATGATAGCCTGAGCTAGAACTCGAGAGACTGTGGCTATGGTAGTGCTGATGTGGCTGTGAGTGTAAAGGATGGGGCCTTTCCATAATAGACGTCGCGGGCGTGGACTTGTGATCTTCAACAACAACTGGCGCCTCCACGTACCCGTTGCTATGCACAATAGCGGGGTGGTAGTCGATCATGGTCCCTGGCGTCGGCACTCCCTCACTACTGCTAGAATCCTCGGGTGACGTGCGCTGCATTGCCCGCTGTGGTTGGCTCATAGGCCCATTGTACCAAGCTTGTCGTTTGCTCTTTCGTGGAGTTTCAGGCTGCTCCTGGGACGTCCGTGGTGACGAGTTTATTGACGGGATCTGGATAGGCTGGAGGTTGGCCGGCTGTCGACTGAAGTAACCGTGCGGGGCTGTCGTTGGTCTTGCGGTACTTGTCCGGCCTGCACTGCCGGGATACTGTTGCGACCATTGCTCTCTTTGCGAACCCGGGCCGGCGATGTTCAGTCGATCGATCTCCCATGAAATGCTTGTTCGCTTGTGATGGCCCCGATTTGGCGGGGGTTCCCTTGGTGCATGGTATGTCAATGGGCGGCCAGGAGCGTCCACCTGCATCGGACTTGGCTGACGTCGAGGTAGTGTTGGCGGAGGCGGAGCATGATCAAAGCTTTCAATGCCCGGAAGTCTGGTAGTCTGTGAGGCAGCAGGCTGCGAAGTGTACAATGGTCGTGGAGCGTCAGGTGTTTGGTGATAGCCCAATCCACTCGTCGCGGGCCGAGGACCGGAATAGGTTCCCGGGTGCCAAGTTCGCCGCCTCCAGTCTGCATCGGCGTTAGAGTCGCCTTTGGACTCGGAGAAGTTGGAGACGGTAGGACTAGCGTATGCGCTGCTTTGTATGGAATATGTAGGAGGAGCTGTCGATTGCAGAGGTGTAATGTAGGTGGGAGGGCCTTGTCCAGGAGGGCCAGCAAAGGGGTTTGGGTTTGCATTGGACGAAACAGATTGTCGACGTCCTGGTGGCGGTGGTCCAGCCCAGGATACTGGTCTTGAAGTGCTTGTGGCAGGAGATTGCATAGTTGATCCAAAGTGAGCAGGGCTACCAGTGGCTGCAGAGAGGGTAGCAGATGTGGGCGTTGTAGGCGCATTAGATGGCGTGTCGTATTCAACAGGCCCAGGACTGCCCATCATGGGCGGATCATATGCACTTGCCGTGTTGAGCGATAGGCGTGCTCTGGCACTCGCACCGCCATCACTAGCCATGGCGAGAGGCGGGGGTCTGCGGCGAATATCTGGTGATTGGGCTACACTCACACTTGACATGGTGGATGTGATGCTGGAAGCTGACAAATTCCTGCTGTGGCCACGACTGTGTCCGCCTGTGCTGCCCAGTGTATTTGCACGGGAGCGGTTCCCAGGTGGGCGTACGCGGTCAGTTCGTATTTGACGTTGAAACCTTGTGCCTGTTGCGGCGAGGGATTCCGACGGGATGTCTTCATTTACATGGACAGTTTGTGCGTGTTGCCGCAGGTTGTCGAGACGAGAGAAGCGTCTGGAGCAGTGGCACTGGAAGGGTCGTTCACCCGTATGTTTACTGAGGGGCACGTTAGGAAAGTACAACAAGTCGAACAGCAGAGCACGTACCGAATGTGCCGTGCCAAATGTTCGCTCCGGGTGAAGCTCAAGTTGCAGGGCGGGAAGTCTGTGCAGAAGAAGCGCTGTCCCTTCTTCTTCTTGGACGGCCGGTTTGAGTCGCTGGTGACGCTCTCATTGTCGGATCCGTCTTTGTCGTCGTCGCCGTCGCCCATCTGTACGTCTTGTGTGGCTTTCTGTGCATCCTCTCTACTCTGCTCGCTCTTGTTGGAAGCTGACGGTGTTTCGCTCAATTCGCGGGCGGGAGTAAAGGGAGACGAGGGCAGTGGGCGCTGGCCAGCAAGTCCTGCAAATGTATTGCGTGTGGGTGTCTTTGCCGCCGGGTCTTCTGCCCGAACATCTTCCGCGGGCTTTGGCTCTGCAAAGAATCTGTTATTTGGGCGGGGTGTTGTGGGTGTTGTCTCGTCGCCTGGACGCCCTTGTGGCGGCTCCGGGACCGGCAGGGTAGTGTTGACTGCTTGAAAGCTAGACATGGTGGAGAAGATGGCGGCTTAGCAGCCTGTACTATCCTCCTCTTGTCGCGTGTGGTGCAATGTGCGGTGCGCACGTCTACAGGAACAGGGCGCGTGTTACGTCGCGGTGTGGACAATGATGAGACGCTTACCACAGGCGCGGGCGATGGGGGAGAAACAGAGGTGTAAGGTTAACGTAAGCGCAAAAGGCAGGACGCAGGCAGGAAGCTTTGAGCGGCGCGATCAGAGGAACAGTGCCGGGCGTTCCTGAAGCGGGCGGTAGAAGGCTGAAACGGGATGATGACGAATGAAGAGCGGCGTTGCAACAACATCCGGGCGCTGCCTCCAGCGAGCGAAGACAAAGGACCGGCGGTGCACAGGTGTGGTTAACAAGATACAGTGGGTCGCGGTGTGGATTTGTTATGGACGGGTCGTGGGTGGACGGACCAGGCGTGTGGTGGAGGTTGAGCAAGCACGGATGCTCGGAGTTTGGGTGGGTGGTGAGTATGATAAGGCGCGTGGTCGGATGCCTCAGGTGGCGGGGAGGGTAGGGTACAGCTAGCAGCCCCTCGTCGACGGGGTCCGGGTCGCAGTGCACACACACACAGGCACGGGAGCCGCAGAAGACGGACAGCAGTTAGGAAGGGCTGGGAGTGGTGTGTGTGGTGTGGTGTGGTGTGGTGGGGGGGGGGAAATGCAGGAGAGCGGGATTCGAGACAAAGTCACGATTGCGTCGCGGCTAGATGCGAGGAGGGGTTGGCTGGGAAGGTGGTAGTAGCAGTAAAAGTAGGGCAAGACAGTCGCAAGAGCGAGTATGGAGAGTAAGGCACAGGACGCATAGGACGGACGGCATGTTAGCGGCCTGGCACCAACACCAGCACCAGCACCTGGGCACCTGGGCTGGGGTTTACAGCAATTAGTGAGCCAGCGGCGACAAGGACCATCTGGTGTGCAGATCCCTGAGCCCGCCTATGGCATGCAACCCGTCGAGGCCCCCGTCGTGTCCGCCCGTCAGACTTGCAGCCCGCAGGCATACTACCCTCGCTCTAGTCTAGACGACGAGAGGCAGCGTAAGCCAGGCGTGCGAGCAAGTGCTGCACATCCGACTCCGACTCTGCACGCCGCGACACGCCCTTTCACGTGCCATGTCTGCGCCGTAGCCAGACAGGCACCGTTGGCTGCCCACGCCTGCACCGGCGTCCTCTGTCGGTCCCAGCAGGCCGTGGCATGGGGAGCTGCCCGTGCGGCGGCGAAGCAGTTGCAGTTGGGTTCGACGTGCATGCGAGGCTGATGCAAGGGGGGGGACTCGAGAGCAGATCCACACAAAAAAGTGTTGTACCTTTGTACCTTGCCGAAGCGAACGACTAGCATCCGTCGCTCTGCCGGACTTGAGCGACTCGATCACTGACTGGCTGTGTCGGCTCGTACCACAGCGACCCGATGCCCGGTACCCGTCGAGGTGGTGGCCGATGCTCCTACTCTTATCACTGCTGCTGGTGCTGCTGCTGGTGCTTGTTGGTGTTGCTGGCCAAAGACAGGCAGGTAGGGCGGCCTCGTCACCTCATGAGCCTGGCTGTCGAGGCGGTGGGCGATGGATGCTCTGTCGACGCCTTTTGCAGCATGCTGACAGGGCTAAGGACCAAGGCCCCAACTGGCTCGGCCACTGGCTCGTAACCCTACCCTACCCTACCCTAACACTGCGGACGTACGCGGGACGATTCCTTTAGATCGCAAGGGCCATGGTCATCTGCGCCTCTTCACCATCGTCTGTACCATACTTTTTCCTCTCCCCCTCTTGTCCTCTTGCCCTTCTTGCCTCTAACCCCCCCCGCCTCCCCTGCCACACTCCACCAAGCCACCAGACTTACTGTGTACAGGCCCCAAATTCCCATGCAAACCCCATGCACACCACAGTATTGCTATTGACACGTTGCCAATTCCATTGCCACTTGCACATGGCCTGACATGCTTATATACAAGTATCATACACAGGTGTGTGTGAGTGCGTATCTGCACATGCATTGTGTACACACATACTATTTACGTATGCAGCCCGGGCAAAGTGCCTGTCTGTAGGCGTAAGCAAGTCATACTCTGGTCCTGCAGCACAAACTCGACTCGCGTGGCGCGCATTTGTCGTCGAAAACGACCGTAGTCCTTGTGCGCCGGTAGGGACTCGCCTGGATGCGTGAAACAGGCCAAGCCAGCTGGCGCCAGCGGCGGTGGCATGGTGCATGGCCCACGCTTGGTGTTGAGGGGCAATCCTCGTACCCCCCATTACTCGCTACTACCTGCTACCACCCACACGCTAGTCTGCCCACTCCGCCTTCCCTCTTCCACCCACTACCCCGCCATGTGACGCAACCCGTCACCCTCCGTCCCTGCCTACACTACACTGCACTCCACTACAGGCACACACGCCATACAAGGTAAAAAAAAACTACTCGCCTTGCATACTCGTCTTCTAATGCATTGATGGCTTCCAAGTCATCCACACCACTTGCTTTTTGCCTCTACTCCCCCAAAATACCCCACTGCAAAGCACATGCATCATCCTTGGCCAAGCTGCTATCACACTACTTTATTCTTCGACTCATACACTCGTTGCCTATCCCCTTTTCTATCCCACCCCAACTCCAACATGCCAACCCCCTCTTCAGTCCACTTCGCCATACAATACAAGAGCGTACATCGAACCCATAACTACTTACTGCACAACCTGAGCACAAAACACGTTAGCACAGTCCTTGCACACAACATATACACACATGCACACAATCACTGTCCTACCTTTTCTCGGAGCTTGCTTATCCATTGAACAAGACTCTCGCCCTGGTCGGCTCGGTCTTCCACAAGCAGTGTTTGCGCCCACAGCTTCAGGCTCGGCTCTCCGTCCTCCTTGACAATGTAGAGTGTAGGCAGCGTAATAGACCCTACCCCCTTGGACTTGTGATCTCTCGACTTCTCCACCACTGCTCCACGTTAGAACATGCCATCTCCAATCTCTTTCCCACACCCCTGACTTACCAGCTCGCACTCGCTCAGAGTATTCATTGTCGAGAATAGGCAGTGACGCCTTGCCTTGCTTCAACTGTGTACGGTCTTCAACGCCAAATACATCCGCCAACAGTGCCGGGACAGCATCGCGTCCAATCCACCTAGTCACGTTAGCTCGTCTGCTTCACCTTCTCGCTAGCAAGCTACCTACAGGAACTGGTTAACTCCGTCATCAATGAGGTACAGACCATACGACACAATCAATCCGCTCGACAGATTCAACTGAGGTGGCATCGTAATCTGCCCAGTCGTAGGCTCAGGCACACCAGCATCATCGGGCATGTCCTAAATCATGTTAACCCAATAGCTTACTGTTTGCTCTTGGACAACGACTTACGTGCAGAGAGTAGAAACTCGGGTAAATATACTGCACAAGCAGGCGCAGGGGCAAAGTCGACAAGAGATCCAGCGCTGCTGACCGGAGATCGCTTGGGATTTGGGCGCTCTTGCGAAGACCAACGTTTTTGATCAGACCCAGGAACAGGATGGGAAGAGCGCGGAGGTTCTGGGGCAATTGCAGTCCACCACCGCCCATGCTGCCTCCTGCCAGCTCTTTCCTGTATGTTGACAGAATCTCAATCATCTTTGCCTGTAGCGCATCTCGTGCCGCATCCAGACCACTCGATAGCGCTCGCTCAACCGCCTTGTGGCTGAAATACGTCGTGATTGCCTGCGCATCTGCCGACGCATACACCGTCGCCAGGTTCTCCGTCGTCGGCACCGCAAGCGTCAAAACTCGAATGCGCCGCTGACCATTCGAAGTGGTGTGCAGCACCGCCGCCTGGAGACAGGCAAATGGCCTTGAAATTGTTTCGTCAATCGCAACTTCAATCACCACCGCCTGATCTCTCGGGTAGGCCGGGAAAGCACACAGATCCGAAGAGCGATTAAAGAAGTTTCCGTAAAAGGCAGACATCCTCAATCCAGTCGTAGCACGCACACGCAGCACAGCCTCAAGACCAATCTCGGCAGATAGGTAATCAGCAAGCTCCGTCGCAATCTTGACCACGTCTTCTTGTCTTGCCGCATTCCATCCAGGGTAAAAGTATGTTTGACCTGCCGTAAATCGAGGAAGATTACTGAGCGTAGCAACATCCTGATACGCCGATGAAAAGAGGAACATATCCACCGATACTTGATTCTTGGAGCATTCCACGGCAAACGACTTGTACCAGTTGTTGGCCGGTTGTAGGAGGCTACCTTCCTTACCCGTGCCCAACAGTGACTTGTCTTCTCGTGGGCTCAGAGCGGCATGGCCGACATTGGGCAAAGATGCGGCAATGACCGTAAGCTTTCCTCCAAGAGGAGAGATGAGCTTATGCGCCGATCGGAGAGCTGATCCTAGAGCGAACCCAGGAACGTGTGTGTTCTGGAACATGGCAGGAAGACGGTCCAGGAAAGTTTCAATGTTGTTGCGACATTGGCTAAGGCTCACAAGGAGATCTGAAGGCATGGGTAGGTAGGGCTCGTCAAGATCTGACACAACCAGCTGTTGTGGCTCATTGGACTCGCTATTGTCAGGAGGAATTCCGAAAAAGTGGAGGCCATTGTCAACTGCCATGAAGCCGATGCGTGTTCTACCGTCAGCATTGGGTATCCGGCCAAGGGCCTCCTTGATTACTCTCGAGACTACTGCAAGAAGACCGTTGTTGACTGCAGCCTGGGTACAGTCCAGAATGATGTAGTAACACAATGGTTGGGGTGGGCGAACCATGTATTCCTGTGGCGCAACAAACTCCGTGACGGCATAGTTCAGCTCGGGTCGCTGCCAGCGATCCACGCTCTTTTGCTGCGCTGCGTCCCAGTCGAATGCCTGTGGAACATCGTTTGTCAGGTTGCACATGTTGCACCTCCACCTATGGCCATGGTCTAGGAAGGAAACAAATGGGTTGATGTAGGCGCGGCATCGTCGACAACGGCTGATGATTTGGTCCTGCACTACAGGTATCGGATCTTCAGAATCGTGTAGACTAGCATATGGGCTTATGACCAAAGCAAAGGGCAATTTGCTCTTCTTGAGTAGGTTGTGGTTTGTAGGGATGGTGTTGAGCGTACACCGCACATACTTGCTAGATTCGTTCGCAAACTCGGAGGGCGTGGCCGCAGCGTTGGCTGGTAGATTGATCGGTGGAGGAGGGTTATACAGCTCTGAGACGTGGAAGGGTTGAGCAATGAGATCCGAGGGAAACAGTTGATTCTGCTGAGTAGCCGCTGTGGGTTGCTGGACTTGAGGAGCTACCTGTCCTGGACCCAAGTTCATCTGTCCGAACTGCTGATTGAGAGCATTTGGGTCTTGAGGCGCAGGCTGTCCATATGGTGCAGGTGCTCCATATCCGGGAGAGGGTGCACCATATCCGGGCGCAGCAGTAGGGGCACCATATCCTGGTGATGGCGCCCCATACATGGGCGCGGGCGCACCATAGCCTGGTGCTACTGGAGGGGGGGCTGCGGCTGCGGCCTCTTGTGTATTCGCACCGAATTGGTATCCCGTTCCTGCTGCATAGCGGTCTCTCTTCTTGCGATCCGCCATGTTGAACGTCAGCAGGGGTTTGAAATCGGAAGAGGTGCGGGTTGAGGCTGGAAGAATGGCAGGACTGGCGGACTTGGGCGTGAATTTAGAGGTGAGGTTATAGCTCGATGTGTCTTCTTGGGGAACGGCACATTCCGCGCTAAGGGACCCCCACCAAAATGTGCACAGACCCTTGTATACCACGATATACTAGGTGGGACAAAGTGTGGAACACTCTTATCTTAACCGTCAGGCAGACACTTTACCAAAACTTTTTTTGTTACTTTGAGACACCCTTACATCATCCTAGGCAACACAGATCTCACTTCTAAATACGTGTCGGCACGAGAACGCATTTAACGACAATGGTAGGAGACACGTTTGACTAAAACATCAGATCGTTATTACTCATTAAAACATTAAAACATTCGCGCACAGCTGTCCTCCATGATTAAGCCACGTTAGCAACCTCTTGTCTAGGCGTCTGCTGATGCTGAGCGCTGACCCTGTCTGCTTCTTCCAGCGGATAAGCAGCCGATCCAGCTTTGTCGTACTGCACACCAACTGGGCTCTCGCTCCTCACTATACCCTCATTGGTAGCAGACTCTGGAACAAAGGTTCCCGCTGCCGGAGTGCCCGGCATAGCACCTATTCCAAGGTTGCCTGCATTCGAGTGGATGGGTTCAACCTCTAACTGGTAGCGGCGGAGGTCGTCTTCAGCGTCGTTAAGAACTTGACGCGCTGTTTCTCCCTCAGCAAATGCGGGATGTGCGTCTCCTGGTACTATTGGAGTGTCATCGACCAAGTTCAAGAGACGACGAGCGTGCTTCGCCAAGATTATCTGCTTCTCTGCCCGCTCAATGGTGGCTGCAAAGTGGAGGTCATAGGCCTCCTTGAACTTTTGACGGGTCTGGAAGAGTTAGCAAGAGATATTTATTGCAAAGAAATCGCCATACAATATTGTTGAGTTGTGCCTCGGCCACCAAACTCTGGGCCTCTGCGCGGACAAGCTCCTGTTCGAGCTGAACTATTTTGGTACTCTGTGGTTCCTTGTACTTCAGCTTTGCGATTTCATCAGACACCTAGAAAGTTGATTAGAACATTACGCGCCGGCGAGAACACTAGAACGTGCCTTGGCCTTGTGGTCTCGGCTGGGCTGCACTGAGCTCTCGGTATTGCGGATCTGCTTGAGGATACTGCGGTAATCCTCCAACGATTGTGCAAAGACATCCTCCTGCTCCCCAATTTCTGCAAGCAATACTCCGAGTTTGTCGGAAACATCCGAAATAGTCTCGTCCCCCGTAGCCTCACCCCATTCAGACAGCTGCTGAGCGATACTGATTCGTTCGCGCCCAGCAGCCTCGTGGGCCGTAATGGCATGATTTTCTGTCTTGATGATTTTGAACAGCTTTTTCGAAAGCTCTGGTTGTTGCGTGCCCCGGAGAGATGCCATGGTGAAGCGGTGCTTGGGGGCCGATTTCTCGCCGCTGCCGCTACCCTTCTTGGAGCGTACTGAGAGCGATCGATTCCTGAGCAGAACATGGTGGTTAGCCACGGCTGTAGGCGTAGTACACGAAATTAAGAAGACAGTAAGGATTGGTTGTTGCCATGCAATCCTGCTGAAACTTTGCCCTTGGCAAGGCACTCTCTTGCATAACAGATTCCGAGGAGTAATCAGTGGCAGATGCTCTATTTTTGGAACTGTAGAGATGCAATGCGAAATGAAGCCAAGAGGCCGGACTTACATGGTTCCAGAGTTTCACTAAACAACAGGTAGATAGCGTGACGTATAGGGTTGTCTTCTGGATCCGTTGAAATTGCTAGGTTATGCTGGCGCGTAAGTAAGTAGGCAAGTTGCCCCAGCAGGCTTTGCTGGAGACAGAACAAAGTGCAGTGTAGTACTGCTCCGCAGTAGCTTGTATGAGGAGTCCAGGACAGGTTGAGATGCGAGGATGCTGTAATGGGCGTGCTGGTGGAGAGTGAATTACTGCATAAAGCCTGGGTCTGGCGGAGGGGGGGGGGTGATTGGGGAAGTTGCGCCAGACACGGTGATGTCATAGCCGTGTCAAGCGGAAGGCGCGCAGGTTACACGCACAACCTGTCGCCGCTTCCTTTGGGTGCCGAGTGATCCGCGTGTGATGGCTATAGGTCGCAGGCTATGGGCGGCAAGAAATATCTGTCTTGGACTTTCTGATAACACTGCAGGCATAAACCGATATGTCTTGGTTGCCGTCTATCCATCCTCGACGCCGCCCGCGGAGGCGCGCAGCAAAATTTGGTGTGCAGGGCACATAAGTACATGCATGCAACCATACACAATACCCACATGGCCAGACGTCCATGTGTATGTAAGCATGCAGCTGGAGAAGAAGCACACGGCAGTTGGCGTGAAGAGCTGTAAAGCAGAGTCGAGAGCACTGACGACCATGGTGCCATGATATGAACGGCTATCCCCGTCGCGTCGCGGGTGCCGCTCCAAGTGCCGGTCTTACTCCAGTGACAGCACAGTAGTGTAAGTACACCTATAGTGTACACCTATAGTGTACTTACAGCACTTGCAGCCGTGAATTCTGGGGTAGTCTAGCCCCTGCGTACGGTGAAATACGGCCATTGCGTAATTCATAATCTCGGTCGCAATCGAGTGGAGGGCCAGTAAAGTGGTGCGTGTTTCTGCCATGTAAGAACTTAGTGTCCAAGTACTTATTACATACGCTGGAGCCATGAGTCGAGATACGAAGCTGTAAGGTATCAGGTAGACTGCTCTAGTCGGCGGACAATATACACAGGACAAACGCCCTCGACAGAACCTGGCACACACACTGTTATGCAAATTGTGAGGCCTCTGCTGCTGCTCCTTTGCGTCACCTGATGTCGAACGGTCCGATGCATACTAAAGACGGTACAACTGCAGCCACAACTCCGAGCCGGCGTTTCTTTAGGCGGGCCAATCGCTTCAGTTGCTGCGCTCCCGCAAGCGCGCTCGCCGTTGTCGCCTCCAGGGGGGCCAGGGCATATACCAGTAATTCCGCCATTTGCTAGTTAAATCCCGCTGCTACTTGGAATCCTCTCACCACAGCAGCCTAAACGAGTAGGTGTCAGCACAAGGACTAAGGCCTTTGTGTTTACCGAACACTGTGCCGTGTCCACAAGCGGAAACCCAGCGTGCATGCAAACAAGCCTGATCCGCCAATGAGCGGAGTGGAGCGCACCCGTCACTACAAACGCTAAGCCCAACCTACGTGCGGCAAGGCTGCATGCTGCGGCCCTGATTTCGGCCGCATATTCATCTATACCACGCCCGTACGATATTTGCCCATTCGTGCGGACCTTTCGTACCCATCACTCCGGCGTACAGGCTCATTTTCCCTGGAACCTTCCCCAGGGCCTCCATTTGTTTCGAGGCATCAATGGCGGTAAGGAACATTCTGTGCATTCCCAATACATGCCCATCCTAGTCGATGAGATGACCAGGATCAACACGTCCCTCGTCTATATGCAAAACCATGCCACTCTTGAAGCGCCTGGCCCTAGGCCTTTGGTAAGCAGCGGTACTTTTTTCTGCACTCTGGATGCGGTACGCGGATGGACATTCCACATGCCGATGCCTCAACCGAGCCGGCGGCCGGGCCATGCCATCAAGACGTCTCAATTCCAACGAACAATATTGCGCTTCGCCAAATCGCTCCACCTCTGTAGTATGTGAACCGCAAGGTTTGCCCGGCGTTAGAGTTGTGCAGTACTGCAATCCCCACCGCTAAGGCTTAGTGACCTCACAGCCAGCTTCTCGAACGCATCTCTTTTGGTAAACTTTGTAAGCCAGGCTCCGGTTCCACTATTTGCTTGGCCTCTAGGCATGGTGACATGATCAGCGCACACCCTTGGCATTGCGACTGCTTCCATATCACGCTGCGCTGATTCGATGCTTCCGTCCACAGCTGCGGGGCCTCGAGCCGTGTGTTGAGCAAAAAAGGAAATATCCCAGTGTGCGTTGTGTGAAAGGTCTCCGCATGCGTGGCAAGCACAGTGTAACATGCAGAAAAGAAAAACGTTATCTCTGCTACACCCAGGGATCATCAACCATCGCCATCTCTCGTGCTAGTTTCATGGCCGACCCTATGCCTAATCAAGGTAACAGATTCGTGTCAGTTACATACTTACACACATGCAGCATAAACTCTGTCCACTCGGAGATCCGATAATGCTAATCCTTACCCCAGACCTATTATTGTAAGTACACGTCCTACCAGTAGTCAACCTACCCACCAGCTCGGGATCTACTAGCACCCATGACCACGTTCAGCTGGGAAATTACCATCATGTTATTCGGTCATTCAGGACTGCCGTTTGCCAGGATCTAAACTAGCACGACGTTGAAGCACGGGCTAACCGTCCGATGCTTTTTAGCTGGCTACAACGTCCCACAGGCGGTATAAAGGGCCAACACCATCTTCTCTTCCAGGCCATCTCACGTCGCCTCAAGCAACTTCCAACATGGTACGGTCTAACGTTTTGACAGCAATTGCTGCTATTTGCCATGTCGCTCACGCTGGTTGCCCCATCATGGGTGATCAACCAATCGCCCGACGCGATGGTGCCACTGCCATGTCAACCGACGACTTCATGAAGCAGTACGAGATTGACGACAGCAAAGCCTACCTCACGAGTCCTGTAGGAGGGCCCCAGCCCGACCAAGAGAGCCTCTCGGCTGGCGAGCGAGGTCCATCACTGCTCGAGGATCAAATTCTCCGCCGCAAGATCATGAGCTTTGGTAAGAGCAATGCAGATCTCCGCATCTTACGATTCACTAACCGAGACATTTAGATCACGAGCGTGTTCCTGAGCGCGCCGTGCACGCCCGTGGTGCCGGTGCTCACGGCATATTCAAGTCATTTGGTGACTGGTCTAACATTACCGGGGCCTCGTTCCTTGCCAATTCTGAGAAGGAAACGCCAGTTTTCATTCGATTCTCTACTGTTGCGGGAAGCCGTGGCTCCGCCGACACTGCCCGAGATGTTCACGGCTTTGCTGTCAGGTTCTACACCGACGAAGGCAACTTTGGTAAGCACCATATTGACGACACACATGTGCGGTACTAACAGCCTCTAGATATTGTCGGCAACAACGTTCCTGTCTTCTTTATCCAGGATGCCATCAAGTTCCCTGACCTTATCCATGCTGTCAAGCCCAAGCCAGACAGTGAGATTCCTCAGGCAGCAACGGCTCACGATTCGGCATGGGACTTCTTCAGCCAGCAGCCCAGCACTATGCACACCCTCCTGTGGGCAATGAGTGGACAGTGAGTGGACATGTACATTGTTTGGATAGGACGATCACTAACAAGTTGTTTCTTTCTTACAGTGGTACCATTCGTTCCTACAGGCACACCGATGGCTGGTAAGAACAACCTCTCTCATGTTTAGACGAACAATATACTGACTGATTTGTCTAGGGGTGTACACACTTTCCGCTTTGTCCGTGATGACGGCAAGTCCAAGCTCGTCAAGTTCCGTTTCCGATCTCTTCAGGGCAAGGCCTCCCTGCTGTGGGAAGAGGCTCAAACCACCGCCGGAATGAACGCAGATATGCACCGACAGGATCTCTTCGAGAGCATCGAGAACGGCTACTACCCAGAATGGATCGTGCGTACCCCTAGCCTATTCAAAAACAATGATTGCTAACCTTTTGGTGTTCAGTTTGAGGTTCAAGTCATAAACGAGGAGGACCAACTTCGATTCGGATTCGATGTTCTCGACCCCACCAAGATCGTTCCCGAAGACATTGTTCCTTTCACCCCTCTTGGAAAGTTGACCCTAAACCGCAACCCTCGCAACTACTTTGCCGAGACTGAGCAAATCATGGTATGTTCCGATGCCATCTTGACGGGGTTTTCTGAATGCTTACTTCTGTGTCCCTAGTTCCAACCCGGTCATCTTGTCCGCGGTATTGATGTTTCCGAGGACCCGCTCCTTCAAGGACGTATGTTCTCGTACTTGGACACTCAGCTGAACCGCAACGGTGGTCCCAACTTTGAGCAGATCCCTATCAACCAGCCCCGTGTTCCCGTCCACAACAACGAGCGTGATGGTGCCGGCCAAATGTACATTCCTCTCAACACTGCCGCTTACTCGCCCAACACGTTGAACGGCGGTTTCCCCAAGCAAGCCAACCAGGCCGAAGGTCGCGGATTCTTCACTGCGCCCTCTCGATCCGTCAGCGGAAACCTTGTCCGCACCGTCTCCAGCACCTTCGCCGACAACTGGTCGCAGCCTCGCCTGTTCTACAACTCGTTGAGCGCAGTCGAGCAGCAGTTTGTCATCAACGCCATCCGATTTGAGACTTCGCTCCTCAAGAGCGAGATTGTCAAGCAGAATGTCTTGATCCAGCTTAACCGTATCAGCCACGACATTGCTACCCGTGTTGCGACTGCTCTTGGCATGACTGCGCCGGCACCTGATGACAAGTTCTACCACAACAACAAGACGATTGGTGTCAACCCAGCTGGCGAGCCCCTGCTTAAGATTGAGGGTTTGAAGGTTGGATACCTTACCTCTGCAGCATCCACTGGCGACAAGGGCAAGGCGCTCAAGGCCGCGCTCAAGGACAAGAAGGTTAGCTTGACGGTAGTTGCCGAGCACCTTGGCGAGGGCATTGACCAGACCTACTCTGCTACTTCGGCCGTCAACTTCGACGCCATTATCGTTGATGGTAGCGCTTCGGCCCTCTTCGCCCCCGCGGGCAGCCTCGCCAACTCCAACTCGACGGCTTCCAAGGCCCGTTCCACCTTGTACCCGGCTGGCCGCCCTCTGGAGATCCTCCAGACCGGTTACCAGTTTGGTAAGCCCGTTGGTGTTCTCGGAGCCAGCAACTCGACTCTGTCTGCTGCTGGTGTCGAGGCCGGCACTCCTGGTGTTTACAGCTTCGACTCCGTCAGCGACACGGCGGCAGTTGTTACCAAGATCACTGAGGGTCTGCGCACTTTCAAGTTCCTTGACAGGTACCCATTGGACAATTAGATAGTCCGACGTTTTCGGCAATATGTATATAGGGGGTGCTTTTACTTAGAAATTCTTGTGATGCGTACAGCAATTTGGTTTAATAGCGGGTGGTTATGTTTGTTGAAGTTTAGATCGGTCCGTTGGTGAGAAATGCAATTTTGTTCCATGCTACTACTATTCTACTGCTATTACCTGAGAAATTTGGCCAGCCGGGTGTGTGGAATGTGCCACGATTGCTTGTTTTCCACCCATCAATCGTGTAAGCGCAAAAGAGGGTAGGGTGGTGTCGTGCGCGCGCATGTGTGCTAGGTGGGTCCGAGGGATTAATGTTGGGCCACGACAAGAGCGGTCTACCAAAGTAATGAGTGTCCATGTTCTGGACTGCTCAATGGGACCCACGACGAGTAATTTCACGCCGTGGCCGAGGGCATGTCACATGGTAAGCGGCCCCAGAGAAGGTAAGTAGTCGGGATGTACACAGTAAGGACTGGAAAAGGGAGCTCGGGTGTCTGCCACGCCTCGCCACGTTCTCCACGTTCTCCACACGGCGTGCAGCCGCTCACGACGTCAACGGCGAAACGGCGAACAGGGAGTTTGCAGGACGCGGCGATGCAGTGCGTGTGCTGGGCGGCTGGGCACATACACACACCCGCACATCCGCACACCCGCACACACAAACAAAAAGGACAGACAGCATCTGGGTGTCTGGCTGAGTGGTGCTCACGCGTGGCCCAGGGCACAGTGCAGGCCATGGGGTTTGGTTTCCTGGTCTACGGCTGGTCAGAGTGGGCGGGGCTTGGCAGCTAATGCAGGGAAGGGCAGGGGAGAACACGGCAGGCCGAGATTATGGCTACCTATTACTACTCTACCGGCGCAACCCCGTGTGTGTGCTGATACAACGCTGTCGAACTCCTTACTCGACGTCTTGTCTTCTTTGCAAACACTGCGAGTTACACCCCCAAATTCACCGTACGTTTCAGCCCTGCAGGCGGCTCGCACACCACCCCATTACACATTCGGCGCGGCCTAGCTCGCTGGTCGCTCAATAATTGGCCGTCTTGCCCATCTCGCCGCTTCTTTGAGCGACGTTGCCAACACCGCCTTTGTACCCTACAAAGACAAGATACGCACACACATATATATACATACGCACAAACACGTCATGGCGACAGCAGCAGCAAGCAAGCCGCCTGCCACGAGCACGTCTCGTCGCGACGCCGCTGCCAAGACGTCGTCAGCTTCACCAGGGGCTGCAAGCCGCACGCCTGCCCGCTCCTCCACCCCGACTACCAATGGCGCCAGCGCAGTCTCGCGCACAAAATCTGTTCGTGGAGGCACCAACGGCGCTCCCGTCTCTGCACGCGCTGCCGTCAAGAAGCCTGCTACCCCCTCGAACCTGAGCAATGCGTCGCAGGCCGATGCTGACGAGGCCCGAGATGAGCATGCCGCCCTGCTTCAAGATCTCAAGGAGCGCCTGCAAAAGGTAGAGGGCGAGGCAGAAGAGCGCCAGAAGCAGATCGAGGTCCTCACTGCTCGGTTGGACGAGGCGCTCGCAGAGCAGGCCAAGCTCGAGGAGCGCGCACACGAAGAGGAAGAAAAGGTCGAGGCGCTAGAGAATGAGAAGCGCGAGCTCACCCGCCAGCACCGCGAATTCGAGGCCATCTACGAAGCCGAGCGTGCTCAGGCAATGAAGGAAAAGGAGGAGACGCAGGCACGACAGGAAGAATTGCAGGGCACTATCCAGCGTCTCAAGGAGACCATGGCGACCAAGAACATGCCCACTGGCGAGCCAGAGGGCGAGGGTGAGCAACACCTATCACGCACATGTAAGTAGTAGCGGTTCGCCGTCAACAACATGGGGTGACCACGCGCAAATACTAACTTGGTCGCAGCGAGTTTCCGCAATGCATCTTCGCGCAACAACTCTTCCCAGAATCTCGAAAATGTCGCCTCTTTCGCGCCACCCAACTCGGTGCAGCGCAGCAACTCGCGTAGCAACTCAAAGCTCATCAACCAGAAAGACAAGATCATCGAAGATCTGCGTCTAGAGCTCGCAGAGTACCAGGTAAAGATGCTTGAAGTAGAGAATGCTGGTGGCGGCCGTCTGCGCGAGCTCGAGAAGCAACTGCTGGAGACGCGCATGACCAACGCAAGGCTCATGGAGGACAATGAGAGCTTCCAGCTTCTGCTGGGTGAGAAGACCCTTAATGGAGATTTGAGCCGCGGAGATTTCTTGCGAGAGGCTTCCAGTGCCGACGACCGCTCTCCATCTCGCAGCGGCCCTTCGACAAGCCTGGCTGACGAGCTTCAATCGGCAGAAGAGGGCGACGCGGAAGTTGTTCGCAAGCTCGAAACAGAGCTCAACAGCATGAAGGCCCAAAACCAGGCCCTCACTCTCTACATCAACAAGATCATTGGCCGCCTGCTCACCCACCAAGGCTTCGAATCTGTCCTTGGCAACGACGCCGACAACGAACAAGGAGGCCCCGACAAAAATAAGGAGCTTCCACCTCCGCCACCTCAGGAGAATGAACAGCCCCAAGGCTTCCTCCAGCGCGCCAAGTCCGTGGCTATGGGTAACAAAAACAAGCCTCGGCCCCTCAGTGGCACCATGGGTCCGCCACCCCTAACCCAGCAGAGTGCACACGAAGACCCAGCCACAGCGCCCAGCATTCCCCTTACACGCTCTGCATCAAGTCGCCACCCAAGCGGCAGCCATCGCCGATCAACATCCGATGTTCCTGGCGCTGCTGGTATTGTTAACAACATGTACCGCTCCGGAGCATCCAACCCAGCTTCGCCCGGCGTGGTCTCGCCCCGTAACTCCTTTTTTGGCCTACCAGTCAACAGCGGGCCAGGTTCCAGCAACCCTGTTTCCAGAGTTCCATCTGGCCAGGGCCCTATCCCAGAGGACAAGGAGGTGGATGCTCGCACTGAGTCTTCATCGGCCAGTCACGTTGACACGCCTAGCCCGCCGCGTCAGCTTGTGCGCAGCGAGACCAGCACTAGGGTCATGACAGGCAAGGGCATGCAGCCGCTGCGCCTGGTCCAGAACGAAGAAGAGGCTATGAAGGCTCGCAAAGCTGCTAATAGGACGAGTTGGTTTGGTGGTCTCTTCGGTCAGACGCCACCTCAGCAGCAGCAGCAGCAACAGCAACAGCAACAGGACACTGCCTAGTCTGCGTCGTCAACTGGTCTGACTTGCTTGCTTTACTGGTTGGCTCTTCCTTCTTCTTACTTGTCTGATGTGACTCTTTTTCTGATCCCCCTCATGTAAGTAACTTTCATCATCACGAGCCTAACATTTTTATTATTTTTGGATACGAACGACGGCACACAACGTACGACTTAATGCAGGAAAGAAACTCAAGAAGAACGAAGTAAATGGCCAAACAAACGAGAGAATTGATTGATGGGAGGAAATATAGTTGTCCATATATGTCTACAACTTTTTTTTGTTGTTCCCAGTCGGAACATATGGGGGTGGGCGAGGGGGATTTCCAGTTTTTTTTGAGTGCACGTGGATGGAATTGCTGGAATGGAAATGAAGAGAGGAGTTGGTTTTGGGGTTTTTTATATAATCCATAATTATTTGTTTTCTACTCTCTATCCCCCTTCTACCTAAGCCGCCCTCCTTCATGCTTTGTATACCCCCAATCACTGCCCATCCCCAACGAACAAATGTATGTAGAAACGACATCAGTCCTTCGCCCTTTTTCCTTAGTAAGTCTTAGTTTCCCTTTTTTTTTCTCTCTCTCTTCGGTGAAAGTTGGTTTAGGTGTAAAAGAATGGTAATTTTTTGTTTATTTTGGCTTCATCTCATGCCGTTTTCCCCCCTACCCCCACCCCCCTCCTTCTTTTTCTTCTTCTTCTTCTTCTTCTTCTTCGTCATTAATCCACCTAACTTCCCACGCTATCATCTTCTTGCTTCGTCATCATCATCATCATCATCTCTCCCTCGTCACTACGCCTCGCAACATACTAGGTCCTAAACTCAAACTCCCCTTCCGCTCACTACATCTCGCACACGTAGCCCCACTGCGTACACGCTGTCGCTGCGTCCCGTGCGGACACAGTGTCGGGTCCAGGCTGTGTGTGAGTGCGTGGTGGCAGTGTGTGTACTGGATATCGAGCACGTGGGCGCATGTTTGTGGGGGAGGCGAGGAACACGTGTGGAGGTGGATGTAGCACATTTTCTTTCGGGTTTGTTTCGAGTTGGTTAGTTAGTTGATTGGTTGGTTGGTGCGTTTAGGTTTGGTAGGTTTCTTATTCTGTATAGGAACTCTTTTCTCCTGTATATTGCACTGGTAGGGTGCCTTTTTTTCCTATCCTTGTTTCATGGAGATATTTTAGTCTCCGGGGTGGTAGTGGATTGTGGGGTAGGTATTTGCTTGTTTGGTGGTGTTGGTGATTGTTAGGTACATCTAGGTATATGTGTTTTGAGATTTTTTTTCTTCCAAATCTTTTCCAGATCTTCGATCCTTGGGAGTGAGACGGGAAACAGTGTTTTGTTGTCTTGTGTTTGAAATGTCTTGGACAGTGGGGGTTGAAACGATGATTTGATATTGTTTGGTTTTGTTTGGATGGCTATTACACTTTGTCTCTGAGTGGGGTTGATGTGTTTGCGGATATATGTTTTGTCAGCATGGTGTTTGAAGAAGATATGGTCGCTGACAGGCATGTCTGTGAGATTGTCTCTGGATTGGTTATGTCTCTGGTTATACAATAACGTTTTCATTGTCGATGCAAGTACAAAACCATATGATTTCCCGCTAATCGTATTTTTATCCACATGTGATATTGTAAATGATTACAATTACAAAATCAATCAAATATTATCCGTATAGGTAGCTCATCTCGTTCCGGGATATCAGTAGACTTTTATACACCTTATCGTACAGTCAAGTCCGTCAGACAAAATAAACGAGGTCATATAGCGCCGTCACGAGGCACAAGCAGTGTAGAACACATGGGTGGCCAGCGCCCATGAAGCTGCTAAAAACCAAATACCCTCGATCCCATCTATCCCATATGTGGTAAATCCAAGGTCACAAGATTGATCCACAGCTTAGAGTAGTGAACCACAATCTGCCCAGTTCCCAGACCCCTGCACGATTTACGTAGCAATCGTCTTTGGCGCCGCAGCTCGCTCGACCCATTCTCCCAATCCATGATCTGCAGTCGCCCAGTAGTCACGTGTCTTCTTGTACATGGCCAAGCGCTCCGATAGACTCGGGATGGCCATGATTTCTTGAAAGGGAACCGGACGCTCCTCTACAGGCACATCCGTAAAGTCAATGGCGGTACCCGAGTCAGTGCGTTTGGATTTTGCCCATGGCTGAGGTGGTCGGATGCTTGCCTCGGACATCTTGCGCTCTCCAAGAGGTGTGAGATATTGTTCATTCCAAGCAGTTTTTCTTTGAGGTGTGGTTATCGCGTTGTATGGTTCAAGGTTGGTGGCTGTTGAGTAGATTGACGAGGCTGTAGTGGGGCGAATTGATGCGAGCTCTGGTTGGCATGCACGAATTTTTAATACTGAGAGGGAATTATCTGAATCGCTTTCCAATCCGATGCTCTGCCCTAGTCGTGTTGTACTTCGCCGTGTCCTCAGAGGAGTAGGGCTGCCATCAGACCTTTCCGCTTGGCTGTTTACCTGACTTTCTGGTAGATGCCTTTCCTCACTTCCACGACGTGATCTTGAATGAGGAGAGAAAGACTTTTGTCTCAATCTAGAGAAACTCTCCTTCCAAGACAGGCCTGGTCGTCGTGTGTTAATCGGTACGGTATCTGAACGACCGCGTGTTTCTAACTTGGCACCGTCAGAGCCAGACGGCGACCGTTCATTCGGTTCAGTGTCGTTATGACTGAAGTAGTTGTCAAGGCTTGAACTCCCACTACCCATAACATTGACGCCACCAACATGTCGCGCGTCCATTGGCTGCGAGATCACAATTGTCTTAGTCTTAGCCATGACTTCGTTATAATACCCAATAGGGAATTACTGTAGATTGTTAATGCACAAGTGGTTCGATTGATGTGCGTTGACTGACTGGAAGCGGATTGTTTCGCGTATAGGTGGGCCTTGAGCAAGTATATGCCGAGGAGCGGAGGATGCAACAATGTGAAAATTTGGTGATGCAAGTGCGGCGTCCTGAGCGATAACTGTGTGTTTTCGATTCACCCCGACAATCAAGGCTATTATGATCTGCAGGATGCGTGATAATGCTGTGAGGATGCGTACTGGATGTTGAATTAGGCAACAGGTAGAGGACAGTTGAATAATGCGTTCAGAAAATAAACAAAGCAGGATGTCGGCCCATTGAAAGTCATGACTTAATCTCGCAATGATGCAACCACAATCGCCGTCTGACGTTCTGATACTCTCAACGTGGCTGATTGTCGGAGTTGGTTCGTCTCAGGCAGAATCGGGTCATCTGAGACGCGCAACGTCTGTGAACCACGAGTGTAACTGCGGGTAAAATAGAACCCGTCTCAGTACTAAAATCAAGGAGATAATAACCGCAGGACCGAACAATGTTATGGATATGTCCTGTAAAGGTCTCCTGGTATAGCTTTGCTATTGTTCGTGAGCTCTCTGATGCAAGTCGGAAAATCGCCTACCCATGCCAAGGCACTCTCGCAGACACTCTTAGGCCAGGAGAGGAGCCTAAATGGATCATGTTAATTTATGTCGTAACCCTCTCTTGACGTCTTTTTAATAGGAGAGTAGAGTATGATACGTATGGCGTGTCTCCATAGACCGGTCAGGCGTGAGCCGAGGCACGTCTGCGGGTGAAGATCAACATCCTGTGCAAGCCACCAGGTATCACAACACCGGTTTCTGTGGAACTTCCGGGCAAGTCCTGGATAATATCTGGCGATCAAAAATCCATTTTTGTGCTTGGTAGAATGACGTCGAGTTGTCTGTATGCAATACGCGCGCGGCATGACCTGGGACAGACGCCAAAGAGAACAACACTCGCTTTATAGTTGGTATACAACGTCATGTTACATCGAAAAGATTTGACAGGACAATACTGTCCTCTTATTCTCTCTGGAACGCGCGCTTCCTCTAGGCGAAGCGCACGATATCGAGCTGAAGCGAACCCGCGACATGGATAAAGAAGTTCTTCTTCTACGCGCGATCCTTCGGTATGCATTCAACACTACGTCCGGCCAGCGAGGCTGATAAAAGGTGTGGTGAAGCAAGGGGTGTCTCCAATCATTGCCCATGTCTCACCCCAAATACCCACTTATTGGCAGAAACTAGCCAATCACACATATTCAGGACTATGGCTCCGTTGCTCACGAGGTTAGCGGCTCCTCACCACCATCGTGAGGCTCCACAGCAACAGCACTTGACGTTGCTTGGACCCTCGTCCAGGGGGCGCCATCATGCGTTCTTGACTCTGTGCACAGGCAAGGCCGGCGGCTTTTGCTACGGAGACTTGCTTGACAGGTGCCAGACGGAGTACTCCACCGTGATATATGCTGTATATAAGTTATCCTGCCTCATGCTGCCTGGAAGACATTCAACAGCCCAGCTCTAAAGATTCCTTCGCTCGTAGCTTTTCAAAGTATTCACTCTTTTTTCTTCGTTTCATCGTTCCTGGAGAATCGATAGGCCGGTCCACTTTCGCTATATACCCTCCTTTAAAACCCCTTATTCACTTTGACGACTACGAACAAGACAAATCAGTGTCCCATATTCACCATGAAGAACACTATTATTGCCCTTGCCCTTGCCAGCGCTGCGACTGCACGCCCAACTGCTGTCATGACGAAGCGTGAGGTTCCCCAGGAGCACTCTCATCGCAACGTCAATCTCGCTGTCAACACCATATTGCAGCAGAACAACCCCGCCAAAATTCAGGACCCTGTTTTTGCTCTACTCGGAGCGGCGGCAGCAGCAGAGGGAGCTGGAGACATTGCTGATGCTGGTAAGTTATTTCATCATCAGTACCAGTGCAGTGAAGCTAATCATTTCTAGACTGCCTTCAGCTAGCCGTAGCCGACCAGGCCTTTACCAACGCCAAAGAGGCTGGTGACGTGGAGGGTATGACTATGGCACTTATATTCCGTGCCTTGGAGCGCAACACTGGCTCTGTCGGCCTGAAGTCGGTTCCATGCGAATCAATTCAGGCAGTCAACCCTGAAATTGCTGCACTCCAGCAGCACCAGGACCCTGCTGCTGATGGTGCACAAGCGCTCAACAAGCAAATTGCTGAAGAACTTGCACGCCAGATTGCTTCCATTGGTGGCGACCCATCGCTGGCAAATGAGGCTTCCACATTTGCCCCTGGCGAGATTGGTGACCCTACCGGAGCTGGAAACACTTGTGATGACGCGACTGATGATGCCGGATGTATCAACACCCTTGGGCTTCGTGTTGACGACCTCAGTGAGGCTGAGATCGCTGCTGCGGTCGCTGATGTTAAGGGAGCTGCTAACGGAGCTGCCAATGGAGCTGCAAAGGGAGCTGCAAAGGGAGCCGCAGCCGACAACAAAGCTGCGGAAGAGCAGGCTGTTAGCTGCGGAAATGAAGCTGCTGCCAGTGCAGGCCATGCTGCTGCCGCCCAAGATAATGCTGCTGCCGCTCAAGATGGCGCTGCTGCTGCCAAAGATGACGCTGTTAGCAGCAAGGCCAGCGCAGACTTTGGCAACTGCGACCCTACGATTGTCTTCGGCCTTCCATCTGATGGTCGCAAAGAGGATGCTTTCGAGCCTTCGGATCTGAGTACCTTTAACCATGGCTCGGCCCAGAAGATTGCAATCATCTCCAACTTCATCTGCTCCCAGCTTGCCAATAAGTGCGATGCGAGCGCCTCAGCTGTCAGTACCTGCGATGCTGCAGCATCTGCCGCTAATGGGCTTGAGGGCCAGGCGGCTGCGACTGCCTTCAACACTGCTCTTGGATTGTAAGCGAAGTAAGGCCATTTGAGCAGATGTGGTGTGTAGTATAACAACAAAGGCGAGATGATGAACCGGATATGGAACACTTTTTATGACAATAGACTTAGTCACGCGTAAGATGACGCGAATACATCTTCAGCAGGGCATTATTTTTCAATGTTTTGGTACCATGTGAAGTGACTTGGCATATGCGTGACATGGCAGTCTTGTCCAAATCGAGGCGCTGACATGCAATTAATCGATACTTGTGATGAAATGAAGCCGTAAGCTTGTAAATGTGGTGGAGTGCATGTCGCCCCCGCACGTTGACTATTGAAGACTTTGTGGGTTTGGAACAACACACGTGGAGCTTCCATAATGGGCGGCAATTCGGACCTCGTGTTGTGTTGAGCCCACTTTTTGACCCTCTGCAAACTTAGGATAGTAATTGCAAGAGAAACGGCAACCAATGACGCATTGAGGGGAGACGACCTGGATCACAACATGTACGCATTAGGCGAGACACGTGCGCCTCTGGTTATTGGTGTGTGATAAGATGCCGCGAGCCAGACCGCTTTCGCAGCCAAGCGCGGGATGCAAGGAAAAAACGTTTGGGAACTCCAGTCTGACTTGCAGATGGGCCAGAATAGGGGTCTCGCTTGCCAACGTCGACCTCGACGAAGGCCGCGGACGACCAAGAATGGGCAACGAGGCCAGGCACGATAGCGATAGATAGTTGATGTGTTGAAGCGAGAAGCGCGTGCCACCGATCACCAGCCCACAGACGGAGACAAAAAGACAAAAAGGACCAGCTTAGACGAGTCATGCAGCATTTGCAGAGTTGATGTGTGTGCCGTCCGCGATGCCCCACAGCGGAGCACGGCCTCCAGACTGACAGCGAATTGGGGTACTCCAGCTTGCGAATGCATCTGTGCTGTGCAGCGCTGGCATCTTCTGGCGGCGTGCTGTTGGCTGTGGCCCACGGTGCGGCGGCTGCAGTGGGTGCGGAGAGTCCAGATGCGAGGGGTAAATCAGCACTGTGGAGTCGGCGAGGCTGGTCGCGCAATATCGACAGCAATGGCAGCCGGAGAGTGGACGAGGTGGAAAAGTCGTGACAGGCATTGGTGCTTTGCAGAAAAACACAGGTTGAGTATCCGTAGGTATGCAGGGGCCGTCGAAAAAGAGGGCCACCGCTGCGGTAAGCAGGCACGGGCCATCCGGTGTCGTATCGGGCTTAGCGTTCGCATAGAGCGCGTTGGAGCGCGTCAGTTTCGCTATGTGGTCGTCTGCAGCGCTGGCAGCACCAGCAGCAGCTCGACGTGGCCGAAGACAGCTGCAGAACACGGTGTTGTTCGCGAGGATGCAAACCAGCCGCCCCGGACTCGTTCAAGGCCGTTGCAACAACAAGCCGGTAGTCGTCGTGTGCTTGGTTTTTCGATGGGCGCGTCCCGAGGGCTGATATCGACGATCTTGGCCATAGCCCGTGCTCCTGTCCTGGCACTAGCGGCCAACAGCCGTCCACGGGTCACCCGACTTGAATTTGCGACCCCCAACCATCACCTTCACACTTCACGACCTCACGATAATTCCGAGCCGATCTCGCCAGCCGCACGCTCGTCGGCCCCGAGACCAGGCGCCTGCTTGACGACTGTTTCCTTGCCTCTTCTTCTACTCCCGTCTTTCGTTTTGCGCGCCCCCATGGACGCCCAGTAAAGCGCCCACTTCGCTTCCGCCCACGGAACCGCTCTCCTCACCGCGACTCACGACTCTTGCCCCCATCGCCAGCATCCTCCACCTCCACCGCCACCCCTCGCCACACTCGACGCGTCTTCCACCTCCTGTTGAGACTTTTGCGCTTTGTCTTTTGCTTTTGTTCCTCGCGCTATCGACATCGCGCCTCAGCACCCCTCGCAACGGCCAGCTACGCGCCTTTGCACACGGAGCTTGTCGCCCATCTTCTTATCCGCAAGCCCTTCCGCCATTGCAACAACGCCAGTGATCCGCGCGTCCGAAATCGCGTGTCGTTGCGATAGTTGTACCCTCTCATATTAAAGTCGCAGCTGTCCTGCTCGCACGTGTAACCACCCTGCAGCCGCACAGTCGCGTTTGCAGTATTCCAAACACCTGTTCGAGCCCAGCCAAACAACCAGCGAACCCTTCTCACCACTGTACGAACCACCTTGCCATTGTATGCATTGACCGCTCGTCGCGCGTGCACTGTCCAGACCTGACGGCGTTGCTGAGACTGACCACTTGGACCCTCCCATCCAGGTTAAACCCGACAGCGTTTCGAAACAGTGGCTCGTCTCCTATTTCTGTGATACATCAGCAACCATGGAGTCTGAACGCTCCGTTTCCACCACCTTACCAAGGAACTTCATGTTCCACTACCGTGACGGCCCTGCTCCACAAACACCAGAGCCAGAGCCGCAACCAGAGCAACTGCAACCGCCGCCTCCTCCCCGCCAAGTCCTCAAGGTCCGCCGCCGCCGTGCCACCATGGTCATGAACCCCGACGACATGGACGCAGTCATGCATCAACAACCCATCCCTACTATTGAGGCGCCGGAAATCATGTCGGAAACCCCGAGTGAGCTGCCATCCTACTCTCTGTCTCAAGACGACGCCTTTCTGTCTCCAGGCTTTAGCTATACTCGTATGATCTCTCCGCCAAAGACTCCTGCTCACCAAGTGAGAACCATCAGCCACTACGAAGGACCCCAAGACTGGTCGGACGTTCCACACATCAGCCAGAGTGAGACCTCTAGCAGACCCACCTCATCATCCGGCTTCTCCGATTCGTCTCTTTCGTCTTGCGACAGCATCGGATCTTTCATGTCAAGAAGCGGCAGCTGCACAAGCCCAGAAGATGAATCGTCTGACCCATTCTCCTTCTGCCCGCCACTACCGCAAATTCAACGCCCGGTCTCGCCATTGATGAACCAACAGCCAACACGCTCTGCCAAGAAGCTGAAGCTAAGGGCCAATTTCACAGAAGAAATGGACTACCACCTGTGGATGACTTACATGAATTATCTGCAGGACCCCACAGTGACGCCCTTCAAAGCTCTTCCAAGCACTACGCCACCGAATGGTGTATGCCACCGCGTGGCCAGGATGGCTCGAAAGACTTGGAAAGGTCCAAGGCAGGCCCGCGTTGGCGGACTCCGTATACAGACTCAAAAGAGTGGCAAGTCCTTCGTGCGGTACCCTACCGAGAAGCAATGTCGAAAGCGCCTGCGAGATTTGGCCAAACAGAAACCCACCTTGTCTGCACACTACCAGCGTCTCCTCCATCGGTCACCCTCACCGCTTCAATCCTCCCCACCTCCAGAGGAACCGCCGTCGCAACCGTCGCAATCATCGTCGTCTTCGGTGCCGCAACAACCTTTGTCTTCGCCCTTCTCTCAGGGATCCACGACCTTCTCGACCCGTGACATGAACCTCTCGCTAGCGACCAGTACTGCTGCATCAATGCAGTTGGGCAACCCGCTGTCACAACTCACCAAAGATATTACACCACGACCGACCGCGAGGACATGGTCAAGTGCGCGATCTTCTGCTCATCAGAAGTCGCAGTCGCTCCACATCGGCCTCGGCCTTGGGCTAGGCACTGCACTAGGCTCCCCCTTCCATGCAAAGCTCGAGGCCAACAAGCTCAGCATGAGCCAGAATACTGCACGTACTTGGCATGCATCGTCGACGTCTCAGCCACCACGTCTAGGCTCTCCTTTCCAGCTACACGCACCGCGACCAAAGTCTAAAGTGTTTAAGCGTCGTGCTCTTCACAACAGCTTTGAGGGGAGGGTGCGTAACCGAGGAGAGAGCTTCGTCAACGAGATTTTTGGAGCTCCAGCAGAATCGAGCCACCGTGGTGTCAGGAATCGTGGCTTCAGTCTGGGCGACATGACGGAAGGAGCACGACGCCTTCCTCTAGCCAACGACCCTTCGGGCTTCAACCCATTTGCAGACTCTCGTTCTACCCTGCCGAGCCCACGCTCACCGGCGGTAGCAAATGATGTGCTCGGTCAGTCTACTGCTCGCCTAGGCTCACCATTTGTCAGCCGGTCAAACAACATGTTCCCTCGACCGACTATGTCGCACAGCTTCGAAGCTCCCGCATCGTTTGAGCAAAGGTTTGCTGGTATGTCCAGCGATGCTACCCGCCTACAGCGGTCGTAGGGTTCGACGACGATTTCTTCCAGTTTGTTAGTGCGGTCAAGCACAACGACTGCATCATTGGCGTTACGACGGTCAGCCTCTTGTGCTGTGGCAGCATATACTTGCCAATTTGCTCAGGACGGCGAGCCTGCTTATTTTGAAAAGCATTTCCTATGTTTTGTTTATACCAAACCGTACACTCTCGGTCGCCGACATTGTACTGATGGCGATGACGCCCCTGGTTGCGTTTACCGGGCTTACGACTTTGACATGATGATGCGGCTGAAAGTGTTTTCAATTCACTTCCGTAATACGAGGGCAGGGTGCTAGGAAGTCATGGTGGCATGCAACATGGAGTTCCATGGTGACCAGAAAGACCCTGACCCGATTTGGGCAATGAGGCAGGTCAATAGCCTGCCTCTGTCCTCAACCATCTCTTTTGTATACTTGGTCATCTTGTCTTGACTCAAGCCTCCACTCATTTTTGGCCCACTAGACGATGTGGTGCCTTATTTCCTTGTGTTTGTGTTTTTTTGTTCTCCACCTTGTCACGACGGTCATGATGAAGGTTATGATGAATCGACGGGATATGGGCGTGAAGGGGTATGCAGTCTTCACGAATCTCAACGATTGTCTCGAAGCGTGAAGGACTCATACCTAATGTCTCTTTCTTTGAGCAAACTCTGCTTCGATGCGGAGGAAGGGATCGGCTGGACGGGTGGTGCGGGCTTGGACGAGGATGAGAATGGGGACGAGGAAAAGCCTGTGCACTCTGATAGATTAGCTGGTCCCGAATGATGACGAGTCTGAGGCAGACAAGCTTGTAATAATGATTGATTGAATGAATGAATGGAATGGATTTGACTCGATCGAGCTTCGCTGGAGTGGAAAAGAGCGAGAGGTGATGGTGCGTTCCACATGAGCCCCTCTTGGTGCAGTGAGCTCCGCAACGCCGTGCCGTAAAGTAGTTCCGTAACGTGGGTGTTGAGCACAGGCGTCATCATGTCTGTGCCGAAAACAGCCCCCATGACCCATGAATGACCAGGCACACACACTCGTACGCACACACATGAACGAGTACAGGCACACACACACACAGGCGCACACAGACTTGGAACCTAATGAGCCAAGCGCCGGGGAAGCATGTGCTGAGACTCGCTAGGAGGAGTGACCTTGCCAATACAGGGTTGATGTTTACAGCACAAGGGCAACAATGGCTCTTGAAAACAAACAAAGACGAGAAAAACTCGTGCATGTCTACACACCCTCTTATCTGCAGCCGGCCCTGCAGTCAGCCGGACGGACATGCTATACATACATGAGTATATACGATTTGCAGCCAGGGGCGGACGTCATTCGGAAAGAAATTTGGCAGGCGGGGAGGCAAGCGGGAGGAGAAAAGAAAAAAGAGATAAAAGCATGCAGCAAAGAGTGGATGCACCAGGCCACAATGAGCAAACCGCAAAAGCTGAAGCTCTGGCGAGCAACCGCACGGATCAGTCCGTCTAGGCATTCCGCCGAGGCCTAACGTTGTTTGCTCGGGGTGGTGGCCGTAGCTGACCGGCGGCCGCCAGTTAGAGCGCTGGAGACGAGAAATAGAGAGAGGGAGAGAGGAGAAAAGAAGATCGGCCTTTTTGGGTGCCATATATCTTTTGGCACAGGACAGAAAAAAGATATTCATTGTCAATATCAATGGAAATCAAATAAGTAGTGCGCAGAGGATGGATTCGTTGCATGGCTGGCAGTAGCCAAGGATGGCTTGTAACCACCAGCCGCCCCCTCGCCTTAGCCGTGCCGTGTGCGTGTGTGGTGTGTGTGGAGAGGGCATGGTGTGAGTAATAAGAGTCAAGCTGTGTGGTTCTTTGTCTCGTCTGGTGGTGCGTCAAAATTCACGTCAAGACGCGTCGGGACGCGTCGCGATGTGCAATTCTCTCGCCCAAAGCGGTATAGCCCTGGGCTGGTGGCAACGAGGGGAAGCCGCCTAGTGTGCTCTGCAGCAACCTGGTTACTCTTTGTCTCTTTGCATTGCACTAGTTGGGGGCCACCACAACATCAAGACGGCATTTCCGGCTGCGGGCACGACTGAGGACTGCTGAGGGCCTCGTATCCGCTCGTGGCTGCAGCGCTTGGTGACACCATATCACTCTTCGTTTCCATGGCGATTTGCCGACTCGCGTCCTTCACCTTGCAATGGTGCGGCTGGGCTTATGCCATCAACCACCGTCGGACTAATTGGCCCTTTCCTTCTGTCGATTGATTAGCAAGCCACCCTCCCTTCTCCACCACTTCCCACTGGTTTCACGCCCCCGGCTTACTGTGTCCATTCGTGGCCTCGCGACACCATTTCGCATGCTTCTGACGCCACTTGAACGCTGGATCCATGGAAAGTTTCAACTTGAGGCATGTTGGGCCCCACCCCCCTCTTCCCGGTGCCGGTGCCTGGAGATGCGAATGCGGAAGGTTGGACGGAGGCCTATCTGTCGGTCTGTGCCAATATAACTATGGCAACTGTGGCACACCCTAAACCCCTCCGTCCAGAGTTGGGAGTATTGAAGGCTTGACTAGACTTTGCAACATGCTTTGTATCCTGCTTCCTGGTCAAGGATGGCTGTGCATGCATCTTGTTTTGTTCGTCACCACGGCCTACATACTTTCTTGTCCAAGGGTGGTCCTTACACTATTGCATCTGCTTTCTTAACAGTCGATCATCCAACCTCGTTAAGCTCCCCCTAACCCCTCAGGTTACAATTCGATATATTCCATTGTTTGCTTTTCACCTTATCACTTTGCCCCCTGACTTTTCTAGTTTCGGTCAATAAAGCATCACTTCAAACCGCGGAGTTCGGAGAGCTTTACCCCTCGGCTCTCAATTGACAGAAAACGGTACGCGATTTGTGTTCGCAGTAGCGATGATCAACGCACTCTGATATCGGGCCTTCACGGACGATCGTTAATAATCCTCCCCTGAACCCAATGTGGCACAACATAGTCTTGCCATGCTGGTTACCGTTTAGCAAAGCAGCAAGTATAATCTCTGATTGCCCATCGTTGAACTTCGCAATTCTTTTGAGAAAACCTCTTTCGAGTCGATCCGAGTATGCCGCTACACCGAACCAATGCAAGGCTTGTCCACAAGAGTCCCGTTGGAATAGCACCTGGCCAACCCAACTCGCTTAAAGGGATTCGTCATCAAACACGCACGAGGACATCAGAAACGGTGTGAAATGGTTAAACAATAATTTGACGACCACGGAATCAGAGGGACCATTTCCATCCGTTGCCGCACCTTGATCAGCATCGGCTATGCGGCTGCACCTTATAGTACCCACAGTGGATATGAATGCAAGCTAAGTCGTTTTTCTCATTACTCTACATAATCGATTTGATGTAGTACCGCTAAAGCCATACTCCATGAGAAAAATCAATCTAGGTGGTATAACAACAAATCCTCCAACGCCTAGCTACATACACAGTTAATTATGGGGTATGAAAACCAATCGTACAACACATGATAGCCCGTACGCTCGTTCCTCAGTCTTTACTGGATCGAACACCGTCCTTCCGTTTGAACCTCTAGGAGGGTCAAGATCACCTCTTCCCGCCTTCTATGAGGAAACATCACTGCCGTTCCTCAAATGCATCTTGCTCATATCACCGTTCTGCGGCATCTGAGCCAGCCAGGTGGGCGGCGCCATACCAGTCTGATCGTGGATGGTGCTAAGCAGAGGAGGCAGACTCTGGAAAAGATTGCGGATCGGAGCTGCAGGATCAGCCATGCCCTCACCCCCTTGGTTTCCAGTGTTCCAGACATTGATCTTAGGCTGCAGACCCCTGATGGCTTGGCCGTTTGCTAGAGCCAGCTTCTCGTAGGTGCCGTTGGTGATCATGAGGTACTGCATTAGGCCTTGAGGTCCACCCAGAACATTGGCCATGTCGCCGTAGGCCTTTGCCATTGCGGATAGACCTTCTGCTTGGCGTTGCTGCGTGATGAGCTCAGCTTGAGCATGGCGCTCCCGGGCATAGTATTCAGCCTCTGCGGCTCGTTTAGAGACGATGAAGTTGGCTTCTGCCTCGCGCTCCTTGGCTTGGAAGTTCGACTCTGCATCACGCAGGCGACGGAAGGCGACCGCCTCCGCTTCGGCTTGCTCGCTATACTTTTTGCCCTCTGCGGCCTTTTCTTGTGCATAGAGTTCTCCATCAGCCTTTTGTTGCGAAGACTCCTTCTCAATCTTCGCCTGAACGACCTTGGTAGCTCGGAGACGCTCAAGCTCCATGAGTGCCCTCTTCTTCTCGACTTCCATTTGAAGCTCTGCATCGCGGCGTTCAGCTTCGCGCTTAGCGTTGATCCTGGCTACGTTAAGGTCCCTGCTAATCTCAATCTCCTTGTCGGTAAACTTCGCATCTGCCGTAGCCTTTTCGGCCTTGCGCTCGGTTTCTAGGACAGCAGTTTGGGCGTGGATCTTGGCCACTTCCTGCTTGGTCTTGCCCTGCTTTTCAGCCTCGCCAACCTCACCCTGCATGCGGGCGTGGGCAACGTCGACCTTTGCTTGATTCAGAGCACCCTCGTGTGCCTTGCGTGAGAGAAAAGCAAAGTACTCTGACCCTGGCGTGTCTTGTAGTTCCTTGACGTTTGCATTGTAGATGCAGAGACCGAACTGGTCGAGCTCAGATTGCACCTTGAAACACTGGTAAGTATGTGACTGATTTGAACAGCGAAAAGGTGAGCATTACCTGTTGAATGACCTTTTCCTTGAAGATTCTGCGCTCGCGGAACAGCTCCTCCATGGTCATCGTGGAAACAATTGATCTTGTCTCACCTTCAATGATTCCCTTGACAATATCCTGGACATGGCTGCGTCCCTCAGCTACCGCAACCACTCCCTTTGATGCAGTTTGTGTTGGTCTGCCATCACTTTCGCCTGTAAGCAAAACAGCATACTTTTCCAAAGCTTCTGGGTTATCCGCAGGACCGATTGTGAAGACTGCTGGTAAGGAGAATTTCAGCTTCTCGATCGTCATAGCCTGCAGCGACATGGAAAAGTCGAACGGTGTGATCGAGATTTTGGAGACTTTTTGCAGAGGGTAGATGAATGCCTTTTTCTTGATTAGAACCTTTTCAATTCCTACTCCCGTGATTACGAGGTAGGAATTCGGCTCTGCAACGTGGTACCACATTGTGGCTGATGTTTTGTCTGGATGGATTGAGATTGATCAAGGCGATGTATGCTAGCGATCGATGCTTGATCGATGGAGTCGGTTGTGTATCAATCGAGCAGAATCGGGATGTAGGATGACAGGATGTGTGAATGCTAGGCTTGGAAAGATATACGAGGCAAAAGGGTCGAATGGGTATATATTTATACCAACCGAAGGTATTCGACTATTCCACACAGAACAAAATATATCGTACCGTATTACCAAATCTTGAAGCGGAAACGATGGTGGATTTGCTATTAGTGAACCATCCTAGAACAGCAAAGCTATATACCTTTATACACCTTCAGCCTGGCTATGATACGCTTCCACAAGTACTTCTACCGCAAAACACGGCACGTCCAAGTGCGCAGCTCGGTGAACACATTGGACGAAAGTGGTCAGAGAAATGCACAGACCAGCTCTGAGCCTAGTAGGGACCGGGGTACTATGCGCACATAACGCGATTCTGCCTTATGCACAGCCACAACATGTGACCTATGTCGGAAGCCTGACTGGGTGTACGGGCCCTCTCTCTAAAAGGTTCGTTCTTACCTCCCGGTGACCTAAAGCGTTCAAGTTTGCAGTATAAATCTCATGATTTTTTCGGGCGTTTGCTCGGTCGTTTGACGCATTGGAATGCGAGAAGCATATCTCTGCATTTGTCTCAGGCATGGATACAGCTTTTTTTTACTGTGTAAAAAGGATTGACAACAGCGTGTTTGCCTGACTCCATCCTTCTACTCGGTCAGACATGGAGTTTGGTTGGCCAAGATGGGTCGGACCGGGTGCCTCGGGTATCCAAGATTGAAAGATGTCTGATTCGCTTACCCGTGTAGGTTTAAGGCATCCTGTGGCCACCACAAAGTTAGGCATGACGAGACAATGATTGTGGCGATGCTTGGCGCTAGCTGGAAGACCTCAGTTATGAGGCGGAGACAGGGCAGATTATCGTGTCTGCTTTGGGTCGGTGGCTTGCCGTGATCCGTAGAAGTCTAGTAGCCGTTCTTCTGGGGTTTGCCATCGAACTATCGTACAACAGAGTAGCCTTAGCAACTTCTTGTTCGTGAACACAAGGCTGTTACACCATCACCAATTATACGACGTTCTCCGCCAGGCTGGCGGTCTCTGCACCTCACACATTGGAGCTTTCTATCACTCTTGGAAAGATGTCAGAGAAACACAACAATGCAGCACCACCACCACCATACTCACCCCATGCCTCCTCCGTATCACCATCAATCCTCGACCAACTAAACATCACACGCACCCAACACATCGAGTCCGTAATCGACACCCACATCCTCCCCCTCATCCACCAACGCATCACCTACGCCATGGTAACCACAACCCTCGCCCTCCTCCCCTCAGACACATCCCTCGCGCCCACAAAAGCAAACGCCTACTCCTCTGCTTTCCTCCAGGACTCCCCTTCCTCCCCAGACTCCTCCACCTCCATTCAAGTTCTCGGCTTCGCCTCCGACACCTCGCCTCCCCACCTCATCCACCTATCCGGCCCCATAAACAGCACAGAATTCTGGAACCTACCACCCGTCCTCCACGAGCTCGAAACAATCCTGACTTCACGGTTGAATCCGCATTCTACCCCTATGCCCACGGCTCCATCTAGCTACCGAGATACCACTCTTTCTCCTCCCAATGCTGCTGGTGGTGCTGCAAGTGCGCAAATCCTACCACCACAGCGGTTTTCCCGTCGCAGTCTCCTAGCCAGGGTAATGCCGTCGTTGGGCCCGGAACAGGCGTCGCCGGGGAATAACCCAGAGGTCGGTGTGAGACATATTGACAATGCTGCCTCAGGGACGAATATGGTTACGGTGAAAGCGAGGTGGGAGGAGATTTGTTTGAGGACAGTGAGCGACTTTGGCTTGTACGATACGATATCGAAACAGTGTGTTATTATCAAAGTAGATGCACAATGTTGACTTTTTTTTTCAATGTCGGAACGGCGGCCAAGTATCCCCCCCAAACCAAGTTTGTAAATGTGATGTATTGCTTATTAGTTTGAATAATTGAAATGAAATTTGGGCACAAAGAGAAGGGAAAAAGTGAATTGTAATAATCCAGGTAGAGAGAGTGCTGCAACCAAAAAAAAGATTGGTAAGTAGTGATAAGGGCAAAAAACGAAACTCCCCCGGAAAGGCTCGAACTTTCAACCTCCTGATAAGCTACTACTGTAACAGTCAGACGCGCTAGCCAATTGCGCCACGGAGGATGTTTGCGAAAACGCTGAATGCGCTTCGGTTTTGAGTTTCGATGGAAAAATTGGTTTTTGTTAAATTTATATCCCCATGTTTTACCATTTTCACCCCATGTTTTACCATTTTCACCCCATGTTCGAAGCATAAGCAATGTAGTTTTCACCGGTCGGCTAATGTGTGGGACGACCCAGGATCTATACGCTTGTTTAGCGAGCAACATTGAGCATACTCGGCTCTCCTAAGAACCCCAACTATCGCCTATGCTGTTCGAATACTGTATTGCCGCTATGCTTGTTCCGCATCATCTCTCAAAACCACAATTCCATACGGATCCCTATCTACCTCGCTGACCTCAACAATGACTCCTTCATCTGCCAGCGCCTCCTCAAACTCGCTATTTTCCTTGTACTCTTCCCTAACCTTTTTCCACTCCTCGTCTACAGCATCTTCCAGTTGCGTGCTCATAACCTCGGCGAGGAATCCGCGCTCAGAATTGCTATGGAACAAGCTGATAACTACTCTTCCTTGCTCGATTGCCGCGAGCGCTGCGTGATGGTCTAGCTCGCCTGTGAAGAGCAAGTCGACGTCTAGGCCGCTGAGGAGGCTGGAGCCAGAGCCTGCGCAAATGCCTACACTTTTGATTTGCATGTCGGAGATTGTTTTGCCTTGGGGAATCGCAATTGGGAAACCCTTGGGGTTGTTAAGCCCTTTGCCTATGCGATCGAGGAGGGTGGGGAGGGGCTGGGCCTGGTCGAATCTCACAATGCGGCCCATGCCGGCGTTGGGATGTGAAGCGATTTCCGGCGTCTGAGGTTTAATGACTTCTCGTTTGTGTGGAGCAGTAACCGGGGCTGTCGAAGTGAGCAGCTTGCCAAACTGGAGGGTGCGCTGGCTCGGGTGGTGATTCAGGGTAAAAGTTGGCCGTTTCTTCTCAATGAAGGGATCATCGTTGTTTTCCTCTGTAGGATTTGAGGGCTCTGGTTGAGCACCCGCATCGGGAGACTGACCCACATTCTTTGTGCCTGTAACAATATCTGCTAGCCAATCTCCCAATCCTCCCGGTGCTGCATCTAACGCTGTATGTGGACAGTATACACTAATACCATGACTGGCTAGCCGCAATAGTGATTGCTGTTGTGTATCCGCAAGAGTCAATGACTTCAGGCCTCGGAATATGATAGGGTGGTATGCGATGATGATCGAGGAGTTGAGTGCAATAGCTTCGTCGGCAACGGCTTTGGTGAGGTCAATCGTGAGAAGTACGGTGTTTGACTGGCGGCGAGACGCAATGAACGGTGCTTCGAGTAGCAATCCGGTATTGTCCCAAGAGTTGTCTGCAAGCTCTCGCGGGTACCTTTATTTTCAATCAGTACTTTGCCAGAGCAAGTTTACATATGCTTGGTTCTCTGGCTGCGAGATGTAAAGTAACAATATTCAGCCTGTGGGGGAGTAAACCTACAACTTCCGCATTGCTCTCACAACCGCCTGAGAGAATGGCGCACAAGTAGTAGTCGCACTCATCGCGAATCGCCGTGCCGTGGACACAAACATACAGCCCTCAATGGAACAATTGCAAACTCAAAGTAGCAACACTTCGCAATCACAAAGGCACGCGCCAATCACCCCTGCACCCGTAGCCGACATGCGTCATCAGCCCCTCCCCGCTTGCGGTCTGCGCCTTTTCCTGATTCGGATACCCAATCTTATCAGATCCGAAGATAGGAACACTGGAGGAATATCACATCATCACCACATGGATCCACGACACAAACTTTACAAAACACTCGACACTCTTACGATCGATTCAGAAAATACCAGAGCGATGAGTGCAAGAACGGATGCGGAGGCCACGAACGTGCAGGCTACCTCCGGCGTTACCATGGAAGGAATCAAGAAGAAACTGGAAGACGGACTCGGTGCAATACATGTTGAGATTGAAGATTTGAGTGGTATGTGTAAATTCCATTTTTTACTAAGGGAAGAAAGCAAAGAGAAAAAGGGGCAAAATTGAACGGACAGGGTCTGGTGTCGGGATATTTTTCTTTTCAGACGCTCTCTGAGTCACAGGACTGTGCTGATATTACAAATAGGCGGATGTGGACAAATGTACGAGGCTATTATCGTATCACCACAATTTGCCAAGAAGACAACTCTAGCACGACACCGGCTAGTCAACAGTACGCTGAAGGAGGAAATCGCAGCGATACATGCGTGGACACCAAAGTGTCATACGCCGGAGGAATGGGAGAAGAAGAAACCACAGTAAATACGATACAGCCTAGCCGTAGTGAATACACCCAAACTATGGCGCACCTTGACGAACACAGCACATTTCATGATGTTCAATACAGGCATAATCTTCAGAGAGGCCATATCTAATCTACATGTATAGCTCTCTAGCTCAGCAGCACCCGTATTTCACCGCTGGTACGAGGGAACAAATCCCTCAACCTAGGTTTCGGCTCCTCATCTTCATCTTCCTCGTCGTCCATCAACTCATCCGCAGCTATTATCTTGCCCTCTACCAACTCAAAATCCTCACAGAACTTGCCAGCAGCTTCTTCGGTAATATCTTGTATCATCTTTCTATTGCGTAGCTGCTTGATGTTTTCTGCTGCATCGATGAGGGCAGATGGTAGGAACTCATCCAGCTGTTGACTAGCAGAGACTAGTGCATCTGCTTTGAATGCTTCCAACTGGGGCACTGTCTTGAGGCTTTCGGCAGAGTCGCTGATTGATGCAAGCGCCTCAAGCAGAGTAATTAGGCCAGACTCGTTGACCAAGTATTGATGTTGGTAGTCTGTTAATTTGGCTACAGTCTCTTGGATTGTGTCTTTTATGTCGCTGACTCGCTCCTTGGTGAAAGCATATTGCGAGAGAACTTCTTTGGCCGCAAACAAGCAGTTGACGGCGAAGATGGAGTTATCAGGCTCTTTCATGACTTTCTGTAGGTTCTCACAACTGCTCAAGAAGGGATCGAGAGCTTCTGATAGTACAGCCTGGAAGCCCTGACCATCATCATCCGTTGCAGCGAGTGATGTGTCGTAACTTTTCGCAAGTACTTTGAGTATCTGCAATGCCTCTTCCAGGAATTCAGGAGGAGAGAGATCTGCTGGCGCCACAGCAAGATCGCTTTGTACGTTAGCGACGTAGTCTCTCATGTTCGCACGGAATTGCCGCATCGCCGAAGCTTCTAATGTGTCAAAGACATCCAGAACTTCCGAATCGGTCCCGAGCAGCTTTGCAAACGTTCCCTTGTAGAAACCAATCAGATTGGCAATTTTGTATGCTAGGGTCGCATCATCATGACTTTGGATGACTTGTTCTGTTCGCTGTCTCAACAAACGAGCTACACCTGCAAGATCACGGCTGACAAGTTGATTGAGAGCCTTTCGCCCGTCAAACACCTCGGCATCTTGGTCACCTCGTAGCCAAGGCTCACTTTCCAAGCCAGCCTGGATGGAACGCTTGATTTCTTCACCATCCGAGATGAAAAGATTTTCGAGTGCCTCTCTTTCAGATACTGTCGTAGAGTGAGCCCATGCAAGCATATCTCCCACATAGCGCAGCGGATCGTGAGCGTAAAACTCGATGGGCTTGGTGGCTATGTGGTTTTCTGATGTTGAACCGGTCAATGCTGCATGGAAGGCGTCTGACAGAATCGACTCGCGAGCTTCAGCAAACGAATCCAGACAGCTTTGGAACAGGGCAGGCCGTTCAGCCAGTACACGCAGAGATCGCCGGACCGATGCGCTGATCTGTGGGTTCTCCAGATCTAGCGTTTTGAATTCGCGTTGGATCCACCGATAAAGCTTCTGGAAAGCAGAGTTGAGTTGTTTGGAGCTTCTTTCTAGCACCTCCAGGCCCAGTCGCTGATCTTCAGTTCCGAGAAGTACCTGGCAGTCATGATGTATCTTTTTCACACGAGTCAAAATCTGGAAGAATTCCTCGTTGACAGGCTCCGCGGTAGAAGTCAATACAGTTACATCATCATCCGTGATGAGGAAGTGAGCAGTGAATGCATTGAGCATTTGCTGTTTGGATTCGACCTGTTTCTTCTGGCTTATGAGACTGGTGGCCTCTTCCAAGACAGGGTCAGTCTCTTTGTTTGCAGCCGCAATATGACCACGCATATCAGCGCAGTAGTTGTTCAGACTGCTGATTGCTGTTCCGATACGCTTCAATTGCTGAAATTGTTTAGCAGACTACTTTTAGTGCTTGTGTTCTGACATACCTCGGCAACCTGACCAAAGTCCTTAATGATCTCGCCATTGCACTGTATGACTTCTTTTTGTACATCAAGGCGCAGTTGACGACGCGTCTCTGCAGAGTTTTGTACTCCACGTGCATCTAGAGTTTCCAAGGCATCTCGAATCTCAAGATCTGCATAGGAAGCGGAGAGCACACTTGTGATGCGGCTGGCTAGCGCATTCGCACCCTTTGAAGCGGGCGTCCCCGACGGCGACGAAGGAGAAACGCCATTCTGGGACGCTGGAGCAGCGCGGTCGTGGAAGTAGCTTGTCGTCATGAATGAATGGTTGTGACCTTTGCCTAGAAAGGTGTCATGTCGGGCAAACCCAGGGCAGGTGCAGCCGAGCTTATCGATAGATAGATCGATAGGTACCAGCGCGGCGCGTCACCTGCATGAGTCCCATGTCGATGAGGCGCTCGACGATAGCCGCACACATCGCCGCCCACTTGTATCCTGCTGATACAACTACTGACCAGACTTGCGTCAGAGCCCATGGATTCAGGCCTCAAGTTCTGGGGATCACGCTTCTGGTCCTCTGACCCTACTCGCCCATAAAACGCACCCATCCAGCGCAGCACGGCCACGCGCCCCGCCCGTTGGCCCAGCGCAATACCGCACAACGACCATGATGGCATCCAACCTGCTATCCAGACTCCTTCCCTCTGCCTCAGACGACCTCTACGAAAACGAACCGCTAAACACTACACACCACCGTGACTCTGTCTCGACTGACGAGCAGCACGAGATGGACATAGACGAGGAGAACTTTGGTGCTCGCTTTGAGGAGCAGGACCTGGCGCACTTGCTTGAGGAAGCCTCCTCCAGCCAGATGACGACCGAGAGCCGCGCAGTCTCTCCAGATACCAAACGTAACGCACCACCAGGCATCAACACAACAGGTCGCATACCTGCATGGAGACAGCCTGCGCCAGCCCGCACTACACCTATCGACGACGACGACGACGTTCCACAGTCCCTGCTTCTAGAAGGCGGACATGGGCCAGCACCGGGTTCAAGTAAGCGCGGTGAAGGTCTTCCCATGCCTGTACCAGGCCCGTCAACGCGACAGACACGGGCACAGTGGGATGCTACCCGCACACAGCAACGACTTCACGACGACGACAGAAGAGGGGCACCTTCACAACCTTGGGGGCATACCAGTAGACCTGGACACTTCGCGGCAGATCCTCGGGAGAAAGCCTTGTGGCTGTGGGTAAATCAGACGGATCTGGACAACTATATGACTGAGGTTTATGAGTATTACGTTGGCTGTGGCATATACTCGATCCTCCTGAGGAAGGTCCTGACGCTTCTGCAAACAGCCTTTGTGGTGGGTTTCATGACATTTCTTGGATGGTGTATCGACTACTCCAAATTTCCTGAGAGCAACAAGATGAGCCAGGTCTTGGTACCAAAGTGTGCCGCGAGGTCAGTTCTTCTTTCTGATACCACAAAGTTTCAACTGACAGTAATTAGAATACACGGCTTTTGGATACTGGCCCTCTGGCTCTTCGTCATATATTGGCTCTACTCATTCTATAACATGGTCACAGACATACCTCGACTGCGAGCTATGCACGATTTCTATCACTATTTACTCGATATTCCCGACTGCGACATTCAAACGATACAATGGCAGCAAGTCGTCACACGCATCATGGCGTTACGAGATTTGAACTTAACTACTGCCTCCAACCTGTCGCCAGAAACACGCAAGTTGCTCGACTCGAAAAGCAGGCAGCGGCTGGATGCTATTGATATCGCAGGCCGCCTCATGCGCCGTGACAACTATCTCATCGCCCTATTCAACAAGGAAATACTTGACGTCACGGTCCCCTTGCCCTTCCTGGGCAACCGCTACATCTTCTCCGAGACTACAAAATGGCATGTTAACCTTGCCATTATGGACTTCGTCTTCAGCGGACCAAATGGCCAATTCAACCCAGGCTTCCTCAAGGAACGTAACCGCCGGGAGCTCGTGAAACGATTGAGAACGCGTTTCTTCTGGACTGGCATCATCAGTATTCTTTGCGCCCCTTTTGCCGTGGTTTTTGTGCTGGCCTCATACTTATTCAAATACTTCACCGAATACCACAAGGACCCGGGTCAGCTCAGCAATCGTGACTTTACGACTTTCGCTCAGTGGAAATTCCGCGAATTCAACGAACTTCCTCATTACTTTGCCCGTCGCCGTAACATGGCCTATCCATACGCGAATCTCTACCTCGCCCAGTTTCCGAAAGACAAGACCGAGCAGCTATCATCATTTGTCGCATTCATTGCAGGTGCTTTCGCATTCGTCCTCGTATTATTTACGCTTCTCGGCTCCGAGTTGTTCCTCAACTTTGAAATCACACCTGGCAAGACAGCTATCTTCTGGATTGGTATCCTTACTACGGTATACCGCGTCGCAAGGGGAAGCAGCCCTCAGGAAGACCAAGTCACAGATCCAGCCTACTACCTTAATCATGTCATCTACCACACCCGTTATGAACCCGAATCGTGGCGTGATAGACTACATACCGACGAAGTCCGCGCTGAGTTCACCAAACTCTACCAACCCAAAATCCTCATATTTGCCGAGGAGATTTTGAGCATGGTTATCACCCCCTTCCTGCTCATTTTCAGACTGCCCAATTGCAGCGAGCGTATTGTCGACTTCTTCCGCGAATTCTCGATCGTAGTCGACGGCTTAGGCGTCACATGTTCCTACTCCATGTTCCCATCCACAAAGACGACACGTAACGCCAACAACATCCCCGCCAACGGCACCGGTGCTCGCAGAGAAGACCCAGACCTTCGGGAAGACTACTTCATGGCCAAAGACAACAAGATGATGGCCTCCTACTACGGCTTCCTAGATACATACCAGAATTCCGGTCGCGGCTACAACAGTCGTCTACAAGGCCGCAGCAACTTCCATCCCCCACCACAGTTCCCAAACACCTTTGGCACAATGTCTCAGACCGCTCAACCAATAGAAATGGGCGCAAAAGCATCAAGTCGAAACCAACCCGGTCGCCAGAACCTCCAGCAGAGAACACCGAGACAGAGACCCATGGCAAGAGACGAGCCCATGACCTCTATGATGCTTGATCCGCACCACCAGCCTTCTTCGGCCTCGATGCTGCGTGGCTCGCCTCACCAAGCGGGGGCGAACCGGTACCGTACACCTCTTCAACCAGTCTCCGATGCACCTGGTCCATCGCACACCCGTATCGAGGAGGAAAGTATGCTTGGTGACTCGTGGCGAACAAGCCGGTTGGCGCAAGATGACGATGAAGAAGAAGAGGCGGTTGCACCAGCGAACAATGGTGGGGGAGTCTTACAGCTTTTGCAACAGTTTTCTAGAGCCCAAGCTGAAGGTCGGGGCGCGGGCGTTGGCGTTTAATCTTTGTTCTTTTTTTTTGAAAGGGAGGTTGGATAACATTCGCGTGGAGCGCCTGGGAATTACTGGGCGTTTATTCAAAGATCTTTTACTTATTCCCACTCAATCCACAATTGGCGTAGCAATGTTGTTAGTAGGAATCAATGCCACATCATTGCAAACATGTTCTCCTGTTTCACTGATGACATTTAAGGATCAAGTCTAGATATCTGACATCGGCGGCCCTGACCACCATAGCATTCCATGCTACTGTACTGGTTAAACTGGGCATGTACTTGGCTAGTCTTCATCGTACCATCACGTCCTCCTCACGCTGCCATGCGGGAAGCAGACATTGTTGTATCATTTGTCATTGTCGGGCTGTTCCTGGTCGTTCTCTACAGTTACATGCCGCAGAGGCTCTCCCTCCAGCCTTCATCCATAACCGATGAAGAAAACAAATCACGCCGTAACCGAATTTCCATTGGACCCATGATCATCATGCACAGCAACCCATTTCGCTCAACTCAAAATCTAAGCAGATGCCTCGAAAGCGGTAGGGAAGCGGCGGATGTTGTCGGCGAGGTTACCCTTGTTGCGGAGGAACTGAACGTAGGCACCGTCGATCTTGACCTTGCCCTCCTGGCGCTGCTGGACGTACTCCTCGCGCTTGAGAGGGGTGAAGCCCCAGTTCTTGGAGACGATGATCTTCTGGCGACCAGGGAACTGAAGCTGGTTAGTTTCGAAATATTACTGACAGATAATTTTATCAACGTACCTTGTACTGGCAACGCCTCAGAGCCTCGAGAGCAATAGCGCGGTTAGAGTCCCTAGTCCTGACGGACATGAGGATCTGACCAATGTTGACACGAGCGACAAGACCGTTGGGCTTGCCGAAAGCACCACGCATACCGGTTTGCAATCTATCGGCACCAGCGCACGACAACATCTTGTTGATACGGACGACGTGGTAGGGGTGGACACGGACACGGAGATGGAAAGATTCCTTTCCTCCGCTCTTGACCATGTACTTGTTGGCGCAAATACGGGCGGCTTCGAGAGCCTCGGAAGACAGCTGCTCGTACTCGTTGGAGACCAAGTGGATGCAGAGAGGGAAGTCGTCTACGTTGGCCTTCTTGCGACCGAGGTCGAAGATGCGGATCTTGGCATCGGGTACACCACGGTTGAACCTGCTCTTGGGGTACTGTAACCCAGTCAGCCTATTGTCCTCCTCTCCTTGTATTTCCAGTCTGACGTACGGGCTTGTTCTTGCAGTAGCGGTAGCAACGGGCGGGACGGCGGGCCATTGTGACGGTTCTTCCTGCTTTGAAATCAATGAGCGGATGTCCGGAGAGCGTCGAAAACGAGAAAGAGTGAGTGTGTGCGCAAACTGATAAAGATGTCAGTAAAACGTCTGCCAGGGGATTTGATTGCGACAGCCGTACCTTACCCTTTATTTGAGTGTTAGTGGGGAGGTGTCGGAGGGCGAAGTCGAGGGAAGTCGTCAGTGGTGATTGCTAATCACAATATTGCGCAGCACACGCCAAGACCCGATTAAGCGAGCGCATTGATTTCCAAGCAGGTAAGCGCCACTCAAAGTGCAATCCTGGGGGATCCGTGGCAACGGAATGCGAACATCATGTTATACGCGCCTCTCCTGAAACAATACCATGTAGACAAGTGACATTGCAAGCTGTTTCACTGCGCATACAAGATACACGAATATGTGCTCGTGTACATCACCTACTGCCTGCTCCAACTCGCGGACGGCTTGCGAGACGTAGTTTTGTCTCAATGACATGGTTAGAGCACGGGCAGGCTAGTCATAATGAGTCACATTGCAGAGGGTAGATCGAGAAGATGGCTCATGAATCTTTTGTCATTCATTGGATATCATCAAGGCCGAGCATACGCCACACCCTAGGTATCATGTCTAACTGATTTTTTCCCTATGTGAAGTACCACTCTAGTTCTCGGTGTTGGTGCTCAGGATGTCAGAGTCACCTATATACTGTCAGCGGATCGCGTCAATGTAAAGAAGCCGAACAAAAACATACCAGCGTCGAGGATGGACATGACGGAGCAACGGAAGAGCTTTCCGCAAGCGGTTCCAAGCTCAATCTTCAATTAAGTTAGCTGATAGCTCTCCATGGCCATAATCGGACCAATTCTCAGAGCCAGCCCTCGGAGATGAACCAGTACAACGAACCCCATTATTGTCCAATTCTGTCCTTATAGTATAGGCCGAGAATATCTGAACTCATATACAACGTGCTCCGTTGTACAGGCATCTCGTCGTTAGGCAATGAGAGAGGGTGGAATGTATACGTACGTTGTTTCCAGAGAAATGGTGGACAGAGGTCTTGGAAAGCATAGCGTAGTCTGAAGTGACGTTAGCCATGTTTTTTTGGAATCGCGAAAACCAATTTACTTACACTCGAGCTCAGACTTCCTCAGAGGAGGAGTGTTGCCGGCAATGATGACGAGCTTGGCCTTGCCAGTGCGGAGGCTCTTGAGGGTGGACTTGTAGCCGAGGGTGACCTTACCGGACTTCATCACAAGCGCAAGGCGCGAGTTGATGGAGTCGGCGGTTCTCTTGTTCTTCTTGGGGGCCATCGTTGCACGTAGGAAGTTGTCTGGGAAATTCCTAAGGGTGTTGTTGTGCTCCGGTCGTGAGTTGTGGAAGTTCGCTAGGTAGTGCGCTCACAAAATTCTGTGGGCGAAACGACGCCAAGATTTGCACTAAGCTCCATAAAATGATGACTAAGCTACCACATCCGCGAGCATATCATTTTTGGGACTAATAGTTCAAGTCTCAAGTTCGGCAGGCAATTTCACTTTGGTGCTGATGCAGCCTGTCGCATCCGAATTAGGCAGGCAGAACAGAAGTGAAATGCACGTGATGCCCTTGCAAAATCTATCACTATGCTCAGGATTGATTGCGCACAGCTCGTCTATTGAAGACGCGAAGTTTGGACATTGAGCAACCCGTAAATATAAAAGTCAAAATATTTTTAGCTGATACAACGCTACTTCATATGGTATCATTGCACTCTAGTCCAACGTTACACAACAGCAGCCATAAACTCATTGCCACGTGACACCCGTCAGATTCTACCAAAATACATCAACAGCCTTGTCTATGCTGCTGCTCTTTGCGTCTGTCTTCCTCCTCGAGTTGGGGCTGAGACAGCACCAGGTCGATTCAGAGTGTATTTGGCAAAGGCTCTTGCCAAGGCCTTCTTCGCGCTGACCTTCTGCGAGCCAACAAAAGAGTCGACCGCAACAGCAATAGCGCGATCAATATCTACTGATGAACAGTAGTCGGATAAACGCATCTTGCAGAAGGATTCTGCGATACGCAATATAGCCTCAAGATGACGGACCTGGCAACATTAGTGGATGATACAATCATTTAGAAGCAGTCAACTTACAGTTATTGGATAGGCTCCCGTTGCCATGGACTCTCGACGCATGTCTGCAAAGAGACGCGCAATCTTATCTTGTTCAATCTGGTAGAGCTTGGGTCTGCACCTCTCCCGAGCATAAAGAATGTACTTCCTCAAAAGCTCCTGTGGAATCTCGCCCTCCTTCACTGGAGCATCTCCGTCGACTTCCATCTGGTCATCACCATTTTGTGACGCCTTGGCCTTGTCGGAGTAACCGTACGTTGAATTGACAAGGGGGTGTGCTCGACCATGGGAATTTACCACGAACTTGGCGAGGCGCTCGTCTTCCGCTGGATCGACGGTATCACGCACAACGCACAGAATGTCAAATCGAGACAGAATAGGCTCTGTGAGCTCCACGTTCTGCGAGAAGGGGATTGTGGAATTGTAGCGTCCACCAATGGGATTGGCAGCAGCTACAATCGAACAACGTGCTTGAAGTGTCGTGACGATACCAGCCTTCGAGATAGAAATGGTCTGCTGCTCCATGGCTTCGTGGATAGATGTACGATCTTGGTCGTTCATCTTGTCAAACTCGTCGATCAGACAAGTACCCTTGTCTGCAAGCACTAGAGCGCCTCCCTCTAAAGTCCATTCGCTTGTCATAGGATCACGACGCACCGAGGCTGTGAGACCGACCGCAGAGGCACCCTGACCGGTTGCGAAGACTGCACGATGGGCAGTCTTCTCAACATACTTCAAGATCTGGGATTTGGCGGTACCGGGATCTCCAAGAAGAAGCACGTTGATATCACCACGGATTGAGTGTCGGCCCGGCGCCTCCTTGCTGACACCTCCAAAGAGTGAGAGCGCCACAGCGGTTTTGATGTCAGTATGCCCGTAGATGCTTGGCGCAATGGAGCCGATGATTTTGTCGACAATACGTGGGTCTTTGGACAGTCTTCGAATCTCCTTCTCGTCATCTTCAGTCAAGCGGAAGCCTGCCAGCTGGTCGTGAGACTTGACAATGTAGTTTGCTTCGAGAATGGTAGCGAAGACAGGGAATCCGTTCTTATTGTTCAAAGCGGCATCGTAGTTGTTGCGGTAGATACCTGTGACCTCTATCTCCTCGCCAGGCTTTGCAGAGTCAATCAAATCCCAAAGCAGAATAACCTCGCGGTGTCGCGGCAGACGACCAGCTGGAACAGTTCCGGGAGACTCTTGTAAAGTAAGCTTCTGGTAGTTGCGATAGACGGTACGCTCAGAGTTGACTGTGAAAGGACCGCGCGATTGGCAGTTCTGACAGAAGGAGATCTTGACCTCGACATTGGAGTCCTGGTGGAAGGGTCCAAGTGTGACACCGCACTTGGTGCAATCAAACTTGACATATTTCAGCTGCGGGAAAACTCCGCTTCGACGAGTAACCACTCCGCTGACACGGACAAGGCTGTTGAGGTGTGACTGACGAAGCTGGCGGAGAGTGTACTGTACAGGCACGTCGGTGATACGGACATGGATCTCAGAGTGGATACGCTCGTAGTCTGGATAGTGAAGGAGAGTCACTTCCATGGCAACCTGGTCGAATATCTTGAGCATTTCAGTTGGCGTGTTCGCAAGCCAGTAGGCTAGCGTGGCCTTCTGCTCTGCCAAATGGTCGAAAGAGACTTCGAGGGACTCAGCGTTGACCTCACCCAATGTTCGAATGCGGGCTCCGTAAACCGAGTGACCATGCTCATCCGTGTACTCGGTCAAGAAAGACTTGAACTCTCGCGCAATCGTCCTGGCAACCTGTGGTTGGGCAACCCAATCGGTCAATGTATTAGCTTTGACATCGGTGAGCGCTTCAAGCGTCAATTCCTCGTTCATGATGTCGTCGGCCATGTCCATATCATCCTCTTCGTCGTAGCGGTGTCTCCGAACACGGCGGCGTCCCATTAGACCTGCTAGGCCATCTTGCTCATCGTCGTCTGGCAAAAAGGCAGCGGGCATACGGCGTCTTGCCTCTCTGTCACGAGCGTTCAGGCTTGCATCGAGTTTCCGCCTCTCCGCAAGGCTGAGCTCTTCGTATTCACCTTCATCATCTATTCCCTGGCCCTCATAGGCATCGTTTTCACGGGCTGCATAGTCATTCTCGAAGTCATCGGCAAACAGATCGATTCCCTCGGCCTCTTCTGCGTCCTCTTCTAGGTCGTCAACATCGCGGATAATGTCATCGTCGTCAAGCATATCCGCATCATCTTCATTAGGCAGCATAGGAGGGGATGAGGCCATGGCTGTGAGCCGTTAGCTGTTTGTTGTGTCCTTTGTTTGCACCGAACTTACGACTGGACGGCGGATGCACCGCTGAGGAGGGAAGGTCTTCATCGTCTCTCGCGCGCTTGTTGCTTCGACTAGCAGGCCCAGCGCCTCGATTTGCGGACGACATGTTGGAGCGAAGGGGTGGGGGTGGTGGTGAGCTGAGTCTTTGTTAGTATTGTGGTATTAGCGGTAAGGAGGGGCTAGAGGTTGGCGCTCGGTGTCTGAGTCGTGCGTGTTTAGGATACGTACCTCATGTTGACTCAATTAACAATCCTCGCATGAAGCACGAGACTTTCGTATAGTAATTGGGTGTAGCAGTGCGGGGCTGCAGGTGAGAGTAGGAGAGGGTCAAGCAACACGACCGCGTCGCGCTTTCCTTTTCCACGCGTAAAGTGGTTTGACTGCAGCCAATCAGTGACCACGCGCATCTTGTACCGTTGATAGGCCTCACAACCCTCCACAACTTGCAATCCCAACAAGTCAGCTTTTAGGCTTTTCAAGGGCTTCAGTGTAGACTCACCTCTTCAGTTCCCATACAGCCATATTATAATAGCAGACACCAGTGGGACACTCTGTGATCATGGCCGACTCGCAGTCCATAAGCATGTCTTCCAAGCCGCGCTCTAGCAGCATGTCGCAAGCATCTGAAAGTTCCCAGACGGCAGCAGAGTATGTTTTCTGTGAGACAATTACGGTAAAAGTCGCTGATTGTGTTCGAATAGCTTTATCAAAGAGCAGCTTAGCCTCGAGGCAGAAGCACGCGAGGCTCTTCCATACGTGAGCAAGCACACACGCCAAATCACTTGCGCACCTACTGATGCCTAATAGCAATTCGATACTTGCACGCGCGACCTTGGTCCCCTAAGACAAAGCCTTTATGCATGTCTCACTTGCAATTCCGCGCCCGCCTCGTCCGCTCAGCAGTACACACCAGCAGGTGTCTGCTATTCATGCTCCATTTCCTGCCATGGCGAACACACGCTCGTTGAATTGTTCAACAAGCGCAACTTCATATGCGATTGTGGCACTACGAGGATACCGGACATGACGCCCTGTACGCTTCGCATCAATGCGAAGACTGGGCTGAAAGGCGAGGTGACCGGAGAAGAGCCCGCGAAAACCAACAAATACAACCACAACTTTCAAAATAAATTCTGCGGCTGCGGTCAAGAATATGATCCTCATGAAGAGAAGGGCACGATGTTCCAATGCCTTGGGCTTGGAGGTTGTGACGAGGGTGGCTGTGGTGAGGACTGGTGGCATCCCGAGTGTTTAGTTGGCTTCACTCGAGAAGAGTACAGCAAGATGATCGAAAAACCTGAAGCTGGATTGAAGAACAGTACCACCGAAGCCATGGGTGTCGACAAGGTCGCGGAAGGAGAGAACAAGGCCAACGGGAATGTGGCAGAGACGGTGCCATCGAACGACACAGCTATTGCCGATGCAGTCACAAACAGCAATGGTGTCGATGGGAACGATATTGCAGTAGCTGGCGGCGAAGATGAAGAAGACGACGACGACCCGCCCCTACCTCCAGGATTTCCCGAAGAAGATGACTTTGACCACTTTCTCTGTTACAAGTGCGTCGCCGCAAACCCATGGATCAAGAAATATGCGGGCTCAATCGGATTTCTGCCACCAGTATACTATGACAAAGCCACTGCACTTTCGCACTCAGAGAAGGTCACTGTCGCTCCCCCAGAGAATGACAGCAAGAAACGCAAAGCATCCGATGAAGACGAAGAAGAGCAGCAGACCCCCTCGAACCTAGCAGCTCCTGCACCAGCTAAGCGCCAAAAGTCCGAAGACCCAAGTGGCACCCTCTCCAGCATCCCCGAGGACCCTCCCGCCCTCCCTACACCCCCCAAGAACCCCGAAGCACCAAAACACGCCTCTCTTCCCCCCCTGCCGGAACCCGCTCTCACAACCCCCTTCTCCCTCTTCCTCAAACCCGACTTCCGCGACCACCTCTGCCACTGCGACACCTGCTACCCACAGCTAAAACTGCACCCCCAGCTCCTTGAGGAAGAAGACACCTACGAGCCCCCCGTCTCCGAAGACGGCGACCAAGGCGCGCAATCCGTCGGCACAGGCAGTATCCTAGACCGCGGCGAAGCCGCCTTCAATAACATGGATCGTGTTCGCGCCATCCAGGGCGCAATGGCATATGCGCATATTAGAGACAAGGTTTCTGCGTTCCTGAAGCCGTTTGCGGAGTCGGGTCAGGCGGTTGGCGCGGAGGACGTCAAGGCGTATTTTGAGAAGCTGAGGGGTGATGCGCAGGGGATCGAGGATGCGGCAGGAGGTGCAAAGGCGAGTCGTGATAATGAGGATGGAGGGGTGGGCGGGGGTGGTGGAAAGGAGCAGAGTGGGTATTGAAGATTGGGATGGTGGGGAGAGGGAAGTGGGGATTACAGTGAGGGTTTGGAGTGTTGCACGCTTGAGTAGATGGTAGATACTTGAGACAAGTAAATTGGAACTATAGTAATGAAATAATTCGAAATGATCGACTTGCGACCTGTAAAAAAAGTACTAATCAATAGATACAATAAAATAACCCTCCGTTCTGCAAAACTAGGGGTATCAAATCAATCTTCGTTCTGCTCTCCTCCCGGGATTGCTTTTCTTTTCTTGAACATAATATATTTACTATCTCACTACGCCGTAGCCGTCACAGTGATCGTCTCCCTAACCGTCTCCTTCTCCGTCGTCGTAGCCGTTACGGTAAAAATCTGACTGGGTGGAATGGGCGTGATGATGAGGGGGCCTTCTGATGTTGTCGACGACGATGACGGGGAAGAGGGTGTGGGTTCAGGTGCTGGTGGCGGTGGTGGCGATGATGCGGAGGGGGTAGTTGTCGGTGCAGGGGGAGATGAGGTGGCATCTGGTGTTGATGTGGGGGCTTCTGGGGAAGAAGGAGATGCGGAGGGGGATGGTTGTTGTGAACTTTCCGGGGTGGGAGTGGTGGATGGAGACGGCTGCGCTGGAGGCTCTGCAGGGGGTGTCGACGACGAAGTTGGCTGTGCTGACGTTGAGCTTTCTGGCGAAGGGGGAGAGGGGCTGCTTGGAGCTGCAGGTGGTGTTGGCTCTGCAGACACCGAAGTCACTTCAGACGCAGAAGAAGCAGCTGACGAGCTGGGTGCTACTGATTCGGGTGCCGTAGACGTGGCTGGTACTTGGGGTGCCTCGCTGGACGCCAGCGTGGCCATGACCGTAGTGAACGATGTAACGATTACTACTGGTGGCACTTGTAAAGACTCCGAGGGTACAGCCAGAGCTGCTGAGCTGGCAACAGGTGGCACTGCCTCCTGACCTTCATTGCAGCTTGTCATAACCGGAGTAGGCGTAGCTGACCCTGACACTGGCTTCTCAGGTGCCGTGATGGCCGCATCAGGTGACGGGGCAGAAACGTACACAGTGGTGTATGATGTGACCATAATACGTGATGTCACATCCGCCAAGTCACCTGCAGATCTCGAGGACGATACTACAGGTGAACCACTAGAAACACTAGATGCTGCTACGGATGACGCAACGGTAGTCGGGCTAGAGCTACTGTTCGATGATGGTTGACTTGGAGCTGCTGACCCAGGATGTTGAAAACCAGGCATTCCTCTAGAGGTAGGCGATGGTGTTTCACTGGTAGGAGGAGTGACTGAGGCTAGGGAAGTTGAAGACGCTTGCTCTATGGGTGAGTATGTGAACTTAGGATATTCGCGACTAGTAACGCTAGCTGTACTGTTTTCAGCAGCCTTGACAGAGCTTGACAGTGCTGATAAGGCATCGGAAGAGAGAGTGGGTGTTGGACTGCTCTCGACTGGTGCTTGTTTCAGGCCCGGCGTAGTGGTGGACGTGGGTATCACACTGTATGACTTCTCTGTTGTCGGCTTTTGTGTAGGTGTGATGAAAGATGTCGATAGGACAGTTTCTGGATCTTGTGTCGCCAGTGGCTCGCCATCAGGATTCACAAACGTGATACCCGGCGCTATCGATGTGAATACTGTTGGCTGAATAGGTTCTACTACTAGAGCAGTGTCTAGTTGTGCGACTACCTTTTCAGACGTTGAAGAAATTATTGAGGAAGTGTTGAAGTATCCAGTAAACCTAGAGTTGCTTAGTGAGTGATTTTGCTGGGGTGGCTGGAAACGAGTGTCTTACTGGCGCCTCTGGTGGTTCCTTGGGACCGGCCCACCAACAACACATGTTGAACAAGCTGCCAGCAGCAGGATTTTGGAAAATATGACCATTGCGAAGGCTTGCTACGATTAGAGTACCAGGAAGAAAGAAAAAATCAACGGTGCGATACCAGCGCTTGGGAAGAGATTAGTTAAAACGACAGACAGACTGGATGAAAAGACCAAGGAAAAGTGGACAGTGATATGAAACGACCGACAAGACAGAACTAACGAGAAGGAAATAAAGCACGGAAGGAAACAGGAAACAACGGGTCTCAGCTAAAGACAACCTAGACGTTCAAATTGCTATCGTGAGGGCATCACGGCATCTGGGCTGCCAGCAGTTTTGAAGCTGCATTAGCCGCCTTGAGCACGGTTTGAGTGCGGTTTGACCAGACCATGGCACAAAGAGCGGTATTGGCCCAGCATGATCGCAGTAGCGAGTAATTTGGAGAGGCTGGTCAAGCCCCAGTGGAAAGTACGGTAAGTATGCAAAGAGTGGCTGTGGAGCACTGATGCGCTGGGTTGACGTTTCACCGCTGGGCCAATGAAACGGCGACAGGCCATAGCACAGCGACAACGGCCAGGCGCTTCGCCGGAACAGTCTGGCCCCTCGACGCACACGACTGGCTGCGCTGCAAATAGCATCTGGGGTATGAGGCTCGTCGGCGCTATCCGACACCGTGCCTGTGCCTGGCTTGTCGTGCTGCCGATGCCCATGTGCTGGGGCGGTGGGGGAGAAAGGCGACGGTGAGCGGGTCTTCTTTGCATTGACAATGTGCCGCGGCATGGCTAGGCCACGTGCAGGGAGCATTGAGTGGTTTGCGAAGTCACCATGACGGAGAGCATGGGCATTGGCGGTACCCAATTGTCAGTTACAGTCGTATGGGGATCGGTGGAAGAGTGGATGACGGGGTTGGGTGATGGGGAGGCTGCACGTGCCGCTTGTTCTTCCGCCCCGGCGGTGACAGGTTGACGAGGCAACGGACCAAAAGCGACTAGGGGAGACAAGAAACGCGATGCGCGTGAGTGGGCCCTTTGAACAACGCAGACCTGCAGCGTCACGTAACGGTAGGCCCGGCATTCTCTTCTCTGTAGATTTAGGCTTGTTGTTTTCCGTCATCCTTCACCAACCATTGCCGTCGCCGGGCCACCACCATGAGCGTACGTGTTGTCGCGAGGATACGTCCTCTTCTGAAACAAGAGGTCGATAAGGATACCATTGTCACGGCCGAGAAGCTCGAGGGCGAGACCACCCCGGCCGTTGTGCGCATACCGAGTCCCAAGAACGAGGCCGAGTCTTTCAGCTTCCAATTCAGCTCCGTCTACGAGCAGGACGCGACGCAGCAGCAGCTGTTTGATGCTGAAAGTGAGTCTCCAACGCGCAACAGGGTGCCGTGGCCAGCATTGACCTTTAGCTAGTCGCCCCAACAGTAAAGCACCTCTTCAGTGGATTTGATCTGTCCATCTTCGCCCATGGCTGCACAGGTACGGGCAAGACCCATACGATGCGCGGAGGCAAGTCGCTGGCCGACAGGGGTGTCATTCCGCGTCTTCTGAGCGCCATATTCCGACGGTGCAAGAAGATCGAAAAAGACTCGGCCGGAGCCAACGAGGTAGAGGTCGCGCTAGAGTACTTTGAGATCTACTGTGATCGCGTGTACGACTTGTTCGAGCCACCAGAGAAGCGAACGCCCTCGGGTCTGCCCATCAGGGACAATCGCGGAAAGACCGTTGTCGTGGGCCTGACTGAGAAGCCATGTACGACACTCAAGGAGTTTGAAGAACTCTACGACCAGGCCAATCTCAACCGGTCTACATCCGCCACAAAGGTAACCAATCTATTCGCACGCGTCTGGGTAGAGCACCGTTAACCGTCCTACAGCTCAACGCGCATTCATCGCGTTCTCACGCGGTTCTGTGTGTCAAGATTACCCAGACTACTGGAGACATTGTTCGCGTCAGCCGCGCATCATGTATTGACCTGGCAGGATCAGAAGACAACCGCAGGACAGAAAACAACAAGGAGCGCCTGATTGAAAGCTCGGCCATTAACAAATCACTCTTCGTGTTGGCGCAATGTGTCGAGGCTATGAACAAGAAGGCCAGCAGGATACCCTACCGCGAGTCCAAGATGACCAGGATCCTGTCTTTGGGTCAGAACAAGGGCTTGACCGTCATGATTCTGAACCTTGCGCCCACTCGCGCTTACCATCTCGATACCATCAGTTCGCTGAACTTTGCCAGTCGCACAAAGAAGATCGAAGTCGCAGAGGTGGAAAATGACCCAATGTACAAGACCGCAGTTAAGCCTCTGGCGACAACTAGCAACATTGGCGGACCAGCCATGGCACGCCAACCGCTCCGATCACTGGTAGCTGCTACCAACACCACAGTCGCAGACGCCGACAAGCAGAAGAAAGGGGAAAAGCCTACAAAGGCCTTCTCTGTATATTCTGATTCCCGCAAGGCTGCTCCTCGCGTTTCTAACACTACACAGAATCAGGGTATCCGACGAGCGGAAGCTCCTAAGCGTGCAGCTGAGCCCAGCAACACTTTTGCGTCCCGACCAACAAAGACCTTCCGCGCAGCGGACAATGCTTCACGGATACGACCAAATGAATTGACACTAACCAAGGAGACAATCGAAGCTCTCATCGCCCAAAAGGTTGACGAGAGGCTTGCGGAGAAGGCTCTGCAAGACGCTACCAATTCTGCCCCAGCGCTATCAGCCGAGTTGCAGAAACGGTTGGATGAGCTTGAGCAACGCCTTGAAGTCAAAGAGGAGGATGGAAAGTCACAGGGCTTGCAGTTCTTGTTGATGGCAAAGCAACACCACATCCGCGGTGAGGATGCAAGTGCACTGAGAATGTACCATCTTGCACAACCTTACTTCCCGGACAACGCCAAGCTAGAAGCCAAGATGAAGAAGCTGGAAGAGAAGATTCGCGCAAAGAGGGAAGAGACTCAAAGGCACGCCTCCATGCCCATCAGCCTACCCTCCCACCCATCCCCCGCCCGCGTCTCAAACCTCATGGGCCCCCTGAAAGCAGTAAAGTCAATCCCTAAGCCAAAAATGGTCTACCGCGACGAACCCGAAGAAGACAAGGACGACGAGGAATTCGCCCCTGCCCCACCCTCCGACCACGACTCCGACTCCGACGCCTCCGACGACAGCTTCCAGTACAAGACCAAAGCCCCAATCCGCAAACCCAAGCAGACTACCAGGAAACTACCCGTCTTCCGTGACACCGCCGCTGCTGCTTCTGCCCCCGCCTCTGCCTCCGCCTCTGCCTCGACTACTGATTCCGTTCCCCGCTCCAAGCTCCCCGTCTGCCACACACCCCGGACCTCGCACCTCCTCAAGATCATCAACTCTCGCGACGTAAACCAAATCAAGGGACTCAAGGGCGTCGGCACAAAGAAAGCCGATAGCATTGTGAACTGCCTCGTCGAAATGAATGATGCTGAAATCCTGGATCTCGAGTCGTTGGCTATGCTCAAGGGTGTGGGCGGTAAGACGGTGGATAACATGAGACTTGGACTTAGGCTCGATGTCTGATGTGACTTTGAAATAAGTCGGGTGGGTTGACACTACATTCCTTGCATGCATTGTTTTTTGTCGGCATCTTTTTTGGGGAGCTTGGCATTTTTTTCTTGCTAGCGACTCGTCCTTCTTTCTTTTTTTGAAAAAATTCGCTCCATAGCATGGTGCCCTGGCGTTTTTTCTTGGGAATTTTACTACAGTGGTTTGTTTCGGCCATCAAAAAGGGTGTGTTCCCCACTAGTAAGTTGCATTTGTAGTGGTGTTTTGGGTATTTTGGGTGTGGCAGCGTTGATCTGCCGCCCCCCCTTTTTTTGCATAGATAGATGCGTACCTCCGTGTAGAGGTCTGATAATCAAATCAAATCAAATCAAATCGTTTTACTGATCATATCATTGTGCTGGGTCAATCTTCTCTTCTTCTGGTGTTGTACCTTGTGTCAGATACATGTGTATGACAGGATGTACTCTGTATATAGGATCAATTAGAAACCATATCATTAGATTACAAGAAAGAGACTCTACACATCACTCCCGTCCCCCCCATCTAAAAAGGCCAAACCCACTCCTCCGTCTCCTTGGGATCCACGCCCTCATGGAACGCATAATTCCTCGCCTTAATCTGCTCATCAAGCAGCTTCTCCCTTGTCGCCGCGCCCTTATTACCCAAGCTAGGGATATTATCCAGCGCATCAATCGCCAAACTATAACGATCGGTTCCATTGCGAATCGCAAGCTCAAGCGGCGTATCGATGTTTCCCTTCTCCCTATAACCCCGCACAAGCAAGTTCTGCTGCCCTTTGCGGCCGTAGGTAAGGCGGTGGACGAGCCACGGGTAGGAATGGAAGTTGAAAATGCAGGGCACGTTGTCTGTGAAGATAGCCTTGTACTCGTGAGCCTTGAGGCCGTGGGGGTGCTGCGAATCGTCGATGAGTTTGAAGAGGTCGACGACGTTGACGAAGCGGATTTTGAGGTCGGGCAGGTGTGTGCGGAGGAGGGCGGTGGCGGCGAGGGATTCGTGGGTTGAGACGTCGCCACAGGAGGCCATGACGATGTCTGGTTCTTCGCCTTTGTCGTTGCTGGCCCATTCCCAGATGCCGACGCCTTTGGTGCAGTGGGCGATGGCTTGGTCCATGGTAAGGTATTGGAGGTGCTCTTGCTTGTCGGCGACGATGACGTTGACGTAGTTTTCACTGCGGAGGCAGTGGTCCATTGTTGAGAGGAGGCAGTTGGCGTCTGGTGGGAGGTATATGCGGACAACTTCGGGGCTCTTATTTGCTACTACGTCGAGGAAACCGGGATCTTGATGGGTAAATCCGTTGTGGTCTTGACGCCAGACGGTTGATGTGAGGAGAATGTTGAGCGATGCAACCTTTTGCCTCCATTCGACCTCGAGGCACTTCTCAATCCACTTGCAGTGCTGGTTGACCATGGAGTCGATGATGTGAATAAAGGGCTCGTAGCTGTTGAGCAATCCGTGCCTTCCAGAGAGGATATAGCCTTCGAGCCAACCCTGAATAGCGTTAGCAAGTTTTTTCCAATCTCGACTGGTTTTCTTACCTCTACAGTGTGTTCAGATAGCATTTCCATTACCCGGCCTTCATGTGCCAAGTTGCCATCATCCTTATCCATATCGAGGTACTCGCCCATCCACACTTTCTGTCCCGCTTCATACACATTACCAAGCTTGTTAGATTGTGTTTCATCAGGTCCAAAAAGGCGAAAGTCCTTTGGATTCAGCTTGATCACGTCACGGAGGAAGTTGGCGAAGTTACTCATACTTCCCACCTTTGCAACGCCACCCTTTGTGACCTCGACAGAGTATTCGCGGAAATCAGGCATGTGAAGCTTGTTGCGGATTGAGCCACCATTCGCAACAGGGTTGGCACTCATCCTCCTATTGCCTGTTGGCGCCAACTCCCTGAGCTCAGGAATAAGCTTGCCGTCCTTGTCGAAGTGCTTGTCAGGCTCATAGCTACGCATCCATTCCTCGAGCAGCTTGAGTTGAGATTTGTCCTTCAACACGTTTGTGAGAGGGACTTGGTGCGAGCGCCAAAAGCCTTCCAAGAAATGGTCACCGTCAACCTTGCTGGGGCCGGTCCATCCCTTGGGCGTGCGGAGAACGATCATGGGCCAACGAGGTCTAAAGGCTTTGCCCGAGTCTCTTGCCTGCTTTTGGTATTCACGAATCTTGTTCACACAGCGTTCCATAGTGGCCGCCATGGCTTGGTGCATAGAGGGAATGTCACTACCCTCAACAAAATAAGGAGTCCATCCGTAGCCGATAAATAGTGACTCAAGTTCTTTGTGGCTGATACGAGCAAGTACAGTGGGGTTGTTGATCTGTACTGGATTAGCCAATTGTTTCGCATATGCATCCACAAACGTACCTTGTAGCCATTCAAATGTAGTACGGGCAAAACAGCGCCATCGGTAATTGGATTGAGGAACTTTGTCGAGTGCCAGCTCGTAGCCAGAGGGCCAGTCTCAGACTCGCCATCTCCGACCATTGTAAGAGCAATCAAATCAGGGTGGTCGAATACTGCACCAAAAGCATGGGAGATGGAGTAGCCAAGCTCACCACCTTCGTGTAAACTGCCAGGCGTTTCGGGGGTAGCATGGGATCCAATTCCGCCTGGGAAAGAGAAGTATTTGAAGAAGCGCCTCAAGCCCTCCTCATTCTCTCCCTTTTGAGGATACACTTCAGAGTAGACTCCTTCAAGATAGCTATTTGACAAAACGGCTGGAGCACCATGGCCAGGACCGGAGATGAAGAGGGCGTCCAAGTCATATTTCTTGATGAGACGGTTCTGTTTTGAGTAATTTGATTAGTACTTGAGTCTTGCTATCCTGGCATGCGTGCATTCGTACCATGTGGATATATGTGAAACTCTGTCCAGCATCCGAGCCCCAATGTCCTAACAATCGTCGCTTGATGTGATCGAGTGTGAGTGGCTCACGGAGAAGAGGATTCCTCCGGAGGTAGATCATGCCCAGACACATGTAAAGAGAGGCATGGAAATAGTCAGTCATCTTCTGTACCTCATCGCTGCTGAGAGGATGTTCGGTTATAGAAGCTCTCGCAGGACCAAATGGAGATAGACTGAGGTGCTCAACATCCTCAGCAACAGTCTCGGGATCCGCCGGGGCTTTGGCTATCATTGCATCCATGATGATTTGCTAAAAGGAAAGCGGCGTCGCTTTCCGATTTAGATGACGTCTTTGTATGTAATCCGACTTGACAATGGGCAATGATCCTCAAAAAGTGAACTAGGTCTGAAGAGAGACCAGAAGAAGACTTTTGAGTTGCAAAAGATATTAGATGGTAATTAGGAAGCAAGGTAAAGGCAAAAACAAAGCAGAGGGTAGGGAGTGCTTTAAACATCCGGATATGTAAGGGTAAGAACTAGCCAGCGGCATGGCCGGAGACGTTGTCCTGGCTCATTGACAGTGTGCGATTGGTTCTAGTGCTGCATATGCATCTCATCATAGCGACAAATTCCTTTTTGGCGTATACGAGCTCAAGTTGGTAGCTGCCATAGCTACGTCATGGCCTAATGTGCCCACCACAAAGTGGGGTTGGTACAAAAACACGCTAGTAGCAACGCGTTCTTTGTGGCATTTAACATCTGGCGTTTCTTAGAAACCATCAGGTCGTATAGATGAAGTGTAGGATCTTTGGTTGGATTTGAATAGCGTCAGCGGTCTTGGTGGTGTGATCTACAACCTCAGGCACCGCCCGAGGTATACGGTATGTCTCAACGGCGGAACGCGGCGGACATGTTGGGTGACAGCCTCCACCTAGCATGCACATGCAATCTTGTTTTAGACTCGGCTCTTCATCCGGACGGGGAATGATCTAGGCAGGCATCTGCAATTGGCACGACCTCGGCAGGAAAGGTTAGTAGTGTTAGTCTCGACGTCAAGACGGTGGAGCCACACTTGCAAGATGGAGGTCATCCAGTTTATTTTGCCAAAGACAAGGCGTCTAGTAACATTGAGGTCTAGCAGATCCTAGTAGCTAATTGAAAGTATATGGTTGCAACTAAATGGTCAGTGCAGTCCATAATCACCCTCTGCGATAATCGTCCGCTGGCACTCTGCGAGGATAGCTGCTTGCCTGGCCACGTCTGCCAGCCTCCCAATGACCATCTTGTTGCCATCCACGAAGCCATAGAGCGCATATGGTATATCCACCTCGTTGCAAAACTCTTGCACTAACTTCTGCGTCTTCCTCAGGTTGTGCCGGGGAATGCGAGGGTACAAATGGTGGATAGCCTGGAACTGAAGACCTCCATGAAAGAAGTCTAGCCACTGCGGACAGTCAACGTCCATGGTCGTTCGCAGCATCTTCTGGGCAAAGGATTCGTGAACACCCAGATCTGCAGTACTCATTGCGAAGTGAGACAATGTGATCTGTACGTGGAGCGGCGAGGTCAAAGCATGGGTGATGAGCACAAACCAGAAGCGGCTCCAGTTGTCTGGTATCGACTTGTACACAACCCCATAGCCGTACCACGTCCAGAAGACCATTATACCCATAATCTCAAAGTAGCGGTGCCACCACGCAGGGCCTTTCTTAGGACCCTTTCCACCGAGCAAATACATCCAAGACAGCCGGTAAAGATTGAAGCGCGCAAAGAGCATGATCGGGTAATACGTGTAATGCTGGATGCGAATCATAAATTTCGCAAAAGCATCATACTCCATAACCCAGCCGTAAAAGGTTGTTGTGAGACTTTCCATGAAACGGTGCGTAATGGAAAACAAGGGAATGTACTGGATATCCGGGTCGTGTTCAGGGTGGTTGGTGACGAAATGGTGGACATTGTGGTTGTACTTCCACCAGCAAGCGCTCAAGCCACCCATGAAGGATGCGATGAACATTGCAATAGTAGAGTCTGTGGTGAAATCGTGGGTGATGCCCATGTGTCCAGCATCATGGACAGTAAATGTGAGTTGATGCCAGAGACATGCAAGAGGAATGGCACTAGTGATGTACCAGCCTGCATGTAGCAGAAACAGGAATGCGGCCAGGAAGGAACCGTAGCGCAGGCATTCGATGCCGTATGCGCCATAGTTGCATTCGTATAGCCCTTCTTTCTTGATGCGCACCTGCAGCTCACGGTACTTTTGTGTTATGTTGTCCTGGGTGACAAAATCGACTGCCGGGTATTTGGCCTTATCTAAGTCCAACTCTTCCTGGGTTCGTCTGTCGAGAAGTGACATTTTTGAAGACTTTTGGTCAAGCTCGGCTGACGAGATGCTCGAGGTCGAAGAGGCTCTGGTGATGTTGTTGCCATTGCGCTTGCGAAGAGGATCGGAGGGTCGGTCTGCTGGTTCAAACAGCGGGCTGTTGTCGGCAGAAGACGAAGAGCTAGTAGCCTCTTGATCTGAGGAAGAGGCTGACGTCGCATACTCTTCTTCGGAGAGTTTATCGAGCTCCTCCTGTGTCCTGAACTTTCCTCCTTGTATCGGTGGTAGGAAGTTGGTCCACCGCCCCTCGACTCGACCAATCTGGTAGCGGCTCATGAGCTGGAGCGTTTGCGCGGAGTGAAAGCTAAAGCGTCTAGTTCAGCACTGTGTCTGTATTGTATGATCAAAGGAGACGTACCGAGTGACTTCATCTGTTGCATCGCGTCCCACCATGTGCCGGATGGCTTTGTCACCGCCTGGATGGTACGGCAGCCAGGCATCGAGCTTCAGGACTGCATTGTCCACGATGACAATTGAGCGCCCATTGGCAATCTGAGCCTCGACGTCTCGCCGGCTGAGCACTTTGGATTTCCTGTCTGTCTGGGTGGCCATGATTTGGCGCAGGGCGATGGGGTAGGATGTAACGAGAGTGCGCGCAAAAGATACAATGCAAGATGAACGGCCGCTCTGCAGGGCTCAATTGGCGGACCGAATCAACGCTAGACAGATCACGTTGTAGCTCATAAGGAGAAGTGCATGTTTGTGGGGGTGCAATGCTGGGGCCATGCAGTGGAACGGGAGACGGTGAGCTGATAAAGTTGGTGAGTAGACGGCTCCTCGTGGCGGCGGACCCTGCGGCGCCTTGCACGCACACGTCCCTATTGCCCCACGTTCCACGCCCACCTGGCTGGTAGTCACATGGTTGGGGCTAGAAACAACCATGGAACTCCAGCCATTCATGTACGCATACGCATTCTATGCGCAAAAAACAGGGCCGTGGGGTTCCTTCTGGAACGTCGGGCATTCCCACAAAGTTTGGTGCGATTGGGGGCAGATAAATATGTACAGTGGGCAGCCCTTTCCCACCTGGGCATGCGTTTCGCTTTGTTTCGGCCAACTCCGTCGTCACCAGATTGACAAGTCTTGACTGCACGCCAGGTCACTCCACAATATTGGTTCAGGCCGCGAACTCTATACACTACACCAACTGCTCCTTTGCTCCTCCTCCCCTTCTCAGCACCCCTGAACAAACACGTAGCACAACCGCCATCTGCAGTACAGACACAGCCCACAGACATGGCCAAGGATATCAAAGAGTTGGCGAGCGAGTGGCTGGAGCTGGACGAGGACAAGGAAACAACTGACGAGATCTACAAGCTTTTGGTCAGCGGCGACCACGATGAGCTTGAAAGGAGACTGCGACACCGCATTGCCTTTGGTACTGCCGGACTCAGAGGACCAATGCAGGGCGGCTTCGCCTGCATGAACTCGCTGACAGTCATCCAAGCCTCGCAAGGACTGGCTGCATACCTCTTGAAGACTGAGGAAAATGTAAAGAAGAGGGGTGTGGTCATTGGCCGGGATGCGCGACACAACTCTGAGAAATTCGCCAAGCTCACGGCTGCCGCGTTTGTGGCAAAGGGTATCAAGGTGTGGTGGTATGAGGAACCTAGTCATACGCCCATGGTTCCTTTTGGTGTGCGTGAGCTTGAAGCTGCCGCTGGTATCATGATAACTGCAAGCCATAACCCGGCCAAGGACAACGGCTACAAGGTTTACTGGTCAAACGGTTGCCAGATCATCCCTCCACACGATAGCGGCATTGCACAGTCTATATTGGAGAACCTCAAGCCTGTCACTTGGGACACTTCGGTAGTGGAAAGCTCCCTTTTGGTCGAGGGAAGCCTGGGGCTAGTGCAGGACACATACCACAGGGCCATTCTCTATGCAGCACAGCCTGAACATGCCCAAGTCAAAATGGATCCAGAACTCAAATTCGTGTATACCCCCATGCACGGCGTGGGACTTCCCGCCATGCAGCGATGCGCCCAAACTCTTGGAGTCACTTCTCAGATGAGCATTGTCGAGGCTCAAGCACAACCCGACCCAGACTTCCCAACAGTGAAATTTCCCAATCCGGAGGAAAAAGGAGCGCTCGATCTGGCAATCGAAACTGCAGAAAAGTCCTCGACACGCCTCATACTCGCTAGCGACCCTGATGCGGACCGACTTGCGGCAGCAGAGAAGGTGGGTGATAAATGGCACATCTTCACGGGTAACCAGCTCGGAGTACTGCTTGGCTCTTACCTCTTCGAGCGCTATCCCACCTCGAAGCCACGAGAGAAGCTTGCCATGCTGGCTTCCACAGTCAGTTCCCGGATGCTTGCTGCGCTCGCCAAAAAGGAAGGCTTCCACTTTACAGAGACGTTGACTGGGTTCAAGTGGCTCGGCAATGTAGCGCGACAGCTCGAGAGCAAGGGCTACGACGTTGCGTATGCCTTTGAAGAAGCTCTGGGCTACATGATCCCACAAACTGTGCACGACAAGGACTCGATCAGTGCTGCAGCGGTTTTCCTCACAGCCGCGTCACAGTGGTCGTCACAAGGGCTTACACCCTATGCCAAGCTGCAGCAACTCTACAAGTATCTCGGCTATTTCGAAGACGCAAACACCTACCTCGTGTCACCATCACCATCTGTGACTACATCAGTGTTTACGGCCATTCGCGCATTTGGCAGCCCATACCCAGCTACTATCGGGGCGCGGAGGATTGTGCGTTGGCGCGATCTGACACTAGGCTATGACTCAAAGAGTGAGGATCACAAGCCTGATCTGCCCATCGACCCGACCGCCCAGATGATCACCTGCGAACTAGATGACGGGGCTGTCTTTACCGTCCGAGGCAGCGGGACGGAACCGAAGATTAAGCTTTACATTGAGTGCCAGGGCAAGAGTAGTGAGGAGGCCAAGCAAGGTGCTAATGGCATCTTGGAGGATTTGCTGAGAGAGTGGTTCAAGCCCGAGGAGAATGGTCTCCGGCTGGCGTAAGAGATGAAGGATGCGTAGGTATGTCGGTATCTTTGAGTCCATCACATACTCTGATTGGATGAGGGGGTTTCTTCTTCTCTTATACATGAGCTCCTTTTACCACTACATCCGAGAAGAATGGTAGTATTCGTCCGCCGCGGTTGATAGGCGCCCATGTCCTTAGATCAGACAGCTGAAGTATTTGGGCGCCGAGTGTCAAGGTCGAAATATATAAGATTCTTGTTTTACGGCAAGACCAGTCTACACTTACTAGTGCTGTATACGCCTCCAGAGGCTCTCCGATGGGAAGTCGCGTCACGGCCATTCCCGGATCGAACTAAACCTCAACCAGACACGTTCGCCCCAAAGGATTAGGCAAGTTGTATAGGAGCGTTGCTGGTGTTACATGATCATCATGGTTGCATGAAGATGCTACTGTATAGGTACATGGCCACACGACTAGCCGCGTCAGTTGGCGCGTCCCCCATGCAAGATACGCAAGACGCGTGCATGGCAAAACGATGCATCGTTTTCTCAGCCCAGGTCCGGGTTGCCGAATGCGGGCCCTGGAGGTGCAGCAGCAGTGCCGTGAGGATGCATCGCTGACGACAACCAGTCGCGTGGATGAGATTTCTGCCTGGCGCGCACTTGGAGGCGCATACTTACATATGCGCGTGGTACTGGGAAGGTGGGAATGAATATCGCCGCCGCCGCTGTTGCTGCTGCCTCTCCACCACCGTGACAAATGGACGCGTAGAGGGCGCAGCTGAAGGAGTGGGCGGAAGAGGGTCTTTTTTGCCTGGATTCCAGGGCCAGCGGCCAGAGTCGTCTTTTTGCTTTTCGCAGCGTCACCCGTGCTGGAGATTGGGCTTGATGCACGTCCAAGGGCCAGGGTGTTGTCGCCCAGACGTCGGCGGGCCTATCAACGCATGGCCTCAGTGTCCAGGAGCCGTCCCGCTCTGTATCCAGACTCCGGGGAAGCGTTTGCGGCGCCGTCCACCACCCTACCCGTTGCTAGGTGCGTCCATGTGTGCATGCCAAAGAGTCACGGCCCAAAAAGTAATCGACGGCCTCTGTCCCCCTCCTCATGCTCCCACCACCTGTGGTGCGTTACCCTCCCCTGCCGGCTCCACCCGTGCCATTAATATAAATATCCCGCGTCGCGTCCCCCTCCTCATTCGCCTATTTTCTGGAAAGTCGTCCAAACTCCCTCGGTATGCGCCTTTCTCACCCATCCATGCCAATGTTTCCCGAGTCGCTGCTAACCGCACAGCAGCCTCTCATAGTCGCAGCGAGTATGGCTCGATTCTAGACTAATTGCGTCCTCTGCGGGATGCGTAGACATCAGCAGCCATGGCCGGGTTTGCAGACCCACGTACGCTACCACCAGCACCCTCGAGACGACCGCTCCCCAACGGACCATGCAATTATCGCGACGCCAGTCTAGGACCATGCGGATGTGACCAGTTCTGGGACAAGCTCAGCGCCGACTTGCACGATGAGAGCACTGAGCATCGTCCGGGGAGTGAGCGCTCGACCTGGTGTGTCTGCGGCCACCATGCCTGCTTCCATCTGAAGGCGTCGCGTGCGTCTGAACGGCGTGCGCCTTCAATCTCTGCCCCGCTGCCGTCGCCTCACGTGCTGTACGAAGGTCAATGCCAGACTCTGCCTAGGGCGCGATGCGATGCGCACGCTGCTGGATTGCGCCAGGCTGTCTCCGACGGGCCCCAAACCATGCGCCTTGAGCGCTTCAATTCGCAGTCCACTCACAGTCAGCGACATCTCCTGCACATTTCACGGATCCACGAATCGGGTCGCATAGCACAAAGTCAAGACACCCCATCGCAAGCTAGCACGAGCGGTCTCCCCGGAATCCCTTCCGTGTGCTTGCTATCTCATGAACAGCGTCCAGTCGCTAACAACGAAACTAGGCATGGGGTGAGTCAGTCGCATCACTCAGTGACAGGCCTGGGTCTCTCTACAATGCGCTTGGAGAGTATGTGTCAGGTTAACCGTCAGCAGTCGCCAACACCGACTATACCAGATGACATCAACATCGCTGGGACCCCACAAACAAATCGCAACGAGCGTGACCATTCTCTGACCAGAGCGAACACGAACAGCCCATCGCGTGCTATCCTAGAACATGTCCTTCCCTTCAACCGCAATATACAGCTTGATATACCTGGCGATACCATCCCAAACACATACAACCCTGAAGAATACGTGCAAAGCACTACAGAAGTCGCAACTCCAAGTGCAGGAGCTACCCCAGACCTGAGTGCCGCTGATCGGGCGGTACAAGAAGGAAAGAATCTGATTGACACTTTGGCAAGAATGACTTCAGACATGCAACCGCAGGCGGCCAGTTCACCAGACCGACCAGCCAATGCCACAGTGCCCACACAGCTTTTGCTGGAAAACTCTCCTTCAGTGCCCCAGGAACAGCTACAAAATCTCTTACAAGCAGCTTCTCCACAAGGGCTCCAAAAGCTCGTGTCCTATCTCGCTCCGTTGCATAACTTGCTAAACTCGATACCCAACGTGGCTAACACTATGCGAGACCTGGGCAGCCGTCTCGATATGCTAGAGAATGGCTCCTTCAATTATGTGCAACCAGAAGACCTCAACCAAACCCTGGAAATGTACGAAGGCAGGCTTATTGAGGTAGAGCACCGCGTGGACGAGCATGAAAAATTGCACCAAGCCTTAGATGATCAGGGTAGTATCAGTTCTTTCAGTCGAAGACACATCAAGGACGCCAATACGTCTTTTGGATCAAATCACTCTGCCGACTCGACAACTTCATCGGCTCTAATACTCACAGCCATGGATCGTAAAGACACTGAGATGGAACTCGATTGCATCAAGCAAAGACTTGATGTGCTAGAAGCTGCGGCACCTCCCACCTCTCTGGCTCCTTGGGAGATTGAAGTAGTACTGCTGCCATGGGGGCCTGATTTGCGAGGCATCTGGTTCTCACAGGACGACCCAATGCACGACGTTGACAGGACCACAACTCAGAGCTCTGAAGAATGGACTCAAGCCCGGTCATCCAGAACCGGCACGGGCACGCCGATGCTAGAAATGCGTAGGCCAGACACAGACTCAAGCCCTTATCCGGGTGCTCCGATGATGGGCAGTAACCCTGTGCTCAACCAACACGAAAGTGGATGGAGCAGTCAAGACATTACTAACTGGGCCTCGGGATCCACCGGCGAGTGGCTGTTCCCCAAAGCCTGTGGAAGCAACAACCTAGTCTACAAGCGACTCCAGAGCCGTGGTTTCGTGCGAGACATTACACTGAGGGGTGCCAGTGCAAAAGACGTCCAGGAAACGCTGTCGAATGCTTTCAGTGACGTGTTTGATCATTTACAGTATGATGACAGCGATGAGAATCCCATGATTACTGCTTATCCGGGTCTTCGAGCGTCGTACATACCACTACGAAAGGTGCTTAGGGAATCGCGACTTCGCTTCCTCACACCCGCCGAAATGTCAAGCTCGGCGTTTTGGACAGCTCAGTTCCTCGCATCTGGTGTCATGATGCGAGTATCTGGAGGAAAGAAGAGGTTGTATGTTACTCATCGCGAAGCCTATACCCAGCAGGTTGATCGAAACGAGTTTGTAGTCATGGAACAGTCATGGCCAGAACTCCGAACATTGCCTCGCTATCAGCCCGAAAAGAATTCGCAAACGGACGGCAATGATGGAGATTGCCAACCACATGTCCCTGAAGCAGATGCCAAGGAAGCATGCTGGCAATTTGTCGAAGCGTACGATGCTCCGCCTGCTAGTATGCATTCTTCATTCGGTAGCAACCAATCTGTACAACTGTCCATGCGACCTGCAGGCCGACAATGGCGACGATCAATCACACCAAGCTCCATCTTGAAAAAGCAGACGCACCCAATCTCTCCATTGAGCGAGAATCATCCGCGACGCCCATCATCCCATCGCAATCGCACGGTATCAGCCTCGGCCATGGATACATTTCCCCCCAGCTCGGCCAAGCGTCGCTACAATGGGTCTCCAATAAAGCAGTCGTCTGCTCCACAAACAATATCACGCACACCCAGTCTGATGTCGAGGCTCAAGAGACGTCGCGTAACAGAGTCCGCATCACCAAGACCACAAGAGGATGCTCGGGAAGAGCCCCAAGTTCCAATATGGACTGCAACCCCTCGGCGTTCGCGTGAACCGCCTTCACCGTTTTACTCTTCCCAACCTCCATTGCCGCGATCCTACTCCGACATCGCAAGTAGGCCAAGTCAACGCTCTGTTGCTATGACTGGTAAATCAACTCCATTTGCGTATGCGACTCCTCACTCGGGGCCTTTTATGGGCGATCCGGGCTACAGTGCCTACAACAACGGTGGTGACACTGAGCCAGATGATGACGACAACGCATACAATGACGATGACGGCGAGCAGAGCTGGCACGGCGTCACTGATGGCGAGAGTGTTACAAGCTCCGTTGCCGGTGCCGCCATTAGTGCTCAGGAGGGCGCAAGTTTCTCAGGGGACGACAGTGGCTTTGGCAGCGAAAATGACGACGACAGCGATGCACAGTCGGAAGAAGATGCCGAGGATCATGCACATCGGCAGCAAGATGATGGAGACGAGGACGAAGACGATGTATTCGACTCTTTGCTCAGTATCATTGAAGATTAAATATGGGCAGTTTTTGTTTTGTTTTGTGGAGTAGGGATGTATACTTATCTCAACGTTTTTGTCTAGCGTCTTTTCATTCCTGTCAAAACAATCAATTTCCTCTCTCACTCTCCTTTTCCTTTTTCTTTCCCGACCCAGTAGGGTTTGTATATCACTCAAGACCTGGCGGGAGGTAAAATATAGTGTACGTTTAGCCACGCAAATTTCTTTTACCCCTTTATGGTGGTTGGGCTAAATAGATTTACTTTGTAGTCATCCCACTGTCTTAAGTTGGTACGAAAGAGTGATTATAGCGAAGTCAAGAAGCGTGGCTTAATCGTATGTATGTAAAGGATACACTGACTCGAACCAGTCTGCCTTGCGCAATGACCAGCATACTCTCTCTAGATCGCAAAATTTCCCCGTTTGGCGTGCACACGTCGTCCCGTAACCCTAGTACTCCACGAACATTAAAGGGTCTAAGGCGGTCTGCCAAGGAAGACATCTACAATGATAACTACACAAAAGTACCGCCTACCGCACGAGCTCTAACGGCCGCAGCCGAAATCGGTGTGACCAGACCCTGTGTACAACACTAATTCTTTTAGATGCAGATCTCTAAAAAGCCGTTATCTGCACCGCCGTTATGTCGAGACAAAAAGGTCCGAAAGCGAATTGAGCTGCTTTGCACGTTAAGCGTGTTGTAGCAAATCCAAGCCTGTATCTTGACATCTTCAATCATATCTCCAGGATAGAGAGTACAAAGGTGCTTACGGATAAGTGCCAGATGTATCGCTTGCTTGCTTGCGGTACACTCGAATGTTAATGGTGTAGAGATGGCCTTATTCAGGCCCCCAGAGCGACAACCCCGGCCTCTTGGAAGGAGGCGAGGCCATTCTGGAATGAACTTGGCATTTCTGGTCGGCGATCAGAAAAGTGGCGAGGCCATTCTGGAATGAACTTGGCATTTCTGGTCGGCGATCAGAAAAGTGGCTTTAATTATGTCTAGATTTCCCTTGATTCGTTGGGGTATCGATTTTTGACATGTCACACTCCCACAATGGAGAGGAAAAAACACCGCGTGTGGTTGACGAACAAACCGAATCACAGCATACATTAATACCAAGAAGAATTGGCGGCCCTCCTAAACCACGTGCCTCTCCTAAAACGCGCATCCAAGATGGACCAACACTACGCTACAGACACCGTGCGCTTGGGATAATCGCATTCTACATTCCCATACTTGTTGTGCCATGGGTACTAACATGTGTACTCGCCTACCACCCGGTGGGCCTGCCGTCGTACATCCAAACCGAATTCACAGAGAGCAACATCTCAACACAGCAACGCATTGTAAATGCCCTCGCAGTACTCAACTCTTTCGCCAGCATCGTCACTATCCCCCTCATCTCGGCACTAATCGCCCAAGCCGCAGTTGTCTACACGCAAAGGCGGCGGAAGAACCAAATGGTCAGTGTATCCCAGGTTTTTGCGCTAGCAGACCGTGGATGGTCGAATATCAACATCCTCTGCGAAGCCTGGCCACCATGGAGGAGTAACAGGACGGCAAATGGAGATGAATCCCTACGGACCGGGCCCGGTAGTGGGTTCCTTTGGCTCGCTGCGTTGTTCCTTTTACTCTGTGGTATCCAGCAGCCTATCCGAGAGGGTTTCGTATCTACAGGGCAAATCTTGGTCATGACTACAGAAGACAACCCTGTGGGTGCACAGAACGGGCCTTTTCACGGAGGAAGATATACACTCTTGGGGATGGACCCAGAGCCAGACGACATGTCTACCATACCTGAAGGTGTAGTTGTGCAACAACTCGAGACTTCATTGGCTTCTCTCTCCTCCAGTGAGGTTCCTACAAATCTCTGGCCGGATCTACGGGATGCAGCTCCTTTTCAACTGCAGGACATACCTCAGTTGAAGCAATTAGGCCCTTGGGCACAGCCAGGCCTTGGTTTCTTCGTCGCTGCTTTTCCTAACGGCACAACGACCGGTATTCTTCGACACCGTGCAATGCGATTCAACTCGACGGTCCGGTGTACTGAGATTGAACAATCTTCGTTTCCCGCGACTTGCACCGGTGTAAATCCATTCACTTCTGGTTTCACCTCTTCCGGTCAGTTCGGAGCGAATATCTGCGTCCCAGGTCAACGCGGAAAGTTTCCATGGCAGCTTTCTCGAAACAGGCAGGACGCTGTTGAAGAAATTTTTGTGGACGTCAATACAACTGATAAGAATGACGCACCAGTGAGATACACGCAACAATGCACTGTCAAGACCACACGAGGCTATTTCGAGCTCGGCAATTACCGAAATAACTATGTATACGGTCCACTGTTGGAGCGTTGGGTTGAGCCAGACCCGTTTGCAGATAGGGCACAGTACAACGATTACCTTTCTGATCTCTGGAGAGACGGCAACAGGGTGGAAGTTAATAAAAATGGGAATGTACTGAGTAGTTTCGAGGGACGGTGGCGCCGGCCGTCAGAAGAGGATAGACTGACGGATATTCCGGGCTGGTAAGAGATCCAGCATACACACATGGCATGGATATCTGCTGACTGACTCTATTCAAGGCCAGCACCCGAATCCACGCCATCAAGCTGGCCCATTGGCCCTACCTTCAAGGACACCAACACGACAATGTCTGGCCCACTAATGACCTCAGCCATCGCATTGTTCGGCGAAACCTCCCTCTTCGCAGCCGCCAACACATCCACAAACACCACCGTGCCTCTCCTCCTCGACCAAATCTGTCGCCTCAACCGCCTCCCCTTCTCCACATTCCGCAGCTACCGCGACTACACCCCCGCATGCACCTCCCAAGCAGACGACACCGTGCGCCTCCTGCAGATAATGCAAAACTTCACAACAGTCCTCTTCTCAGACCCAACAGCTACAGAACGCTACCTCTCCGCAAGCATGTGCGTTCCTCCCTTTCACTGTTTCCCCCCCTCCCTCAACCCCCAACTAACACCCTCAAAGCTTCCACGCCAACCGCGCCCTCCTAACCCAAACCGCCCTCAAAACCTCCGGCACAACCGGCCGCCCCCTCTACTCCTCCCCCGGAACTTTCATTCCAGCCCCGAGAATCTCGCTCACTGGCATAACTCTCGTCTCCCTCCTACTCCTCCTCCAACTCCTCGGCCTCGCATACCTCGCACACTACATCTATAAAGTCCCTACATGGACCCCGCATCTCGACGCCCTGTCCATCGCGCGTATAACAACGAGTCTCGACCGCGGTATCGTGCCGGGACTAGGCGCCCTGTATGCATCTGATATGCGGCGTCTGGATAGCACGGATGCGATGGTCGGGATTGTCGAGGGGGAATATGCTTCCTCTTCCTCTTCTTCTCCTTCTTCTTCTTTTTCTTCGGATCCTGGCGAGCCGGTCACGGAGGGGAAGACGGTGGAGCTGGGACTCGGTGCTTCGGGCGTATTTACGAGGCGCTTGGTGAGGTTTAGGGTGAGAAGAGCGCAGGCGGCGAGTGAGATGGAATGTCGCTGTGAGGGATGTAGGAGGCGGGATAGGGGCGGTAGTGTGTCGTCGACTTCTTCATATCCGTAGATTTGGGTATGGAGAGTAGAGCGTGATTAATGACTACGCCCGTTTTTTTTTGTGCTCTTTATCAATCTCGCCATTTTTCCTTCTCCCTGCATTAATGCAATGCTGCCTCGAAAAATACAATACATGCTCGTCTCACATCCAAAGAAAAATATAATGTGGGGTTATCAGCAATTCCCATGCCAACACCGCCTATCCAGGGGCGCCAAAAAGACATTCCATCCTACTCCCACCATCTCATAACAGATTGGCAAGCAAAAATATCAGCAAAAAAAAGAAAAAAAGCGATGGACTCGCGGGGAATCGAACCCCGGACCACTCCCATGCTAAGGGAGTATTATACCACTAAACCACAAGCCCGATCTGTTGCTTCTGTTGAAGCTGATTCGATGGAAGTTCGAACGGTTTGTCTCTTTATAATCTTCAATGCAAAATTTTGTGGAAATGAGTTACAATCGTAGGTAGGCCAACACAGAATTAGATGTGTGGGTCGGTTGCGTTCTGGACCCGTTGGGTGCAAAACTTTGTTTGCGGTAATACTAGCGTTGGATAGTGGGGGGAAATTCGGTTTGGTTGTGGGATTTTGCGGCTCGGTTGTTTGGAGCTGGGCAGATTCAAGTTATAGAAAGAAAGAGAGAGAGATCCTGGTGAGTATGCGATGGGAAGGTATATTGGGGGGCTTGCTACGAAGAAGTAAATTGGCTCGGCGATTGGTTGTGCGCATTGGTTGAGATCAAGCGCTATTGTAGCGACAACACACTTCTCACTCGAAGCCAAAGTCTTGCTTGTAGTTTTCAACACTCAAACCAGGCGCTTTGGATCTCGCCCATTGCTAACAAATTTAGCGCATATGTTCTTGATTGTTTCTGGATTTGTTGAAATGCTAGAAGCGCTTTGTGCACAGAGTTTTCGAGCGTCTTTGTTTTTTTCGGCAGACTGCCTCCTGATGGAGATGATTAGTTGGATGTGCGTGGGGATACGCCCTGACCAGACGCCATGTTAGAACACCAACGCAACATCTCTCATCATCTAGAGCGAAAACTGGCGAATTAAGTCACTTACGCATTCACTGTAGTTCTTCTGGATTGAGTCCATGGCAAACAAGTATGAAGAAAACAAGTTAGGATATTTGCCAATCTATAAGATTAATATTGTAAACTTGACCCAAATGAATAATGAAGATCCCAAATCTTGGTGTAAATGAAGTATTCGATCTCAGCGCAAAAATACAGATTTGTGGTAACAAGACTTTTGTGTATATTAAAAGTGCAAGTTTAATCATCGAGAATACCTCTTGCAATGACCCAGCCTCGAATTGAAATGATCCCTTCCTTATTTTTTACTGGGCCGCTCTCGACCCAGAAAACAGAGGTATCAGCGAAGAGTAATACAAAAGAATAAATAGGACTAGGGGTGCAAACTAGTGAAATTCGAGACGTTGACATGGCAACTAAAATCTATGGATAACCTGGCCAGCAGCCCTTTTTCCATTACTGTTGTGGCGCATGATTGAGGTCATCATCTCTATCTGGCTGCTGCATCCAGTCGCCCTGCTGCATACCTTGATGAATCTGGCCGTGCATCTGCTGTGGCGGTTGCGGTGGCTGCGGCTGCTGGTGATAAGGCATGACCAATTCCGAAGGGTCTAGACTCATATTGGCAGACGATGCTGATTGCCACCAAAGATTCTGCATGTCGAGGATAGGAGGGCCCTGATCGAATGTCGTCGTGAAAGGGTTTCCGAACGAAAAGGCCATGGACTGGTCATACTCGATAGGGTAAGGATAGATTGGGTCCGGGAACTGCTCCGGGAGGAATGGCGGGAAAGTCTGTGAAGACACTGCTGGATAGATAGGTTCGCTTGATGTATTCCAGGGCTCTTGTTGAGGTGGAATGATGAAATCTTGGGAGCGCTCCCATGTCCTGTATTGCAAAGGCTGGCCGTCATCATCATCCGTAAGCTCTTTAACTTGTTCTCTTAAGGTAGGAGCACATGTGTTTAGGATTTTGTAAATCACGCCATGGGCCCGAGAGGCGACGGGGTCGTTGACTCGCAAAGCACGGAGCCAACTCATCAATTTCTTGATACACTTCATGATGTTTTCTTTGTCGTCCTTCAGATTCTGACCCTCGTAAGACATCTCTAGTAAAAGCACGGCCATGCTTTGCATGACTTTTGCAATAGCCATCAGTAAGTTTCGTCATTGGGCGGGTCTACAAGACTTACTGATATGCACTATATCCCACCACGGACCCCGGGAGTAAATAAAGGTTGTGTCTGGTTGGTCAGGAAACAATGATGTTATTTGTTCTGCCGCTTGAACACATAAATCGGCCGTTTTTGCGTTGAAAGTGGCTGACCAACTGCTTTCGGATTCTATTCGTCGCTCCATTCTACAGAGACAAGGTCTCGTAATGAGGATCCTCGTGCTCCAATAGTAAATCCTGAACAGATAGTGTTCGCGATCGACGTCGGGTTGCTGGGCCCAGCTACCTGCATGAATGTCTTCAGATGATAGAGCCATCTTGGCCCAATCATCCAATTCATTGAGAAGCTCCGTGATCCTAGTCTGAATGTGCTGTGAATAATGTTCGTTAGCAAAGCCAAGAGATAGCTACATGTGAAGAAGAGCAGTCAGGCAGTATGGTTCTGGACGTACCTCCCAGGATCGTGCTGCAGTCCGCGGGGAATATAAGCTGAGAAGAACCTTTTGCGAGATGAGATTCAAATTGATGTATGCAATCAAATAACTACTATCATCAGCAGCTCTATCAGACTGAGAGGCGCTGCTCCTCGCGCTTGATTGTGGCGATTCATAGCTTGTACGGACGCGGGAAGATTGTCTAGATGAACTGTTATCTGGATTTGACGGCCCGAGATTGGATTTTGGTAAAGAGACGGTACAGTCCTCATGTCCAATAACTGGGGGACGGCCCGTGATGGATGACACAAGACATTCGATAGCGTGCAGACACCACCATGTCCTCACCAGTGGCTCTTTCTTAGAGTCGTCTAGTGCTGTATTCTCATTGCGTAGATGAAGGCCGAGAGCCAAGGCCAGTCTGATAGAAACCCCGATCATGATCCAAGCTCTACTAACATGGCCGATTGCAAGGAAGTAAAATGCGAGGGCACCGGTCTGTATTTTGAATTGTCAGCTGGCATTATGGAGAATACAATATAGGTCGCTTACAGCCTGAACCCTATCCATGGTAGGTGCTGCAATAAACACGAGGGGATCACCTAGACGTAGAAGATGCACTGCACGAGTCATGTAAATCAAGTGATCTCGTTCGTCTCCTCTCCATGGAGCTCCGATGAGTTGAGAGTATTTCCCTCCGATTGCAAAGAGGAGATTCATGGTGATACGCCATTTTGGAGGGATCTCGTATTGGCGTTTTTGTTTTGCAGATTGTATGTAGCGGCGAAACTGACCCTCGAAATTGACCGGCATGAGGGGAAAAGTACTGTGCACGGTTTCCAGATAGCAGTTGAATAAATTCTCAGCAACTCCTGGTTCCGGCATTTCGTAAGGATCGACCGCTATGTCGATCTCGATGTCGTCGCTATCCAAATAGAAGGTTGCGTCGGTTGTGTGTTGCATAGAACCTTGCTTGGTATTCTGTCTTCGTTCATGCAAAGCCTCGACTCGTTCGTTGATAGCTTTCGAGCTTGAGCCGGGAGGGCCGTGTTTTTGGCCTTCGGGATTTGCACTTCCACGTTCAGCTTGGCGTTGAATGCTTCGCAGCCATTGTACCTCAGAGTTTTGGCCTATATAGCCAGTCTCTCTCGCTTCGCGGTTACGCATCAAATCTTCGTCCAGAAAATCGAGATCTTCATTCGAACCAACTGACGCGGTAACGAAAGCCTCTCCGTGGTTAGTAGCTTCTGGTTCCTTTTCCACTGAGGACTGTCCGCGTGGTCTTTTCCCCAACGTTTTGCTCAACTGAACGGAATCCAAGGAGACCAGGTCGTCTTCTACCTATAAAATACTAATGATTAACAAGATATATGGTGCCGCATGGCAAATGCACATGGCAAACGTACATTCTGTAAGACTTGGTTGATAGTTTTCTTGTCTGCATCGCCGACACGCCCCTCCAGTGCCCTCAGGAGGTTGACAAGATCCTGATTTAACCGCATTGCCCTGAGGAGTCAGCGCGGAATTACATGACAATAGTGTCTTGGAAACACACTCTCCCAGTCGATCACGCCGTGCAGAGTCATAGACACAAACGGAATCGGCTCGTTCGCAAGTGGCGCAACGCGGTGTCTCACCTGAACATCGTACTTCTGTGTTCATAATTAGTCGGATGACTCAATTTTAAGAAGAGGTTAACGTGCTTCGTTTGCGGCAGGCTTTGCATGCTCTCGCTCTACGAAAATATGTCAGCCTGTCGATTGCCTTTGAGTGGCTGTTACTGACACCCGATCTTCTTTCTCAACTTTTTCCTGTTTCTCCTTACCAGGGCGCGGTGGTAGCTTTGGTATTGCGACCTTCCTGCCATGTTCAGGACTGGATGATTGATATGGGTTTCCTTGCATCACGGAAGCTGACAGGCAGCGAAAGCAAGCTAAAGAGCACACTACCAACTCAATGTAACTCACGTAGTGCCGTCTGTGTGCCTATATTGTTTCAGATTTCGTGTGATGCGCGAGAGGAGATGGATGGTCGAAGAAGATGGATGCGTGAGAGAGGATGGGTGTGCAAAGATGGATACGAGGTATACCAGCCCAAGGTCGGACGAGGATGGGGAGGGCAGACTGCGCAATTTTATCTGTGATAGGTATGCATATCACTTCAGATATATAACGGGCTTCCTATAGAGGCCTGTTGTTCGATAGCAGTCGCTTCGTTAATGCTGAAGAGGAGGTAAAGAGGGTGTCTTGTTTTTGAGAAATATGATTCGCGGGAACCAATCCCGGTGCTGAATCTTCCAATCATTTACGCGCAGGAACTATGAGCTCGTTTTTTCTGAAAAAACATGACTAACATGTATAGAGAATTCCATACCGACCTACTTCAGCTTGAAACCAGCAACTGCTTCCCACACGCACAGCCTGCAGTCTTTGATCCGGTTTTGTTCCGTTGGGATCGCGATCGCAGAGGCCACCAAACGTCACCAGCAGAAGGCAGTTGCCACGCCTCATCCCCCACACAGGCCTGTTACTTCACGGGAAAGAAATAAAATTGCACACAGTATTGCGTTATGCTGGAGCATTTGAGGACATTTCGAATTATTTGTAAGTTGCTAGAAGACATAGCATAATGGTGACTTTGCTATGCGCATGTATATACGTCATATTTGGTGTACCTGCCATGGTACGGCTTCTTCTGTCGTGTGAACACAAGGTACCTGCAGGTTAGGTTTAGACTCCATAGTCGAACTGTATTTTTCGTTGCCTCGACGTCTATGGAAGCTTTTCCCACCGACCAGGTGGTCTGGCCCCCCGAGTATGCAGTCTGCCCAGGGAGGAAACATTTACTAGCTCGCTCTAAGAAGCTAGCGTGTATGCACAGGGCTGGATATACCATCTTCGCACCACCAAATCCTGCCGTTCTTCTCCCCATGCAGCGCATTTACTAAGGTCACCTCGCACACACTCGACATGTGTTCGCGAGAATGATGGAGTGCATAATTTACTGAGTGAAACATGTTACATCCGACGCGACGCTATCATAATGCCTTGTATGTATACATGTGTATACATTTGGACCACTCGGAAATGTTCCGGACTGCCACAGGGCCCATTGACAGTGGGTATCAAGGGCATCGCAAAACATGGCGAGCAGAAGCGCTAGCAAATCAGATTAACCAAGATCATCTCATAGCCTGCCTAGTCCTGGATGTATTCTGTTGACCTGGTTTCGCCGCCGCGCCTCTCCCGGTGGTCCGTCCTGATCGAGGTACCTTGCTCCGTGGGGGGGTTATCAGTGTATCTCACATCAGAGGGCAAGAGTAGAGGCATACAGAACTGACCAAGCTAAGGCGATACGGGAATAACTCAGTAACCAGATCAAGGTGATATTTGTATGGTATGCTATTCTACAGATCCTACTGCAGGCAAATTTAACTGGCATACATTTACTTGACTGCAGTATAGGTTCGGGTATAGAGGCATTGTAGCAGAAGTGCTAGAGTAGGACCAACTTATAATCTTCCAAAGAAAGCTGAACCATTCATTGGCTCTGGAGGAGAGATTATGAAAATATCAACCTTGTCATCTGGCGGACTGCATCATAATCAAGACCAGGATTGAATCACAGTGGCACGAGTACAACGACGAGGCAACCGACATGAATCCACCAATCCCCCCAAACAAAACTGTATTCTATAGCAACATGCATGTCAGTGACATTCCCACTGCTCTCGCAGTAGCATACTTCGGTCTTGTATCCTACACAATATCGTAGCATTCCGATCCAAAAACATATGTTTTGCACTTGACGGACTGGTTTGTAACTATTCTAGAAGGCTTGAAACACCCGTATATGGATCAAATTTGGGTTTCCACGTATGCGCATAGCAATGTCTCTGTTTCTTATAGCACTGCACTAACGACAACCTAGCCACTGTGCCCTTTGACCATCGGAACACCTGGTCCATGCCTGTTATCAGCGCACCTGCATGAGCAGACAACACTACATGAACAATCGAGCATCGGAAAAGCAGACAACGCATCTAGCACAACACTGGTAAACAAAATCCCTCAAGCCCGTACGTTTAGTATCATAACATCGCAATGGTAGCCACGGGGCTGATGGCAGTCAAGCCAAGTACCGCCGCCGGATGGGCCAAGGGATCCGGGTACCCAATTAGCCTCCTCCATGACACACGCTACCAAGCCCGACGCAGCTTAGTTACCCAAGCTCTGCGCGATGCACCCTATTAACCACCGATCCTCAAGTCGTCTTTCTCCTCTGCTGGCCCCAATAGCCACACTGCCACCCATATTGCGGAGACGGTCTCACCGAACGATGCACAGCGACAAACCCGATCTCCACTCATCGTGTAATCTCACGGGATCCACTTGTCGCAAAGCAAAACTACCCACTCTTTGCTCGTAAAGATAGCCCACGACACGGCACCTGATGAAGATGCGAAAGTCAAAGTGAAAAGAAAGAAGAAAAAAATTAGCAGAGGAAGCCGAGGCCCTGCTCGTCGTACGATTACATCTAGCACCATGGGCCTAGAAGCGGACCAACGGAAGTAAAGGGAAGAGAAAAAAAAGAGTTGAGTGATCGAGATCTTGTTCCAGCAAAAAAAAAAGGTTTGTTTCCATCAGCACACACACACACTCTCTCTCTCTCTTCTCTGGGATGTGGAAGCCAAGAACGAGGCTGCGACTACTTCGCTTCTATCGTTGCAAGAACTCACGACCGTGGATTTGCAAATGTCTGAAATGAGAAAGACGAATGCTGCAACAAGAGTAGTATCCCCACAGATCTGGAAAGGGCCAAGAGGTGAAATGATTGATGGAAAGATGTAAAAAATAAAAATAAAAAAAATTAACCAACTTTAATTCCCGTGGACCATTTGGTTGGAGAGTAATTTAAAAAAAAAGTTGAGATGCGTCGTGATAAGCTACTCAAAGCTACTCAAAGCAAGCAAACACGAACAATACGCCAGAACCATCATTCCACAACCCCAATAAACCCCCCCCTCTTTCATTGAGGCCTTGAATAACCCTTACACAATGAGCATACTCCCGCTTTCCCGCTTCCCCATTCCTAATTTCCCAGCTCCCCCCCGAATCACAAACCGTCACCACCTCTCAACTACGTCTTTTGCATGCCCTCGACAAACTCCAGCGCCGCCTCCCGCTCCACAACGTCAATACTACTCGTCTTATTCGAATAACTAACGCCATAGCATCGATCCGCCACATGCACCATCTCCGGCCTAAACGTGGTACAAATAAACTGACCGCCTCCATCGCCCTTCTTGCCGCCATGCCCACTGAGTCTTTGCAGCATCTGCGCCACCGCAGTACGATACTGAGCGTCGAGATTGGCGTCAATTTCATCAAAGAGGTAAAAGGGCGCGGGATCGCATTTTTGGATTGCGAAGATGAGAGCGAGGGCGCAGAGCGACTTTTGGCCGCCGGATAACTGGCCGATTTTTTGTTGTTCGTCGTGCTTGCTGTTGAAGGATACGGCGATGCTGACGCCTGTATATTCTTCGACTTTGCTCTTCTTGCTGCGTGCCTGTGCGGCGGCGGCATTGTCGTCTTCGTCGTCTTCATCGTCGTCCGATACGTTACCTCGGGCGTCGCGGTCGGATTTGCGGTTGATGATTAGGCGGCCGCGGCCGATGGGGACGAGTTGCTGGAAGACTTCTCCGAAAGCGGCAGCGACTTGCTTGAAGGTACGCGCAATGGCTTCGTCTTTGCGCTGGTCGAGTACGTCGATGAGGTTCTCGATCGACTTGCGCGATGTGTCGAGTTCGGCGCGGCGTTCGGTCAGGGTGCGACGTTGTCGGGTGAAGTTTTCGTACTGTTCGAATGCTTTCTTGTTGACGTGGGCGAAGCTCTTGAGGGCTTGGTTGACTTTGGTAAGCTCCTTGGTGACCTTGGATATGTCAGTAAATGAAGCGATACTCGTATCATGGATGCACGCCAACTTGCCTTCATGGTGTCCCACTTTGTGTATTTCCGATTGACGTCTTCTGGCAGAGTACCCAAATCTCTGATATCCCGCTTCACTTCAGCCAGTCGATCAGTAAGACGGCTGCGATCTGAATCCTTCTTAGACATTGCATGCTCTTGCTTGGCCATCATCTTTGCAAGCTGGCGGTTGTTGGCCTCCTTTTCGTTTCTTGCATTCTCTAGCTCGCTCAGCTGCGCCCGGATATCTTCGATTTGAGCATCAGTCTCTTGTATCTGCTGATCGAGATTGGCAATAGTGCGATTGATATCGTCCAACGCACGTTCACATTCCCGTAACCGTGTAGACTGGCTGGTCGATCCGCCGGCACCGCCTTGTTGTGCCTGAATATTGTCGAGCTCTGGCTGCAAGTTTTCGTTCAGATCTAGCTCAGCCTCAACCTTGCGGGTCTCTAGGGTAGTGCGCTCTTGCTTGACCCGAGCAAATTGCCGCTTCAAATCTTGCACTGTACTTCGCAATGTTGCTAGCATCTGTTCCTCGTCATTCGACAACGCTTTCTCAAACTTGGAAGCGATTTCAGCCTCCCAGTCGCTCTGTTGGGCGCCCAGTTGATTGATGGCAGATTGAAGTGTCGAGGCAGTCATTTGCTTCCTAGCCAAGGTATCCTGGATATCTCTCAGAGACCTTTGCTTAGTCCGCAGTTCTTCCCTCATGGGCGCATAGCTGTTCTCGCCCTTGTCTTTCTCATGTTCGCGACGGCGAACCTCGCTCAAAGCTGCAGTAAGTTGTTGGCGCTTCTGCTCGAACTCGGCCGCAATGTCACGTTTGCGTTGCTGCAGTTCATCATATTGCGTGCGCATCTCGGCGAGCATTTGATAGGCACGGATCTTGGATTTTGTGGGATCATGGTAACCTCCACGGTACTGGCCCTTGCGCGAAGCATTGTCTCCGTCGAGGGTGTATGCACGAACATTGTACTGCTTTGCGTTCTTCTTGCAGGCAGTCAGGTCGGGACAGACGACGATCTTGCCAAAGACATGCTTGAATGCCTCGTCAAATCTCTGGTCATATTTCAGCTTTGGCAACAGCGGTTGCATATCTCCAGTTGCCGGAAGGTTCATATCATGAGCCCTGATCCGGTTGAGAGGGATGAAGGTGATACGTCCGCCCTTGTCTTTGATGAGTCTGTCGATGAGTTTACTAGACACTTCGTCATTGTCTACGACAACGTTGAAGAGAGCGCCCTCTGCTGCAGCTTCTGTGACGGCCCTGTAGTCATTGCTGACATCGAGCAGGTCAGCGATAGTTCCATGCACACCTTCAAGCTCTCCTTCTTTTTGGTAGCGACGGAGCGACTCAAGACCGCGACTTGTACCATGATCAAGCAGTCGGGAGAATGTGCTCTCCGCTTTCCTAAGCTCCCCCAGGGCATTTGTGAGTTGGGTATTGACTCTGTTCTCCTCTCTGTAGAGATTTGTCTGTTCATCGTGGATGGCCTTGTAGGCGTCCTTAGCCTGCTCGACCTTGGCCGCAAGATCAACACTGGCGTCTCCCTCGCTTTCAATGGTGGACCTGAGAGTGGCAATCTCACTTTCGATGCGCTGAATGTCGCTTTGAAGCTGAGCAATCTCTTCGTTTGTCTGCATAAGAACAGCCTTGCGACGACTGAGGTCGCCATTGGACTGCTCTATTTGAGCACGCAGGGCTTCGTCTCGCTGTTTTTTGGTAGTGTAGAAAGCCGTGCGGCCCTGCTTCTCCTCTAGTCGCTTCTGCTGACCTTCAGCTTCCAACAACTGTGCCCTGACAGCTTCCTCCTCTTCCTTCTTAGCGTTGTATTCAGGCAAAAGCTGCTTGAGCTCAGCCTCGCGTGCTCGAATCTGCTGCTGGAGTGATTTGACTTGCGTGTCGCGTGACCTCTTTGTTCGCTGAGCTGCCGACTGATTGTCCTGCAATGCTTTGAGTTCGAGCTCAATCTTGGCCTTTTCCAGTGTAGCTGATTTGCGCTCCTGTTCAGACTGCACGCGGTCTTCTCTCAAGACGTCTAGATCGCCTCTCCGCTTGTTGATATCCATGTCGATCTGTGCGATTTCGGCTTCGGTCTGCACAAAGGCTGCTTCGTTGGTCTCTTTCATCTCGCGGCCCTGGTTTTCGAGATGGTCAATGTTCTCAATCAAGGCCTCGAGATCGGCTTCTTCGCGCGACTTGAGTGTGTACATCAAAGAGCGACGTTCCTTGTCATTTCGGCTCCAAGCCTCAAGCTCTTCTTTTTCACCCTCTAGTTCATCCAAACGCTCATTGATGGTTGCTACAACTCCGTCAATGTTGGCGCATTTGCTGTCGGTATCGGCGAGCAGCTTCAAACTGTTTGCACGGCGCTCTTCGTATACGTTGGACCCGGAGATTTCCTTGAGCAGTTTGAGACGCTCAGAATCCTTCATGTTGGTGAGTGCTGTTACACGACCTTGGGGGACGATGTAGTAAGGGTTGGATCGCGAAAACCCGGCAGATTCGAGAATCTGCATGACCTCTGATTTGGTGGCGTTCTTGCGGTTGACCGAGTATTCGTCTTTTTTGGCGCCAATTGTCCGACGTAGGTAGAATTCGGGTTTACCGGTCTGGAAGCGATCTTCTGTGTTGTCGAAGCAGACCTCGACGTACGCAGACATGACGGCCGAACCAGAACCCTCGTGCAGCAATGCCTGGCGCTCTTCACGACCGAGATTATGGTAGTCATCGCCCAGAACGAATCGGACGGCGGCGAAGAAGTTGCTCTTTCCGGAACCATTGCGACCGACGACGACATTGCAGTTGGGCGAGAAAGGCTCGATTTGCATCTGCTCCTTGTAGCTCTTGAAGCCCTGGATGGTGATTTGTTTGATGTAACCCATGACGGCGGTTGGTTGCGGTTACGGCGCGCGAGCGAGGGTGAGTGGCGGTCGCGTGTATTCGTAAGTGCGATCGCGCTGGTGCTCTTCAGCACATAGTGGGGCCGTGGTGGTGGTGAGTGTGAATGGGGAACCGTCTAACCAATGTTGCGCCGGCGACGCGGTGCGCGTCGCGCTTTCTTGCCAAGACAAGATCGCCTACGCTAGTGCGATTTGGGCTCCAACACGTTGTTGACGAGGGCAACAAGAAGTGGCCTTTGTTGCAAACTATGCATTTGCTTCAGGTTCCGCATTCTCTAGAAAGATTCAAGTCGTCTTGACTGAGAAGCGAAAAAAAAAACTCTGGGTCTTGTACGATTAGCGATGAAGTTGATGGTGATTGAACCGGGCGTGTTGAGGCTTGTGCGGTAACTAGTGATTTAGTAGCATTTAAGTATTGGCTAGGTACTGGCTGTTCGAGCAGCAGTTATGTTTTTTTATGTTTGTAGTACTTGACCAACTAGTTCATGGCTTTCAGTGACTACTTACCCTTATACAGGGTCGTATATGAAGGGGTGATTACGTGCCGCGGCCTAGTAGTCGAAACACCAAGCAACACGGCAGATATCAACTTGATATGCAAGTTTAGTGAGAAGCTAGAAGGGGCCAAGAGCAGCAATCCTCTGCACTCTTAAAGAATAGCTGGTTTCTTGGCACTGTTGTATCTATATACTTTTATATATGTCACCGTAGTATCACTGTGGGTATCAGATCACCTGTTCTGGGCCCAAGCAAAACGCCATGCGAAATGATCTCGCCTCCGTCTTCTAGCGACCCTAAACGCGCACGTGTCACTTCAAATGATAGCGATCAACGTCGTCGAGTATCCAATCATGGTTGAGACCACTTGTTGTTAGTGGTTGGTTTTGACGATCAGTCTTCAGAGAAGGCCACGCTCGTTTATCACGATCAAAATGTTCCGCTCCCGCCACCAATTATACGCTTCGGCGCCATTGGGGAACATGGGCAGGCGTAGTTGCGGGTACTATGTGTGTTTAGTGAAGAGAACCCCAGACGATTCAACAAGCGTACAGTGGAGAGAGACAGAAGGTGTGTGAGCAAGTATGAGTGGCGGAGCTACCTCGGGGGTATTTCGAGGATGCTGGTTCGGTGGAAGGGGCAACGGCCTGGGACTTTCTTTTCCTAGCATAGCTTCACAGTAGAATCTGCCTAGAGACAACGTGGCGTAACTGCTTCACAGGCCTTGGTTGTGATAGTATCGAAATGGCCCAAAGCATGTAAGTATGTAGATATATGACGCCTATATTAGAGGCCGTGCAGGTCGCGTACATGGCAGCAACGTGGCTTACATGTAGGCAGATGTGACCTTGTGCTACCCTTTGTCCAATTTACCTGTGACAAGCAAGTAGGTTGGAGCGGTGGGATGCCTAGATGTGAGTGGGGATGCCGTTTTTCTTTCCCGCGTACAATGCGCGGTGATGCAACGTGGACAAGGAGGAGGCGGTTAGCACGCGAGGGCTGCGATCGGATTTGTAAGGGTAAAATGGCATTTCGCCCACTTTCCCATGTTGGCGGCCCAACTTTTCGATCAGCCCCTCCCGATCCCGCCACCTGGCCGGC